CTTTAAAAAAAAAATGTTGAAACGTTCCAGGCCCGGCCCGGTTCCCAAGTCTGGGCTTAAGCATTTCAGGCGTACCCCAAGGTTTGTGTTAGGCTTAGCGCAACGTCTTAGGGCTCCGGATTTAACTTAGGCTTTGGCTAGCATTATTGTTAGGCTTAGGTTGAGGCTTAGTAGAGCTAGCAGTCAGGCCGGGTTAAGAAAAATAAATGAAGTTGCCCGGTGTAGGCTTAGGCTGAGAGGTGCAGGTCAAGGTTTATGGTCAGGCTCAGGCTTAGGTTTAGAATTAGGGTTACATTTAGGCTACAGTTAGAGTTACGTTTAGGCTTAAGTTCAAGCTAAGGTTAGGGAAGAAGCTTGGGTAAAAGCTACGGCGAAAGCTAGAGCAGAACTATGGTAAACCGTCTATGTTAGCTTAAATAGAAAGCATTGAAAATGTTTTGTTCAAGAGATTAGCTAGGGATTTTATAAAGCTTATATACTTTTACGTGGTGACATACCACGTAACGTTAGCCTTATTTTTCGGAAACTTTTTGAAAACTGTCCTTTTTATCACTTTGCTTTACCCATGCCTTAAAACTTTTCAACTATTCATGCCCCAAAAATAACCCTCTCTAACAATACCCTTGATGACTTAAAATAGCCCCCCCCCCCCTCTTAACCTATTCTATACAATACCTTTGGCATTGTTCCGAAACTGCCGGCGGCACGTTGAAAAGCGTTTTTAACGAAAGCGAAAAAAGTTTTTGGACCGAGCACTTAAAATTGCACCAGTCTTGACACGTGAAGAAGGAACTTTCTTTCCCCCCTCCCTCTCCCCCGATGGGTTACGGATTCGAAATTAAAAGGGTCGAGACACACGCCCCAGGGCCCGTCAAACGTATTATGTGGGGATGTTTAGTGGGGTCGAGAAGTCGAAATAAATTAAGGGCATGGGTTTTTTTCGGGGAATGAGGAAAGGAATGGGTAATTTTTTGGGAAATGATGGAAGGAGGGGTAGAATGGAAGGAGGGGTAAAAAGGAAAAAAAAGAAAGGGGGGGGGGAGATTTTGGAAAAAAAGGGAAGGGAGGAGTAATATTTAAAAAAAAAGAGGGGGGGGGGAGGCAAAAGGAGGAAGGAAGGGGTGATGCTTTTAAAAAAAAGGGTAGGGAGGGGTAATATTTTAAAAAATTGGGGAAGAACGGGCCAAATTTTAAAAAAGATGGCAGGAGGGGCGATATTTTAGAAAAAAAGGGGTGGTTTTTTGAGAAAAAAAAGAAGGGACGGGTAATAATTTTGGAAAAAAGAGAGAAGGGAGGGGGTAAAATTTTCAAAAAAAATTTTTAAAAGGAAGGGAGGGGTAAAATTCTGAGAAATGAGGAGAGGTAGGGATGATATTTTAAGGGTAGAGCCAGGCCAGGCATACATGAATAAAGCTAAGGCTAGGACTAGTTTTTAGCTGGGGCAAGGGCTAGGGCTCTGGGCTAGGGCTCTGGGCTAGGGCTCTGGACTAGGGCTCCGGGCTAGGGCTCTGGGCTAGGGCTCTGGGCTAGGGCTCTGGGCTAGGGCTAGGGCTCTGGGCTAGGGCTCTGGGATAGGGCTCTGGGATAGGGTTCTGGGCTAGGGCTTTGGACTAGGGCTTTTAAGAAAAGTTAATGAAAGTTTATTTGGACTAAACAATGCTTTTTTTCTTTTGGACAAAAAATACGTGGATATTTTGAGCTTTCTCGACAAGTAAATGATGAGTTTAAAGAGTGTTTAGCAAACTTAAAACATGACAGTTTCGATTTTCAGCTTGGAAATTGCATTTTTAGACAAAAATTTAATTTTTTTAATAGGTATGGCAAAATATGGTGACAGGTAGTATAGGGCAGAGTAGGGCACGATAGGTATGGTCGAATTTTATAATTGCTTGATAGAAATGCTTGGTAATATAGTTTTAAAAGGTATTGTAAAGCCATTTATGGCTGAAAAGTGAAGACAAATAGATGAATTTTAAATTCAATTTTGGCTAGTTGAAAGAAAAAACAAAGCAAGGCCTAAACAAGCTTACAATGGGTGTTTTGGTAGATTTTACACAGGTTTTAGAGTTCTTTTTGAACTTAAGCTCTGGCCCCAGCCCAGAGCCCTAGCCCAGGGTCCTTGCCCAGGGTCCTTGCCCAGAGCCCCAGCCCAGAGCCCTAGCCCAGAGCCCTAGCCCAGGGTCCTTGCCCAGAGCCCTAGCCCAGAGCCCTAGCCCAGAGCCCTAGCCCAGGGTCCTTGCCCAGAGCCCTAGCCCAGAGCCCTAGCCCAGAGCCCTAGCCCAGAGCCCTAGCCCAGAGCCCTAGCCCAGAGCCCTAGCCCTAGCCCAGAGCCCTAGCCCAGAGCCCTAGCCCAGAGCCCTAGCCCAGAGCCCTAGCCCAGAGCCCTAGCCCAGAGCCCTAGCCCAGAGCCCTAGCCCAGAGCCCTAGCCCAGAGCCCTAGCCTAGAGTCTTAGCCCACAGCCTTAGCACAGAGCCCTAGCCCAGAACCGTAACCCAGAGCTTACGGCTATTTAGGTCCAGCTAGACATGAGGAACGGGCCGTGCCGGACCCATTGTTTTCACTTGCAAACGGGCAGAGCCTTGATTTTCAGGAGCGACTTTACCTAAATTTGGGTTAAGACCGGCCCGGCTCGTTTCTTATATCTAGCTCGTTTTTTGTTAGATCTACCTCTAGCTTTGCCCTAGCTTTAGCATTAGCTATAGTTTTACCCCAATCCAAGTCTTAGACTTGGTTTAGTTTTGCCATGCGCTCTCTCTTCCCCCCCCGCCTTAAAAAACAATATTTTTGAAAAACATAGCGAAAACTTTGTCCAAAAATGCCGAGAAAAGGTCAAAAGCTATTGGCAAGACGAACGAGATATGGGGTCACAGAATGAAGAGGGTTCAGGAGCCGAAAAGAGCTTTTCCCGGATTCTGTTCTCGCGCTCCATGTTCTTCAGGATGTGTTCTTGACGTTTTTTTTCGTGCAAAAACAGCAAAAACAAGCTCGACGAGGTCAGCACTGACCAGTTCAACTTGCGTTTTTTCTGCAAATTTAGGGATATTATGGGTAATTTGTTAATATGTTAGATTTAGGTAGTTTCTTACAAAAATATGGCATTTTGATACCTTTTTTGTGTTTTATTTTCTTGGCGTACGGCTAGGCGCATTAGGCTGAGGCTTAGGTTTAAGCTTTGCCATAGGCTTAGGCTTACTTAGACTTTGGCTTAGGCTTACTGGCTTATTCTTAGTAGTTTTGTCTTTTTAGGCTTAGGCTCAGTCTCAACTCAGGCTTAGGCTTATACTTAATCTTATGTTTTGGCTCAGGCTTAGGCTTTGATTTAGGCTTAAAATTTGGCTCAGAGTTTGGCTCCGACTTAGGCTTAGGTTTAGGTTTAGGCTTAAGCTCAGACTTAGGCTTAGGCATGATCTTAGGTTTTAGCCTTAGGTTATTATTTAGACATAAAATTTAGCTTAGGCTTAGCTTTTAACTGAGATTGAGGCTTATACATTTTCTTTTTGTGGGGCTTAGGCTTACGTTTAAGATTTGGTTTAGGCCTACGCTTAGCTTTAGGTTTAGGCTTACGCTTTGTTTCAGGCTTAGGCATAAGTTGAGCTTTAGGTTTAAACCACTAACTAAGACTGAGGTTTTGGTTTAGGCTTAAAATTTAGTTTGGGATTCGATTTAGGCTTAGGCTAATACATAAAGTTAAGAAGCCAACATACGCATAGACTTAGAATGCAGCTATGACTATGGTTTAGGCTTAAGCTTAAGTCTAAGCTCAGAGGTTGGAGTAAGCTTAGCCTTTTGACTATCTTCAAGATTTGGTTTAAACAATTGGCTAACTTTTTGTACCTTTGTGAGTTTGAATTTAGACTTTGAAGGGGCGCCGGAAGTGTGCAGAGAAACCGGATCTGGCGTATACGTATTTTTATTCCACGTACTATATTGTATCATTTTTGGGTTTCATTTTCGTTTTTCCAATTTTTTTTATTTACCCACTTTTGAATTGAAAGTTACTGTAATATTGGGTCGGTTTTTGATGGAGGGTTCAATCTTAGGTAGAGCTTAGGCTGGGGCGTAACCTAGGCTTATGATTTGGGCTTAGCAATCAGCTTTTGTTTAGGCTTTAGCTTTTGTTTTGGCTTAGGCTTAGGCTTAAATTTAGGTTTAGGCTTAGGCTTAGTTTAGGCTTATGATTTGGCTTAAGCTTCGGCTGAGGCTTAACTAAGGCTTATGTTTTTGCTTAACATTAGGCTTAGGCTTAGTTTTAGGCTTAGGCTTATTTTTAGGCTTAGGCTTAGACTTAGGCTTAGGCTTAGGGTTAGGCTGATGCTTAACTGAGGCTTATGATTTGGCTTAGGCTTAGGCTAAGGCTTAGTTTAGGCTTATGCTTAGGCTTTAGATTTGGTATTCACTTAGGCTTAGACTGAGGTTTATCATTTGCAGGCTAGATAACATTTAGCTAGCCAAAAATTTTAAAAATTAAATCAAAAATTAAGGCCTATTTTTGAACTGACACCTTCTTTGATACCCACGTTTCTTATTATTTTAAAGTAACAAGGCAAAGGTTGTGGCGTTGAATCGTGTGTAAACAAACGAGGTTAACGTATTATAAACTTCCGCTGGAAATTATGTTATAGTTAATCCCTCCTTAACTTGAGTTTTTCGACTCTTTCCTTATTTCCAAAACATTTCTGGGTTAAGTTATACTCAACTTGGAGTATTGTGCTGTAGTACTATAGTATGTTTTATACTTGTATTAATGTTTTGTATTGTTTTTTTTTAAATATGTTTTTAAGGCAGTAATGTACATTCTTGTTAAAGTAAGGTAGATAACAAGGTGGGTTAGGTTGGTAGGGTAAGGTAAGGCAAGATTGTAATAGGCTATGAAAGTTGGGCAAGGTTGGGTAGGGTAGGGCTTAGGGCTTGGATACGATGAAGGCTTGGTTAAGTGGGTAGTGTAAGATACGGGTAGATTAGGGGTAGTGTAGGGTAAGGAAAGATTATAATTGGTAAGATGTTAGTTAAGGTAGGGTCCGATAAGGATTTTATAAGACTAGGAGAAGGCTAGATTAGATGGATATTGTAGAATAGGGGTAGGGTCAGGTAGGATAAAGTTGGGTACGGTATGGTAGGATGCGATAGGGTAGTGTAAGGCAAAACAGGGTAGCGTAGGTGGGGTCGGGTAGGGAAGGGTAGGGTGCGGAAGGATACTGTAGAGTAGGGTACGGTAGGGTAGGGTAGGGTGCTAGAGCAGGGTAAACTTTTTTAAAATGTTTTTGTAAGTTTTAAACACGCCATTCTTTTTGCATCAACTTAAATTTATAAGTTGCGCCATTCTTTTTGCATCAAATGAAAACTTTTTAATCTGTTTTTCTTTATTTCGCTACGCGCCATTCTTTCTGCATCAAACAGTAAAATTTAAAAATTTCAGACCGACTTCAGATCAGAACCCCCCGACCGCACTCACGACCACACCACGATGGGCATGGGCTGTGGTTGGTGGTCGTTTCCACCGCCGCCCCTTCTCCTGGTGCTGGTGGGCTTCATCTCAATGGGCGTGGTAGAGGCCGGTACGAATTGTTCGGCCGCCGATGCGACACGGAACTGCGTCGACGGCCTGGTGATCCCGCTATGGCGGCCGTTCTTGGACTTATCACTGTCCGATCGATTCTTGCGAGGCGGTATCTACTTTCTCATCATCATCTACATGTTCTTGGGCGTGTCAATTGTAGCTGATAGGTTCATGAGCGGTATCGAGGTCATTACGAGTATGGAGAGGACGATCGTTGTGAAGCGGCCCGGACTGGAGCCGGCTAGACTGAAGGTGCGGATATGGAACGACACTGTCAGTAATCTGACTTTAATGGCCTTGGGTAAGGTTCATATTGGGTTTTGGGTTTGGGCGGGGTGTTTTTTTAACTCTGGGGAGGGGGAGAAAGTGTAGGATGGGGTAAAAAATTTTTTTTGAAATAAAAAAAGGTGCTTTAAGAAATTTTTGAAAAAAAATTTTGGGCGGTTAAATTTTTTTTTTTAGGGGAGAGGGAGGTGGGTAGGGAGCGTAAAATGAAAAAAATAGAAATCTGAAAAGGCGGTTCTACAAATTTAAAAAAATTTCTTTTGGGCGGGGTTAAATTTTTTTTGGGAGGGGGGGGGGAGGATACAAAATTTTTTGTAAAGTTGGTTTAATTTAAGCTGCAAAAAAGAAAGAAGAATGAACATTTTTTGGGGGTGGATCATAAAATTTTTTACCACGCCCAACCAAAAAACTCATTTATTATAGTAGGTTACATTACATATTGCCATTTTAGGTTCATCCGCGCCCGAAATCCTCCTCTCCATCATCGAAATCCTGGCCAAAGGCTTCGAAGCCGGCGATCTGGGTCCCAACACGATTGTCGGTTCGGCCGCCTTCAACCTGTTCATGATTACAGCCATTTGTGTTATGGCCGTTCCGTGCACCGAAGTCAGAAGACAAAAGCACGTGGATGTGTTCTTTGTGACGGCTACATGGTCGGTATTTGCGTACATTTGGATGTATGTGATATTGGCTGTGATCACGCCTGGAGTCATTGACATTTGGGAGGGGCTAATCACGTTTGCCTTCTTCCCATTGACCGTGTTCACGGCGTGGGTCACTGACATCAAGATTCTTCATGTAAGTTTTGACAGAAATTTTTAGGGGTGTTTTCTGGGTGGGGAAAATCAGTATACGGTAGTGGGATAAGGCTAGAACAGCAAAGAAGTACTGTAGCGACTAGGGTTGTGTTAAGTACTGTAGCGACTAGGGTTAGAGGTCCGATTAGGGTTTGAATATTGGAACTAATAAGGATAATGATTAATGAAGAATACTGTTACAGTAGGCACAGTGTAATACAATACTATAAGCTATGCTGGAGTACAGTAGGACACATTACTGTAGGCTATTACATAAGTTGGTACGGTAGATCTTGATACGGTAGGGTATGGAAGACTGCAGTTTGATAGGGTAAGATAGAGTAGGGTAGGGTAGGGTACGGTGCGGTACGGTGCGGTAGGATAGGGTAGGGTAGGGTAGGGTACGGTAGGTTAGTAAAGCGTAGAGTACGGTACGGTAGGGTAGGGTAGACGCCATTATTTTTGAATCAACCTAAATTTATTAAAAGTGCCATTCTTTTTGCATCAAAAATTAAATTTTTAATTTTAACGCGCCATTCTTTTTCCATCAAAAATGTAAAATTTATAAATTAAAAAAAATTTGCAGAAAAAATTCCTACCCCACCGTTACCGTCGTGGATCTCACGGTCTGATCGCGACCGAGGGCGAAGAGATGAAGATGTTAGAAGGAAATGGCATCAACTCCACCTACAAAGTAGTCCAAGGCGAGATCGACCCAGCCCTAAGGGCATTCGAGGAACATCGTCGTGAATTCATCGAAACGATGCGCGAGCTACGACGCAAGAATCCGCATTTGGACCCGGTCCAGCTTCAGAAGCAGGCCGAGTACGAGATGATCAACAAGGGCCCCAAATCGCGAGCTTTCTACCGAGTTCAAGCCACACGACGTCTGATCGGGGGTGGTGATATCATCAAGAAGAGGCTGGACAAGGAGCACGATAAGAGTCTGGATGCCCTGATCAATGCGCAGGAGAAGCAGGCACGGCAGAACACGTGTCGCATCTTCTTTGACCCCGCCCACTACACCGTGCTTGAGAACGTTGGCGCTTTCGATGTGATGGTTGGCCGTGATGGTGGTCCGGAAGGGTTGACTGTGCTGGTCGATTACTATACTGAGGATGGTACTGCGAATGCTGAGAGTGATTACATACCGGTCAAAGGAACGTTGACCTTCAGACCGGAGGATAGACATCAGGTAAGTAGGATACTGTATCTTATTTTAGCAGTACATTGTAATGTACCGTACCGTACCGTACCGTATCCTACCCTACCCTACCTTACCCTACTATACCCTACCCTTCCCTACCTGTACCGTACCTTGTTGTACTCACCTTAATCTACCTTACCCTGCCTTGCCGTACCCTACTTTACTGTACCGTATCCTACCCTACCATATCTTACCTTTTGTACTCTCCATGCCCTGCCCTATCTTCCTCTACCCTACCCTATCTTACCCTACTTTACCCTACTGTGTCTTATTTTACCGTACTCACCGTGTCCTGCTCTATTCTACTCTAACCTACCCTACCTTATCTTCAACTGTATCTAAAAACAGCCCCCAACCTACTACAACATCATCATTTACAGAAGATCACCATCGAAATCGTGGATGACGATGTATTTGAAGAAGACGAGCACTTTTACCTGCACCTCACCAACCTTCGTGTCCGAACCAAAGATGGCCTCATCCTAGACCCAAGCCGTCTAGGCGGCGTACCCGTCGCCCAGCTCGAACTGCCAGCCACAGCTACAGTCATGATTCTGGATGACGATCACGCTGGTGTCTTCTCCTTCGACCACGACCACTTCCAGATCATCGAGAATTGCGGATCCTTGAACTTGAAGATCAACCGTACTTCAGGCTGTCGTGGTGAAGTTGTCGTACCTTACAAGACATACGATGGTAGTGCTCTTGGTAACAAAGACTTTGAGGCCAAAGAAGGCGAGATTGTGTTTGGAAACAATGAAACTGAGTAGGTTTGGGGTCTTTGAAAGGGACAGGGATTATGGTAACAAAGGGGAGAGTAGGATAGGGTAGAGTAGGGTAACTTAGAGGGAGGGTAGGATAGGGTAGGGTCTGGAACGGTAGGCTAGGGTTGGGTAGAGTAGAGTAAGGTAGGGTAGGGTAGGGTAGGGTAGGGTAGGGTATGGTAGGGTAGGGTAGGGTAATGTAGAGTAGGGTATAGTAGGATAAGACAGGGTAGCATCAAACTAAATTTATAAAACGCGCCATTCTTTTTGCATCTGTGAAATTATGAAACGTGCCGTTGTTTTTGCATCACAAATTTTATTTTTGAATTTTTTGCGCCATTCTTTTTGCATCAAAAATAAAAACCAGACCTTTTATCCTACCATGACAAATTTTGATCCCACGCCATTCTTTTTGCATCAAAAATTAAAGACTTTGTAATTTAATTTCAGAGCAACGATCGAAATCGGAATCGTGGACACGGAACAGTACGAACGTTCCGACTACTTCTACGTGGAGCTTCAGCCTCCAATTTGGGCCAAGAAGATGTCGGGTAAGGGGCTGCTCTGTCACGCTTTTTAATACTTTAACGCGCCTTTCAACTATCGATTATTTGCTTTTCGGTTTTTTTTGAAATTTTTATTTGCGCTTAGTTTGGCTTTACCTTGAGAGCTGATTTTGATACTGGTTTTTAGCATAAAGCTGGTTTTATATTGTTTTAGGTAGCTAAATTGGCCTTAGCCCTAGCCGTAGCCCTAGCGCTAGCTCTAGCCCTAGCCCTAGCCCTAGCCCTAGCCCTAGCCCCAGCCCTAGAATTAGCTTTAGCTCTAGCATTAGCCCTAGCTCAAGACCTAGCTTAAGCCCTGTGTCAATATATAGCCCTAGTCCTAGCCCTAGTCTTAGTTGTAACCCCAGCTCTAGTACTAGCCATAGCATTAACCTTAACCCTAGCTCAGAACCTAGTTTAAGCTCTGAGTCAATACACAGCCCTTAGGGCGCTACATCCTCTTCCCCACAACTTTAAAACGTTTAATGTTTTCTTAATTTTCCAAAAAAAACTTTTTTACCCTTGCCCCAGGGTAAAAGCTAAACTCATCCGCTAGGTTTAGGTCATGGCCACATCCATGGCCCTAGCCCTACAGCTAGCCACAGAACCAGCTCTAGCCCTTTTTATAAACCAAACATGCTTTTCTCCCTAGTCATTATTTTATTTTTGAAAAAAACATTTTACCCCCGCTTTCAGGCCAAACTCACCCGCTAGGCGCAGGTAATGAGCATAAATATTGTCCTATTCCTTGCCTAGCTGTAGCCCTAGTACTAGCTTTAGCTCTAGCCCTACCTCTAGCCCTGGCTATACTCCAACCTTTACCCATACCCTTATTGGTATTCTTAACTCCACACCTACCCTTACCCCATCCTTACCCTACCTTTTTTTTAAGTTCAAAACTTCAATTTTTTGACCTTTTGAGCTAAAAAAGTTTAAAAAACACAGTTTTACAGCTTTTGACAGATTGTCTCGAGGTTTTTTAATCGAGAGTGTTTATCGCTTTACGTCCAGATGGCCATTTGGCGTTTGAGCTGCTACAACATACGGTAACGCATATTAACATGCACGCTTATTCACATTAGGGTAGAGATATCGATCTGAAGGTTGTTATAATACAACATTATTGTTAGATTTTACATTAGTTTAACTTTTTCCGTCATTTTGAAATTTTTTGATTTTAAATTTCGAAATTTTAAAAAATTTTAAATTAAAAAAAATTTTTTTTAATTTTGAAAAATGGCATTTGTAATAAGAAGAAGTATCATTAAAAGCCATTTTTACCCCGCCCATTCCATGTTTTTTTATCTCTGCACCGCCCATTTATCTCTTTTGATCTCTTATATTAACCGTATCTTCGTATTTCACTAACGGTTTGATTGTGTGACATGTTGTGATGACAAACCTAAACACACACGGTGTTGGAATGATGCACGTATAGCACTTAATTATAATTTGTTTTTATATTAATTTACAATTGGCAGATGTGCGAAAGTGTCAGGAGCGGTTTTCGCGGCGAATCGAGCGAAAGCGCCAGTCTTCGCTGTTCCCGACTTCGCAGGATGACTCGGGTAAGTCCTATGTTAGGGTACACGGATACGTTTTGACATACTGCGTTTGTATTTTTAGTATTATAGTAGATTTGTACACAATTCACGGTATTACGTGGCGGGGGCGTCGCTATGGTTTTTTTTGTTTTTAAGGGGGGTGGTTCCCCCTACCCACTCAAAAGTATGCTACTCTATCGTATCTTAATTTTAGTACAGTATAGAGTAGTGTAACTACCCTACCCTACCCTACCCTATACTACCCTACCCTACCCTACTTTACCCTTCCCTACCCTACCCTACCCTACCCTACCCTACCCAACCCTACCTTACTTTACCTTACCCTACCCTACCCTACTATACCCCTACCCTCCCCTGTTCCTACCCTTACCACTACTTTTACCCCTACCCCTCCTCAGCCGTATCCACCTACGTCTAACCTTTTATGCCTTACTTATGCCCTACTACCCATGCTTTACCCCGCCCACAGACCCTATAAAGAACCTTTTTTCAAAAGGGTTAGTAACTACCCTCCCCCCCCAAACTTCTTTCATTTTTCAACCCTAGCGACGCCTCTACTACCTAATTATAATAAGGGAGTTGATTTTGTACCATTGTAACGGTATTTTGTAACCCTAGTACTGATATTTTGTAGATTTTGTAACCCTAGTAATCATATTTTGTAACAGTGTAATAAGTAACAGTCGTACTCAGTAACGATAAAAACCTCCGCCTACTGTAACTTTGTCGGTAATGAAGAGTACGAGGCTCGGTATGACAAGCGTTTTAGTGTAATATGTACAAAATTAGCACGAGGTTTGATAGTATCGATACACGTACTATTCAAAAAAAATTTTTTTTTATTTTTAAATTTCAAATTTTTCAAAATTTTTTATTTTTTTTGTATTTGAATTGCGCAATATTTTCAAAAAATGCCACATTTTTCAGTTTTTAGCCTAAATTTTCGTTTTTCAATATGCAAATTTAATTTTTTTCTTTCGAGACCATATATTAGGTTGTTCAAATAATTATGAGCCATTCTCAGAGCAAATTTTGGGGACTAAATGGCTCAGAATTATTTGAACAACCTAATAGTATTAGGTGCCGACATAAAGAACCCGCCATTTTTTACTCGAAATTACAGGAAAATTATGGCGGGTTCTTTATGTCGACGCCTAATATATTGATTTCAAAGCCAAATTACGTAGTGTATTGCCATTTTCGATGAGACTTTTCGTTTTTCCTTAATTTTCGATATTTTTTCCACTTTCCTTTCCCCCACTTCCATCTGTCACCCCGTATTTTAGGTCGACTAACCCCGAACCGCCGGCTGAGTATGTTCTCGACCGAAGGCTTTTTCCAGGGCCGGGTCCGCGACCGACTGGGGTCGATTTTCAGCGGTTCGATTGCGTCGCTGGCTAGCCAGTTGTCAGCCCAGCCACCAGGTTTGGTTTCGGTGTTGTTTTTGGATCGGTTTGATTGTGGTTTGATCAGTTTTGGCAGTGTTTGAGGCTCAATATGTCGGTACTAAAGGCTCGTTATGTTGATGCTGAAGATAAGTATGTTGATGCTCAGTACGTCGGTGCTGAAAACTCAGTATGCTGGTGCTGAGGCTTAGTGTGATGATGCTGAGGCTCAGTGTGTTCGTACTGAGACTCAGTGTGTTGATGCTGAGGCTCAGTATGTAGGTGCTGAGGCTCAATGCGCCGATGCTGAGGCTCAGTATGTTGCTGCTGAGGCTTAGTAGTTTGATACTAAGGCCTAGTGTGCTAATACTGAGGCTTAGTACGTTGATGCTGAGACCCAGTAAATCGGTGATGAAAACTCAGCATGCCGGTACTAAAAGCTCAGCACGCTGGTACGAAAGGCTCAACATGATGATGCTGAAGGCTGAGCATGTTTTGACATCAGTGGTTCGAGTTTCGACGTGCTGATAGTGTTGGTTTGACATTTTTTTTAATGTACGCTAGTTTTTATGTTCTACGGCTTCATGGCTTGGTTACTGTAGCTTTGTGTTTGTTTTTGTTAGAGCAAAACATTTGTACCAATCCCTCGAGCAAGAGCGCGGCCAAAAATAAAAAAAATTGCGGTGGACCCGTTCACAAAAATTTCCAAAGTACAAATCTTTTGCTCCAACTAGTACTGTACCCGTGATACGTTGCTTTAAATGTGTTTTTGTGCCAAAACTCTTTTGTTATTGTGCCAATTTCGTTGGGTGTAGTGATTAACAGCGTGTCTTTATTAACGAACCGTCTGTCTGTCCTGTCCAAACTCTGTCCTATGTCTCTGTCCCGGCGATGTGATAGGTGAAAACTGTCCTTGAGTACCATTTTTGGAGGCCTTTCAGGATTGTTGGGGTGACTGGAATGGTATGGTACTGAAGTTTTGGTACTTGATAGGGTGGTAGTACCAGAATGTTGTTATGTCATGCTGGATAGTATCAAAATTTAGGCATGTAATGATAGGTAATACCATTTTTTTCGATTCCTAGTGTCAGCCACTACTACTTTTTCATACCTAGTACCATCCAGTACTAGTTTTTCATTCATAGTGCCAACCAGTACTATTTTTTCATTCCTAGTACCTGCCAGTACTACCCAACCAACCTCCAGTAGCATTTCCAATTCCAACCACCTCCAACAGTAAGTACCAACAAGCCCCAACTGTGCATGCGTAAAGTCCCAGTGCCGTTTATGGCCCCAAGTTTTGGTTGCTTGCTTGAACCATCTTGAGTTCGGGCTTCATGTTCGAGTGGCTTCTGTCATTGTCGCAATGAATAATCAAATTTTTAGCCGATGAGAACACGATCCACTTGACCGAGGACCAATTGGAAGTCGCCGAATTGGGTAAACCACGGTTGGGAGAGTACCGAAAATGTCAGGTCACCATCAAGGAGAGCAAGGAGTTCCAGGTGAGTGTGGGGATTGGTATGGAAATGGCGTTATAGCTTCAAAAATGGCCTGATGACGGCTAGTTATGGTAAGAATAGGTGTTATCAGGCCATTTTTAAAGGTTTTTGATGATTTTTGGCCTAGTGTAACATCATTCCTTTAAAGTTCTGATCGATTGTTCATCTAATACAACATCTTCTTCTATCGTTTTCTTCGACTCTTCATCCAGTAGAACATCTTTGCATCTAAACATAATTTCAGGGCGTGGTAGACCGCATGTTAAAGACAGCCAACGCCTCCTTCATGTTGGGAACCTCATCATGGAGAGAACAGTTCATCGAAGCCCTGACCGTAAGTGCCGGCGATGACGACGATGATGATGATGGAGAAGAAGGTAGTCAGACCGGCACCGAAGTCACCGCTAAACAACCGGTCGTACCCAGCAAGTACGACTACTTCATGCACTTTTTGACCGTTCCATGGAAACTTTTGTTCGCCACGATCCCTCCGACCGACTACTGGGGTGGATGGGCGTGCTTCACGGTATCTATCATGATGATCGGTGTTTTGACCGCAGTCATTGGTGATTTGGCCTCGCAATTCGGTTGCTGGGTTGGATTGAAGGACGCTGTCACGGCTATCAGTTTCGTCGCTTTGGGTACTTCGGTTCCTGGTGAGTTTAGGACAATGACAGATTCGAAAAATTGGAAAAATTTACAAAAAAAATACGCGAAGAGTCTTCCAAATGCAAAGAAAACACGGCACGGCTCGTTCACGACACATTAATACCTAAACTTTGAAGAAACTTGTCTTGACCACCCTGAAAATCTGAAAAAAAAAGAGGATTTTAGGTCGATTTTTCTCCATAAAATTTGATTTTTTCATTGTTATTGCTCAATCTCAATTTAAAAAAACTCCAAAAACCATGATCAATATACAAAAACTAACCTCAATCCTTTTCCAGACACCTTTGCCTCCAAAGTATCCGCCGTTCAAGACAAATACGCCGACAACTCCATTGGTAATGTAACCGGCTCCAACGCTGTCAATGTCTTCTTGGGTATAGGAATCGCCTGGACTATGGCCGCAGTCTACCACTGGACCAAAGGCTCCATTTTCCGTGTCGATCCGGGAACATTGGCCTTCTCCGTGACCATCTTCTGCGTCGAAGCTGTGGTGTGTATCATCGTGATCACGTTGCGACGACATCCCAGCATTGGCGGTGAATTGGGTGGGCCGAGGAAGATTCAACTACTCACGGCCTGCTTCATGTGCTCATTGTGGTTGGTCTACCTCGGCTTGTCGGCCTTGGAATCGTACTGTTTCATCGCCGGATTCTAAGGCGGATTTGGCTGGGTTTAGTGGTGAATATTGGCTGAGATTTGAGCTGGAAATGGCTGGTTTCAAGGTGAATATAAGCTGAACTTGGAGCTAAAAAAGGCTGGTGCCCAAGTGAAATGAAGCTGAGTTTGAAGGCTAAAAAAATCTGTAATTTGAGGTACAAATTCCTGATGAAAGCTGGATTTCCGATGGTTTACTCACCTAAAACAACATAAACAACGAATATATTCAAACCTACGAATTCAGCAATGAAATTCCTTCTTCAACCTAAAAAACCAGCAACAAACATCCGATTTAATACCTAAAATCCATCTTCAAAGGTCCACCTTCAACCTAAAACAACATCTTAATAACTCCAATTTGATACCTAAAAATCAGATTCGTATCTAAAAAAACCGTTACCTAAAAACCAGCATCAACTATCCAACTTGAGTCCAAAAAACCAGCTTCATCCGCCCAATTAAAACCCAAATATTCACCTCCGCAACATCAATCCCACCATCTAAAACAATATAAACAGTGAACGGTTTCGCGAAGCCAAATCTTAACAAACTTCTAACTCACCAGGTGCCTTTTCGGTCTTCTTTTATCAACCTAAAATTGTACTGAAGTGCCTTATCCGTCCGTTTCTGAACCGCTGACCAATTCTGGTATTGAAAGGGCATGAATAACATAGCGAATTTTTGAAAAATCGTGGGAAGAGCTGAAAAATGGGCAAAGGTTTATTAAAAAATAGGTGGAAATGGGTTTGAACTCTAGGTTTGAAGCAGAAAGCATAAGATTTTAGGCATGAAACATTAGGTTCTTGACCTCAAAAGCAGGTTTTTCAGCTAAAACGTCAAGTATCAAGCCTCAAAAGCCCATTTCCAAGCCAAAAACCCAAGTTATACCTAAAAATTAGGCTTAAAACATTAGGTTCTTGGCGTGAAAATCATGTTTTCGATCTACAACATCAATTGCCAAGGCCTATAATCCCATTTTCAAGCCAAAAACATCAATTGCCAAGCCCAAAAAAGTCAGTTTTCAAGCCAAAACATCAAGTAAAAGCCCATTTTCAAGCCAAGACCCTCAAGTTATACCTAAAAAATTGGCCTCGTTCAGAAGCGCCTTTAGTCCTTTCATTTCTCTTCACTTAATGTTTTAATTAAGGTCCGACAGTTAACTCCAAGGTCTCTCAATCATACATATCTTCCAGTAGGCTTCTAATCGCTTTCGTTTTTCGACCCGTAGCGGCCTGGTTTTTCAATTTCGAAGGCTTTTTCAAGGTTTTTTTAAGGTTTTTGGAGCTTTTTCTAGGTTTTTGAGACCTTTTAAGGTTTTTAAGGCTTTCTTAAGATCTTTGGAGCCTTATAAAAGCTTTTGAAGAAGAAATCAACCGTGTATAGCATAGAGAATGCTAGCCAAAGAACCGCAGTGCCAAACACAGAAAAAAAAAATAAACAGAATCTTAGTAATAATAACCCCTCAGGGCACTTGGGACTGCCTTGTCAATTTTCGTTTTTTATTGATCAAGCCAAAAATCGTCGTTGAAATGGCAAGAATCGTTTTTAAAATGGCAAAAATCGTCTTTAAATGGCAAAAATTGTCTTTAAAATGGCAAAACTTGCCTTTAAAATGGCAAAGCTTGGCCTACAACGAATTCTACAGAAGCTCCAGGCTTCTGACCCCTTTTGTCATTTAAAAAATGTATTTTTTCATCCCCCATCTTTTGAAAAAAGGCATCTTTTTGCCACTTTCCAACACATTTTGGCTTGATCTTTCAATTAGACATCGAGATTTTCTTGTTTTCGTCACCTCGTCTTATCTATATTAAGGTTTTATGTTAAGCAGGTTCATTATTTTGTTTGTTATCACAACATTTTTTCTTTTTAACCGTTTTTTTATTGTATACAATAAACTGGAATTTAAATTTTCATAATATATCAAATTTTAAAAAGTGCGAACTTAAAAATTATTGGGTTGTTCAAATAAATCTGGCCCCTTTTCTCAAAAAAATTCTGAGCCCTCTCTTATAGCAAGTTTTCCGGGTCAGAGGGGCTCAGAATTATTGAACAATCTAATAAAATTTTTAAAAATCGTTATGGCAAAACCGGATTGATTATAGCCAGGATGACAACAATGATATGACCTTAAAAAACTCATTGTAAAACAAAAAAGACCCATTAATAATGGCATCCGTATATAAAGGTAGTGTTCATAAAGTTTACAAAGACAATTAAAATTACAAGTTTATGAATCATAACACAATAAAACTAGTGACAATGATAATAAAATGTCAAAACTTATCAGACAAACAACAAAACCTATCGTATTTTACCCAAAAAATGATTTAAAACGACAAATTTCATCAAAAAATAAAATTTTAATGACAATCATTACAATCTCCATCATTGCAGTCGGGTAGGTGGCAGTCGTCCATCTCAAGCTCAGGTAACACATCTTCAGGTACTTCATGATATTTTCCAATGAAATAACGAAGCCGAAAAGCGTCGTTACCATTCAAATAGTACCTGTGCATACGATCATCTCTACAGAAGCCCAAACGTTCGTACAAGCCTAGCGATCCACCGTTCGTGCTTTCTGTCTCCAAAATTACCTGCAAAGATGTTAATGAGTATATTTGTTAATATAATATATTAAGAATAACAATATTAGAGATAAAAAGCCGTAAAAATCAATAAAAACATGAAAAATAGCGAAAAATCCTCATGAATAATATAATTTTAATCATTTAGTGAGGAAAAATGCCATTTCAACCCAATTTTTGTTATCATTTACAAACATAAGATATTAACCCTCAATTTCAAACCATTCCGCATCCCTTACCTCATTACAATCACGTCTGGCCAAGGCATCAATAGCAGTAATGACCAGCTGAGATCCTAGACCCAAATTTCTCCATGGCTCATTAACAGCCAGCATAGCAATATAACCACGGCGATATAAATGTGTCGGAACGTTTATCACTTCATCTTTACACACAACACCACCAATAATCTCGTCCGTTCCTTTCACTTTGGCCTAAAACGATATTATCATTTACATCAAGGTGCGGAAAACAAAATTTTAATGATATTGTAGTAATATTGCGACTATGTCACCTTGAGAAGTCACGTATAGAAAGATATACGATTCAGCTGACTTCCAAGGTCGTTTTGACGTCAACAACTTTCCTAAATTTAGAAAAAAAGTAATAATATTATACTTACCAAGAAGCATAGATCGGGCCAATTGTGAATAAAGTATCTGTAGGTGTATATCGAATACGGCTCACTTAATTCCGCATCGACTACTTCCATCAACGTCTTGAGATCAGTTTTCTCATCAACAAAAGGGGTTATGTACACATTACTGACCGAATACACCATCTTTTTAAGTTCAGCTGATGTTGATGTAGTTTGTAATGGTTTGGTAGACTTCTGAGCTTCAATAGATCCAAGTTTGTCCAAATTATGTTTTTGAGAGGTTTCTGTTGCTTGGGTTACAGAGCATTCGTCTTTGGCGGATACTTTTGGGCTGGTTTTTCGCTTCAAAGGTCGGTTCTCCTTCTGGGACTGATTTTCCTTCTTGTTTCGAGGTTTTTCCTAAAATTAAAAGATTAATTTAAAGTCATACCTGTTAGTATAGCTAGAAAAAAGACTTGTGAATCTTATTGTAACAATTTTATAGACAGTATGACAAAAAGAAAGCTTGAACAGACCAAAAACTTCATGTTATCCATGAATAATTATGTGGAAAACTCTTTTTCTGTAGAAAAACCGTATGTATTTTAGAGAAAACCATCAATAAACCATCACAACCACCAATATTACAGACACCAACACCTACATGAATTAGACGATCGACATTGCGCAGACGGTCGATCGTATCTTTGACCAAGCCTTGAATCGCCCCAGGCTCCGTCATAAAGACTCGATCGAATAGCGGCTTCCTGGATGGCTGAAATAACGCGGCCATTTTTTAATAATCAAAAACTCAAGTGTGGCGCGAGAATGGAAAGAGAGCAAGACTTTAAAAGCGCATGAACACACAGTAAAGTGGTGATCAATCACCAAATCTAAACAAAAACCGTATTACCTATCACTTCCAACAGTTATTTTTCGCCTAACCACTACAAAATAGAAATTAGTTCAACTTTACAAACATTTTCGTCCAAAAATTGTAAAAATTCGCGAAAAAAGATTAATTTACACGGAACGCCAGAGCGCGGCTTTTCGCGGCGGGACCAAATTAAATCGGTGAAGCGAACGGAATTTTGTCAAGTTTCGCCCGATTAAAACAGTTTACGTGTACTTCTTCCATCATCTTACCTCAACGCTGATGGTTACTGACGTCGCGTGGACGCCGGCCATCACGGCACTAACCTTCTACGCCTTTGTTATTGTTGTAGCTGAAATATGTCGGAAATTGGTGGAGAGGGTCGTCCGCAAGGGTTCTGTAACCTACGTATTCTTCATGGAACTCATCGCTGTAACGCAACAATGCACATGTGTTTATGAAAATGGTGAGTAATTGTAATTATGTGGGCAAATGAAAGTTTTTTGTTGTAGTAGGTTTTTGGATACGGTATGGTGAAAGTAAGTGGATTTTAAGGGGTTTATGGTTGATGAATTGGGCTCAAACTTGGCATAATAATAGAAAAGGGTATGGGCGATCTTTTACAATATGAACTTTTGAATTTTGAGGTGTTATCTTTCTGTTTTGTTTAAATTCATCAAGAATAATATCATCATGATGTTGTTGATCCCGATTTTTTGATTTTTCTTCAAAACTACATGACATTTCTTTCTGAATCTTACAAAATACGTTTAGAAGACCTTAGGCATTCTACTTGCTAAATTTCAGCCATAATGATCAAGAATTACGGGCCAGCCGGCTTTTTTTTCGCCGTGTTTACCATAGCCTCAGTGACCTCACAATACAACAGAGGAGCCTATCTCTCGCCATTCCTACCAATTGAAGCCCTATATAAGGAAGCAATGAAGACGGAGACCTTTTTGGCCATCTTGACGGCCCAATCACTTGGTGGATATGCTGCATCGAGGGTGGCTGATGGGTTATGGTACTATACGATGAGTTATTCGGCCGAACATGCTGCATTGTACACGAATCTGCCTTGTGCTATCAGTTTTAAGGTAAGGTTTTGGTTTTGAAGGGTTTTTGAGTTAAAAGTTTGTTTATGAGGGTGTTATTTGTTTGATAAGGGGGTACTATCTTTGGGCAGATAGTATATTATACTTGATAAAAAACGACGAAACGCTTAAAATATAAGTTTTAATGGCCGTAAATTGAACAAGCAATAAGAGGATGGAAATTTTAGTGCTATCTAAACACTATGTTCAATATAAAATGGCAGTAACAGGTTAGAGATCTAAAATAATGTAAAATTTAAGCCTAACTTGCCTACTACAATATATAAATGACGTTTTAGGTGCCATATATAGCAGCATTGGGATATGAAGTTGCCGGATGCTTTGCACTACGCCTGTTGCTATCCAGGGTCAGCGTAGCTTACAGGAGGTACATTATGCCATTGGCTACAGCTGGAGCTCTCACGTTTGGTAAGTCCAAGATCATTCGACTAATTTTCAAAATACCAAAGTAAATGTACAATATAGATATATGTCTATATCTTCTCATTTCAGCCCTTGTCTACATTGGTGTCCCAGCCTTGAACCCAGTCACAACCTCGTCCAGAGTCCTCGGCTGTCCTGGCCTCGACCTCCAATGGTTCATGATCACCTACTGGACTGCCCCTGTAGTCGGCTGGATGCTGGCCTCATATGTTGATAAGAATGCATTATTTAAAAAGCCCAAGGCTGCAAAAACCAAGAAAAACAAATAGTCACGTATCCTACTTATACGGTTATATTACACTAGAGATATTTACATTTTTAACAGTCTGTGATATAATAAATACGAATATCATGATATGGCGGGTTTGTTTGGATGAATTTTAGACTAGGACAGGTTTTAAAAAGATAATTAGGCTTTAAGATAAGTGATTTAGGCAGTTATTCTTTCAAAAAGTGACAAAGAAGATAGAATTTTAAGGGGTTTGGTGACATTTCAAGCCGTTTATTGGCCAATACCTGATTGAAACAAGTACAAGAAGTAAATTATGACAAAGCCAAATGTCTGACAATCAAAAATACCTTATTTAAAGACCGAATCAATGTGTGATTGAATATCTTTCAGCGTTAAATGAAGTTGTGTTAGTTGGTCAATGTCCATCTTCACGTTCTTTGATCCCTGATCAGTTTTGAAGGCAAAATTAATCAATGGCTCACGTTTCTGAGTGTTAAACCTTCTAAAAACAATGCTTTATGAGATGCTAAGTCGCTGAGTTTCATCTATTATTCATTTACTTGTTACATTAAGGTTTAGCTTGATCTGTCCACTACATTAAAGTAAGTCAAACACATACGTAGCTCTCTCCAGCTCCAAACCCCATCGTATATCGGAAACTTGAGGTTTCCCCGAAGCCGACACCAATTTGGCCTTCTTTATCGTAGCCGGTGCTTCAGTCTTCCACAACTCCACTATCCTTTCAACGTTCTCAACAGGCACGTTAAAATCCAAAAGTTGTTGTTGCAGCTCCTTGGGCTTGGTTTGATTCCTCACATTCCGTTTCCAGAACAAGAACAGCTCCTCAAACTAAAGAAATGACAAAAACTCGAAACATTTACCCATTCATCATTCGTTTGTGCTCCTAAACTTTGTTGGTATCCCTTCTGATCAGCCGGCGAACAGTCCCAATCAGTCCGGTTTAATATTACACTTGATACTTTGATGAACTCATCAATGTCTTTAAAGATGTTAACATTTATTGTCTCGGTCATATGTAACTAATTATGTTGCTAAAAGATAACGAATTACGTTGTTGAAAGATAACTAATTATGTTATCGCAAGATGAACAATTTTGTTGTAATCAACAATTAAAATTCCAAAAGTAAAGTAATGTTATTGCAAGGAAATGCAAAATGGTCACGTGAAGTTGGTTTGCAAGAAACTAATCATAAGCTCGTGTTCGATATGAAAGTAACTTGAGTTTTATTAAGAAACTTGATGTCAGGTGTGCTTTTAGAGCCAAAAACAATATAAAGAACAAAGAAAAACATAAAAATAACAAAGTTAAAACACTCTAGACAGAATAAGCTATCGTTTCATATGTAATTCATCTGTATTTACAAGATTTACAACAAGTTATCGTCAAATCTACTTCCATATTCAACAACTTTTTTTCCAAAAATAATTATTTCGGGTCGAGTCTTCCGTTAACATTAGTTTTTGGGCCAACTCTTTCTTTATCTTCAGAAAACCTTTTTCGTCTCGTGTTTATTGTACCAAACGCTGGTAACTTGCATATCAACTACGTAATGGCATCTTTTTAAGATTATGCATAGACTAAGGCTTGCTCAGATCATGTCTCGAGCCACCTCGACTTTATATCTTCTGATTATAGGCGCGGAACACGTGATATACTGCTAGTTGTTATTGTTTGTTGATTGAAACATGTTTTTCTTCAATGTGTGCGGGTTCTTTCAACTTTATTTATCGTTAACGGCGCGTCAACGTTAGCTGACTTTATTTATCAACCGAAATTGTGCTTTTCCACTTGAGATTTGACTTATTTTCGTCGTTTCCAGGACAATGATATCAGATTTCCTTCGTGAATATAAGGATGGCGTGATCGCTTCGTTGGACGGGTTTTTGGTTCTCTATAAGCTAGATCAGGACAATACAAAGCCTGTGGATGTGGTACAAAGGGCATCATCAGCTGAACCGAATCCACGAATGACGATTCTGGAGAGGCGGAGGTTAAAGGAGAAGGAACGTACTACAGACAGAAGAAAGAGTACCACACCGCCGGCGATTGTTAGGAAAAAGACTCCAGCTTATTATAGGGTTCTTCAGGTATGTTTTTATTGATTTTGTTGGAATTTAGAGCTGATTTGAAGGAATTACCCTGAATACGGGGGATTTGATCAAGGGTATTATCGAAAAAATATAATTTTTGATGGAATCTTTTAAAATTCAGTGTTTAAATGAGTTTAAAGACAATGAGGACATAGTAAAATATTTTCTCCGTGATTTCTTGTTACCTAAGTTCACTTTTAACATCGTTTCAGTGCGTTTTCCTCAATGTGATATCAATTTTCTTTGTCCAACTGATGGTGTGGGTCACAGAAACATTGTTTCCGGACAAATATGGTTGGCTCAACACAGTATTTGCTACATTTCGACTGGCATTAGTTCTACCCATCTTTATTATCATAAGAATCCTCAGCACATTATGGTTTGCCGATGTAGCCAATGCTGCTTTTCGCTACAGAGGAAGAACGATAACAACGAGATCTAATGTTGAGATTATGTTCTCCAAGACCGCTTCAGACTTTGTCCATGCTATTGTGGTTGAATTGGTCTTCTTGCTACAAGCTATGGTTGTAATGGCACTATCAGTACCGGTTTTGAGCCAAGTCGGAGGATTTATATTGATGTCTTTGTTGCACTCGTTGTACAGCTTTGAGTACGTGTGGATGAGCAGTGGAGTATCGATGAATACTCGTTTGATATTGGTGGAACGTCGATGGCCTTTTCACTTGGGCTTTGGGACACTGTTGACGATATTAACCATGCTTTCGGACAACTTTATGATCAATTCATGTGTGTTTGGAGCAGTTTTTCCTTTCTTCATAGTCAGCTCCTTCTTAACCTCGATTCCGGAGAATAAGGATTCGGAAATCACACCGGTACACTTTTTTCACATTTCTCAGGTCATTACCAACAAGTTATCAGCAACTGTCTTTGGTCGGATTCGATCATCAACGTGAGATTGCTTGTTTCTGGGTTAGGCGTCTACTATAATATAATTTTTATTTGTTAACTGGTGGTTTAGCATTTTTTTGGTTTTGAATAGTTAAAAAGGTTTAAAAAGTGAAAGAAGAAGGTATTTATTACTGATATTATAGTAGGTCCATCTAACTTTTTTACAATTTTTAGTTTTTTGAGTTGTGTCTAGTGAAAGCTATTATAATATGTTGTAGTAGCTGAAACTTCGGGTCTGAACTGTCTAGATTACAATTGTTTTACGAGTAGACATAACTGGTTTTTGATGCGAAAAGAATGGCACATGTTTTGGTTTTTTAGTCGAAAATTGTATAGAAAGTGGAAAAATGCCATTCTTTTTGCATCAAAGTTTTTATTTTCTTTGATACAATGTAAATATATTGTTTTTTCTGATCATATTGTGCCTATATTCTTAACTTATCATCTCTAATTCATTCATATTTATGCGTAGTGTTGTTGTAGATGTAGGTGTTTACCTTCTTATTGGCCTTATGGTGACATTGATGTAGATCTAGGTGTATTTTTACTTGTAGGTAAATATATACAACCTATGGGTCTCTGTTGATGTCATTGTGACGGTATATTGATGTAATGGAAGTGGGAATCTGTCTACATTGAGGTAATGATTATTGATGTAGTAGTATTGTCTTACTATGACAATATCACTGTTATACGATGATAAAACATGACGTACTTGCTGGTAGGTGTCATCATGATATCTGTCATCTTAATGTAGATATCACAATAGAAGATGTCACATTATTGTAGGTACCACACTGATAAAAGTCACCTTATTGTAGATTGATGTCACGGAACGTATGTGCCTTTATTTTGTTGTTATATTCAGGGCAATTGTCTAGATAACGTCGTATGTTGTTTATCAATGTCTGTTGTCTTCGTATTGTTACTGTTCTTCATTTTTCTTGGTTAATTGTACATAGTGTGAATAAAATAATTTTCGAACTTGAGGTTGGTCAGGAATTTTGACGCAGATTTTGGGTTTTTATGGGGTAGAGGTAGGGGAGGGTGTTTTAATTGGGAAGAATTGAGGGGAGGGGTCGATACAGAAAGGACGAGTATATGTATGAATTTTTTTAAAAATCCATGCTCAATGTAAATTTTTTTAAAAACCCTACGCTTTATATAAAATTAATTTTTTTTGAAAGCCCATGCCCAATGGAAATGTTTTTTTTCAAAGCCCACGCCCTATGCAAAACTTTTTCACAGCCCACGCCCTATGAAAAAAAAGTTTTTTAAACCCACGCCCTATGCAAATGTTTTTTTTTCAATCCCTACGCCCCATGCAAAACCCCATATTTCACAACGTTTATGTTATCTTTTACCATGCCTTTAAGGCTCTTATTGACAGCAGCAAACAACAGATTTGGGATTGGTGACATAGGTGGAAATGGTGACGTCCGTGTGGGCTCGAAATAAGCTAGGCCGGTCTATTTCCGTAGGCTGACCAGCGGATTAATTCCATGGTATTAAACATTGTTATTATACGAACTTGAAGGGGTGTATTTGGAAATCTTGAGGCATTTTATATCTTACGTGTTGTGGGGAATGGTTATGTTTAAGATGACGCTTTTTGGGTATAGTAGGGTAGGGTACTGTAGGATATGGCTGGGTATGACAGGGTAGGGTAGGGTGGGGTACTGTAGGATATGGCTGGGTAGGGTAGAGCTATGTAGGGTAGGGCAGAGTAGGGTAGGGTAAGTTACGGTAATTTTGTTCAAACTACTATAGCCTACTACAGTAATTAGTATCATGACATATAAATAAAGTATTTCATAGTCTCACTAATGACTACAGTAAGTCTGTTACATATATAGCAATACTAACATTTTTGCTTTACATGGCTTCAAAGATTGCCCGGTCATAGTTAATTATTTGTTTGCTGTTTTTCGTGACATTACACTTTATTTATGACTCGTAACATGTGAAATTTAACTAGATTATGCACATATTGGTGATTATGTCGTAGCAAATGTAAACAATCAGCTTTCGTGAGGAGGAAGGTCGAACGATCTTTCTATTTTTATGGTGGTCTATTGTACATCTACCATAATATAAAGGAAGAATTTTATTAAAGTGAAAAATGGGAATGTTCTGTTAGAGTACTATATAGTAGAATACAGCATCAATGAGTAAGCTTTGGCCTTGATCGTGTGCTTGGGCTTAAGCTTAGAATTGGGTTTAGGCTTTTGCTTAGGCTTAGGCTTCGGCTTGGACTTAGACTTAGGCTTAGGCTTAGGGTTTTGGTTTTGGTTTGGGCATTGGCATAGGCTTAGGCTTGAGCTTAGACTTAGGCTTGAGCTTAGGCTTTGACTTAGGGTTTTGGTTTGGGCATTGGCATAGGCTTAGGCTTGAGCTTAGACTTAGGCTTAGGCTTAGGCTTAGGCTTAGGCTTAGGCATGAGCTTAAGCTTGAGCTTAGGCTTTGACTTAGATTTAGGCTTAGGTTTAGTCTAAGGTTTACGCTTAGGCTTAGGCTCGAGCTTCTGATGAAACTGAGGTTTTCCTTACCTTTACGCTTAAGTCTAGGCTTAGGTTTAAACAAAAGATTAGACTTAATTTATAAATTAGGCTTTAGCAAAGGTTACGATTTAGGCTTAGAGTTACGATTAGGCTTAACACGCAATGCTTTGGTTGATAACATGTATCAGCCTATAATACTGATACTAAGTAGTACGTGCTTTGATGGCACTCCGTGGCATTTGTACTGAAGATATTATCTTGGGTTTGTATTGTCAGTACTGGGCAGTATTTTGTTTTTTATCGCAGTAAAATACGATTTCCAATTGTATGAACTACATTTTGGGTTAGCTGAAACGCCCATCTCTTACTTTCATTTTAATTTGTTTTGCATTGCTAAACCTGTAATTAACGGCCACAATTTGGGCCAAGCCTTTTGTTATTAGGCCGAAGGCAGATTTGTAATAAATTGAGTATTTACCAGTCGATAGTATAGTATATACAAAATAAGTCTGACAGTTCGAAGACACAGCTGGTTACAATTGGGGGTGTTGGTGAACTTTTGTTTTCGGCACGGTTTGCTTTGATAATAGGTTATTTTAGGTTGTAATGAGGATTGCGAAGAGTATTGTTCATGAAAAAAGGTAAGACATGGCAGGTAAAACAAGATTGTCTAGGCTAGGGCAATTTTAGTGACTATGATCTCGGCTGGGGCCGGTGATTTTGGGTTGGAGCTAGAGTAGTACCGTTTTACGAAAAAATTGTACTGGTTAGAGCTTGGATTGGAATATAGCTATGTCTAGGGCTAGGACCAGGGCTATGGCTAGAACTACGGATAGTACAATGGCTAGAGCGGTAGTAAGATTAATATTTATGGCCTTGGTCGGGGAGATGAGAATGATCCGCGAAGGGGCAAATAATTTTTTTTGGGGCAGGGGCAGGGGCAGGGGCAGGGGCAGGGGCAGGGGCAGGGGCAGGGGCTAGGGCATGGGCTAGGGCAGGGGCTAGGGCTTTGGGTTAGAGCTACGGACTTGTTAAAGCTTTGGAAGCGTTGTTACTTTTCAAACTACACTTCTCGCTTCCAAACTATAGTTTCATACCTTTCCTCCTTGCATATCAAATAAACGCGGCCTCAACAACCTAACGGCTGCATTTCAAGGCCCCTATCCCCATATTTACATAATGACAAGGCGGTATATAGTAACGTGAGAAGAACATTGTTGTTATGCCAACTAAAGTTTTCGCGCATTCGACGCAAAAAAAACAGCCAGCCGGCTGGCCGTTAAGGGCCCGCAGGTTATGTTGCCATTGGCAGCCAGGTAAAACCCCCCTTTTCGTCTCCGTTCCCGTCGTTCCGCGGCCCGAAGAACGGGCCAAAGAAGCAGGAACTCTTCGTCATTATTCCCATTTTTTCGTTTAATTTCGAGGATCACGGTGACGTTCCGCGTTCTAGCCGCTGGGGATTAGAGCCGGATTTGGTAATTTTTGGCGGATAAGTTTTGCACGGTATTGGGGTACGAAAAGCGTACAAAAGGAAGAGGAAGGGGAAGGGATAAGTTTTTTAAGTTTGGAAGTAAATTTTAAAATGCTTTAGGCTTAGCACGGGAAAGCGCAAAAAAAAATTTTTTTAAAAAGTTGAACGTGGCCCCCCTGTGGATTTTTAGAAAAAAAAATTTCAAAAAAATTAGCACGGGTAGCTGCTACCTTTTTTCGACACCCCGCCCCTAGATCAAAAGTCCCCGCCCGGCCCTGCTGACTAGGGTAAAGTAAAAGTAAGACAAGTTAGGCTTAAAATAAAAGCAAAAAAGCGTTAGGATAAGGTTAGAGCAGGGCTGGGTAAAGTTCGGGATAGTGTAAAGTTGAGAAAAGATATAGTTAGAGCAGGGTATGGTAGGAATATTGTTAGAGCAGGGTTGGGTTAGTCAAAAGGGTAGGGTAGGATAGGGTAGGGTAGGGTAGGATATGGTAGGGTAGGGTAGGGTAGGGTAGGGTAGGGTAGGGTAGGGTAGGGTTGGGTAGGGTAGGGTAGAGTAGGGTAGGGTAGGGTAGGGTAGGGGTAAGCCATTAAATTACTTTAAAAATAGTATTTTACCTAGTGTAATATAATCAAATCAACCCAACCTTTCAAAATAAAATTTTTTTTTGAAAGTTTGATTACATTAACCATATTACAACATTGTAAAACTCGGTAATTGGATTACATTTTTCGAAATTATTAAATTTGTTTGAAATGGAAGCGATTTATATTTGGAGGTCAAGAGTCTCACTCTCTTTCTCTGCCACTCTCTCGTCTCTCAATTATATTTTTCTTTTTTACTGGATTCGACCTTTCCATCGTATGTTCTGTACGACGTTTTACTCAGTAAAAATTTATATTTGGGTTGAGTTCAAGTAGATCTTGTTTGTTTGTTAAGGGCGAGGTATTCTTGCCTGGGAGTGGGGGATATTGGTTGATTTTTAGGAGGTTGTAACATGATCTACAGATTCTTGGTTACTATGCCGTCATAGTCAACAGGAGGGGGGGAGGGAGGCTTTTGTTGTAGCGGGGCGGTTAAAAAATAAAAGTAAGGATAGGAGTAGGAGGGGGAGGGGAAGACTGTTTCATAGCCATTGCCATGCCTTGTCTTGCCTGTCCCTTGCCTGTGTCTTGCCTTGCCTTGCCTTGCCTTGCCTTGCCTTGCCTTGCCTTGCCTTGCTTTGCCTTTGCCTTGCCTTTGCCCTGCCCTACCCTACATTACCTTAACATACTCTACTTGACCTTACTTTACCTTACTCTAACTCACTTTACTCTAACCTACCTTTCCCAGTTTAACTTTACCTTATCTTAGCCTACTCTACTTAACCCTAACCTTTAATTTTACCACGCCCAGTCAAAATACAGTTGTTTCATAACTTTCAATGCCTTAAAATACCATTTTCGTGACATAAGTTGCCAACTTATTGAAATTTATGACATAAAGTCACACTGAAAATGCGTATTTTGTAAACCTTGACGTGCCGTGAACATTGAGGCTGTGGAGGAAGTGAAAGTCTCTATTTCCTCTAAACATTTCGAAAATAACTTCGGCTGTAATGTGTAAGATTGTCACTATTTATTTCGGCTTTAATCAAGCTGGTTTTACCATTACACTCGTATTACATCTCGGGGTGGCATTACCTATAATTCATCGAGTATTAGCTTTTTATACTTGTATTACATTGACTTTTATGAATTACTCGGAATTGTAGCGGTTTAACGGTTGTGTTTTAATATATACACGTAGTTTATAATGTATTGCCATACGTACACGTAGTTCATACTCAGTGAAGGTTTTAATTAGTAGTGCGAAGTGGTTTGGTATAAGGTTAAGAATAGGTGTCAAATACTCCAATTACATAGAGTCTTTTTTAAGTTCAGGCTAATATGTAACCTTAAAATTATAGTTATTGTTAAAGTTAGAGTTTTAGATGAGATTACGGCAGGTTATGACTAAGTTTAGGCTTAATTGCAGTCGTATGCTTAATGTAACGAACAGGCTAATGTTTTGGTGTTCAGGCTTAGGATTAGACTTATGCTTAAGCTTAGGCGTAGGCTTAAGCTTAGGCTTAAACTTAGGCTTAGTATTCTTAGGCTTAGTAGGCTTAGGTTTAGTAAGCTTAGGCTTAGTAGGCTTAGGCTTAGTAGGCTTAGGCTTAGTAGGCTTAGGCTTAGTAGGCTTAGGCTTAGTAGGCTTAGGCTTAGTAGGCTTAGGCTTAGTAGGCTTAGGCTTAGTAGGCTTAGGCTTAGTAGGCTTAGGCTTAGTAGGTTTAGGCTTAGTAGGCTTAGGCTTAAGCTTGGGCTCAGGCTCAGATTTATCTAACGTTTATGTTCATGCTTTGGCTCAGGCTTAGACTTTGGCTTAGGCTTAGGCTCATGCTCATGCTCAGGCTTAGGCCCAAGCTCAACTTTAAGCTTAGGCTTACGTTTAGACATTGTCATATTCATTAGATTAGATAAGACATAAGCTTGTATAGTGCAATGACAACATAAAAGTTCTAAAACCCATTATAAAAAAGGGCATGAGAAGAGCAAAAAGCTGGAAAAAACTTTTTGAAAATATTGTCATTTTTAGTCTCATATAGTACGTGGCAATGTGAAATGCTCTTACTTGGTAAACCAAAGTCTTATTAAAGTTTTTGCAATACTTCAGAACTGCACTATTGTCTTTAAAATAGTTATGACATTTCTTCTTGCTTTAGGTTTTTTTTTACTTTTTTTTAAATGTTATTATAAAATGGCAGTTTTTAAGTTACAGAGCTATCTTTCATATTACCTATGATATTAATGTAGATTAAATTAAAGTTGGCATAACTAAGTTAATAATTAAGGTTTTTAACTGAATTTATAAGTAAAATACGCTTCATGTACTTGACTTTGAATTTGTTAAAAAAGTTTTTGAGGTTTTACATTACTTTTGTCATTATAACAATTTTTGTCATACAATACCTTAAACAATGAAGAATCTAGAAATATTCAAATTTCTGCTATTTTTAACGTTACATCTGACCAAAATGGTATCAAAATGTAGTCTACTACATCATATGTTTGCAGTGTGTAACCTCCAAGAGGTGTCTCACACCTAATTACTCTTGTTTTTGCCCACTACAACATACTACGTCGAATGTCATCACTTCCCTATTGATCTCTAAAACATGTCTGGAGTATTTTCTCAGAGTTTTACAATTATGCGATTAGCCAGTTGACTATGAGAACGTTATTTTCGAGTCAATTACACTTTTGGGTCATTATTTTAGGTATTAGCCAATTCGAAAAGGGGGTATTTGAATAAATTTATATTAAAGGTAATGGTGGGTAATTAAGAGTATTGTAATTTTGGGTAGAGTAGCGTAGAGTAAGGTAGAATAGGGTAAAGTAGCGTAGAGTAAAGTAGAGTAGGGTAGAGTAGGGCAAGGTAAAATAGAGTAGGATTAGGAAGGATAAGGCAGGGTAGGGTAAGATAGAATAGGTTAAGGTAGGGTAGATTAGAGCATGATAAAGTAAAGTAGGGTAGATTTAGAGGGGGGGGGGTGTTTCAATAAAATTATTATAGTTTTTAAAAGATTTTAAGATTTGATTATTATTAAAAATGAATTTTTTAATGTTTTGGTAAAGTTTTTTGGTCTTGCAACAGAATGCCAAAGTTGGCGGGAAAATCGAAATTTAAGTTTTATAATCTTTTTTTGCTTTTTTTTTAACAATTTCAAACTGTTTTGATTATTTTTTTTAATTTTAAAACAGTATTTTAGAAAGTTGAATAGTTGCAACGGAATGCCAAAATTGGCGGGAAAAATCAAGCTTAAATTTAAAAAAAATTTTTTGTTTTCAAGATGCGTATTTTACAATTGAATACATTTTTGCGTGAAATATTTAAATTTAATTTCTTTTTATTTTAATATTTTTATATTTAAAAAAAATTTCAACTTTACAGTGTAAAGCCGCCTGGCCAACCGAACCTGGATGCTCGGTTGGAGTCGGCGGAGAACATGGACGAGTTCTCCAACGTACTCACTTACATCATCCCCATCCTTGTGCTGCTCATTTTGTTGTGTTGTATGTTGAAGTTGTACGTGAAGTGGACCGGTGGTTTGAAGAATTGTCATCGGCGGCGCAATTTAACGGAAAACTCGACGGGTAAGGGAACTTCTCTTGTATTTCGCTTAAAACTGTCATTTTTAATTGACATCAAAATTTTTCTACTTGTAAAAAATGAAGTTCTGACTAGTTCCTACTATGTTACATTAAGATATGTACATAAAGTTACTTTTTACACGCGGTAAACTCATCTAAAATTGATATACTATTCACCAGTTCAAGTTCATGGTATGCCACTTTCAAACCGATGTTCTAATGTCGCTAGACTGTTTTTGAATATTCTAGCGGTTGGAATAACAAAAGCAAAGTTTAATTATTAAGAAAACACCATAATATGTCACTAAGACACCAACTTTACATACAAAATTAGGCTTTTTTATATTACACTGTCGAGTTGTCTGAAACTACAATATACTAATTGGTTACAGACATTGAAATTGAATGTAAAGACGACTAAATACAATATCAGAGTAGTTGGTACTTATTAATGTATTTTATCAAGAATATTTTTTCGAATTTGTAGGTTACGGTATTGTTATATAGTTTTTGGTATGTTAACGTTATGTTACCATAGTGAAGAGATGCGGTTGTAAAAATTGCTACAAAATTTTTTATTGTAATATTTATTACTATTCAAATAATTTTAAAGCATATTTAATTCACATGCATTGTTTTAAAAACATGTCATGATGACGATTTTTTTGGAAAAAATGTGTCATAATGACATGTTTTTAAAAAACCAAAAATTAAGTATTATTGACTTTTTCGGATAGTAACAGCATTATGACATGCTATTTTCTTCAGTATGACGCTAATTTGTTGACATAAACATATATAGTGCACTACAAGTACTCGCTAATCCCTGAGGCTATTTTGGACTAAACCCTTTTCAAAACAAAATTTTTGACGTTTAATCTGATTAGGTCATAAAGATTTGTTAAAAGTTTTACAAATTTTTTTAAATTTTGAAATTTTAAGACTGGAAACAAAGTTTTTGCATATTTTTGAAATTTCAAAATTTTTTTAAAAATTTTTAAAAATTTAATAAATATTATGTTTCAGTATCAACAACAGTACCAATAACTCCAGAATTAGTGATACACTCAAATAGGACCAATGGTACTGTTCCAGTACTGCCGTTTGAGATCACGGAATTTGATGGGTCAACGTTCTTCACTGTGCCATTTTTAATCGAACGCTTTCCGCCAAAATACGAAGATGCCATCAAAATGGCATCACCACAGCCGACACGGAGAGCCTCCGTCACTGCCGTAACGGCCGCGATTCCGCCTCCACCGTTCTACGAAAATGCTCATGGAAGCGGGTACTCTGATGGTAAGTTACAGTAATGTTTGGTACAGATTAAATTTTTTTTTGAAAAAAGTGGATCATAGAAGGTGTTTTTGGTACTGCATAGTACGTTAGAAACATATTTTTTTGGATTTTTAGCTTTTGATTACTGTATTTTTTAAGGCTTTAAAGTTAACTCTAAGGACTATGAGATACAGTAACCCTTAGTACAAACTAATTTTTTTTTTGAAAAAAGTGAATGGTAGAAAGTGTTTTTAATACTATATAGTACGTTAAAAGCACAATTTTTAAAAATTTCAATTATAGATTACTGTAGTTTTTGAGGCTTTAAAGTTTGTTTGAAAGACTATGTGTAACACCGCTACAGTAACCTTTAGTACAAAATTGAGAAAAATATATTTTCCGACAAAACGTCATTTTCTTTTACGTAGCTTCTAGAAACTACATTGTCGTAGGTCCTTGTTAACAAAGACTATGGGAACGAACGCTAGGCTTATTTACACATACTACAAGGTTATGCGTAATATTGGACTAAAATAACTTGCAAGCGCGTTGAAAATATGTAATTGTGGTTTATGACTTTGTACTTTTGCAGTTCTTAATATTCATTTAAGAAATTTTGTCATTTTTGACCGTTTTATCGCTTTTAACACAATGCCAAAGTTTGGCGGGAAAAACAAAATTTAAAATTTTTTGCTAATTTAGAGCAAAAATAATATTTAAATTAGTGTCACAGGACTTAGTAATGTTAAATTAGTTTACTTTGCCAAAGTTTGGCGGGAAAAACAAAATTTAAAATTTTTTGCTAATTTAGAGCAAAAATAATATTTAAATTAGTATCACAGGACTTAGTAATGTTAAATTAGTTTAATTTTGTTAATTTTGGCTCTTAAAACACAATGCCAAAATTTGGCGGGCAAATCAAAATTTAAATTTTCAGCACCGCCCTCCTATTGGACACTGCCTCGCCTAGGGTCCAGCCATCAAGCCGCCTCAACAGACGCCTTTACAGTGCCTTCCACGATCACGACGAGTATGAACATGCCCACCTCTTCCAGTACGATATACCTACAAGAAGCACAGAAAGCTCACGGCAGTACGGCTAGCTTGGTGCGACATGCGCCGCTAACACAGAGTTTGTCGGACTCGGTTCAGTTGGCTAGCCGAGACAACTTGACGATCTTGAGGGCGAGTACCGCTACTTCACCGGTACCAACTGCACCAGCACCATCCATGCCGCTGCCGGGTGCTGTGATGGAGGGTAATGAGTTTGGTACTGTGCACGAGCTACGGGTGGACGAGTTGGAGAAAAATTAGGTACAAAGTGGATTTTTTGCGATATTTTACAGTATACTTGTACAGTATTTTACAGTATATTCTACAGTATCTTACAGTATACTTTTACATTATCTTTTTTACGGTATACTGTATGGTAGTAGTGTAGGTAAAACGATGTTATACCATTAAGTTGTTCAAAAACTTATGAGCTACTTAACTCTGAAAATTTGCATGGAAGGTGGCTCAGAATTAATTGAACAACTTAATATACGTTTCTACCGTATAACATTTGCTCTACTGTATAATTCAAGCTTCCTACAGTATCTCTCTTAGGCCTATGTAAAGATAGTATATATATATCATTCTCTGTTGTATATCACCGTAACGGGTCGAAGATCGCGTCTACCTCAACATACCAAGCGCTTTCGCTCCTCTTTTTGATGTTTACATTGTCTCGTCGTATCTCATGCCAAAGAATAATATACTGTAATGGTCTTTGGTAGGTAAAACATAATGTATCTTAACATAATATAGGCTTTGCATACCATATAAGCTACATATAAGGCAGTTATAAAAGTCTTGTCGTCAAATCCCATTGCTGTCAATGTTAAAAAACGACAAGACTTTTAACAAGCAGTTATAGTAGCTATATCACATTTATATGCTACATAACATCATGACGTCTCAACACCAGACACTTGAGATACTTTTTTACCTACTTATGGCAGCGTACGTAGTAAACAATGACGTATATAAGTGGATACACATGTATGTCTCAAATATGTATAAAGCCGTTTATGCACATATTAAAGACACATACTTCTTTACATATCAATCCAAACGCTTGGACTTACGAACATTGACGTTCTAAATCATGTCTGAGCAGATTTTAAAGTTTTAAGCTGATTTTTAAAAAATTTGACGAAATGTCACAAGATTTATTGGAAAAGTTAACGAATTGACATAATTAAAAGAATTAAAAAAGGTGTGTATTTTTAATTAAAAGTGACATTAGGTATGCTTTCTTAATGTTTTTGACCTATTGACGAAATGTCACAAAAATTATTGGAAAAGTGAACGAAGTGTCACATTTATTAAAAGATGCCAAAATGTCGTTTTTAAAATATAAATGACGTTTTTTTATGTGTTTAGTCGATTTTTTGCATTTTTTCAATTTTAGGCGAAATGCCACAAAAATTATTGGAAAATTAGACGAAGTGTCACAATTATTGAAATTTTAAAAAATGTTATTTTTACAATAAAAATGACTTTTTTAAAATTTTTAGTCAATCTGTGGCATTTTTTATGTTTAGACGAAATGTCACAAAAATTATTGGAAAAGTAGACGAAGTGTCACTTTTATCAAAAATCAGTTAAAAATATTAAAATTTGCTTAATATCTAAAAAATTTTGTAGTTTCTTTTTTATTTTACATTTATCTATCGTATAGATGGTGTATGTATTATATATATCACCTAAAGTATGTATACAGTAGTACATACTACTATAATATATTGTTGTATGTCTAATATACTATAAACTATTGTTTTTGTTATCTCATGGTAACCTTAGTGCATCTCATGGTTTTTCTTACTCTATTTTCTTTTACCTTACCTTACCCTACCTTATTCTTCTTATTCTGCCCTACTTTTCTCTACCTTACCCTGTCTTACTCTCCTATCTTCACTTCTACCGTACTCATCGCTTGGTTCAGGGTACTACTTTACATAGTAAATATACCTATATATATTACTTTATAGTATTTTGTTAATCAATAGTATTGTTCTATTTACTTTATATCAATTATTGTACGTCTAACCATGGTATAATTCCATCTACTACGAGGTAAATTAGGTTTATGACACAAATAATGGCCAAAACTCTCGACTTTAATTTATTTACCTTGCCCAATAAATCGATTACATATTACGGACGAAGTAATTGGCCGCAGTAAAGTTGGTTACTGCGAAAGTAAATGAAAGTTTAAGGCTTTACTAGTAAGCTTACACTAGTAATGTTCATGTGAACACTTTAGCTCATTTTAGTGCTAAGTAGTACGTCAGTGAGTCAAGTAAACGTACTTTAGTACGATAATGAGTAAAGTAAACGTGCTATATAGTAAGATAATGAGACAAGTAAACGTTCTATTGAGCACGATAATGGGTCAATTAAACGTGCTTACATAGTACAACAATGAAACAAATAAACATGCTATTTAGTAAGTCAGTAAGTCAAAGAGTTTATTGCCGAAAGACATTTTATATATGAGGTATAAGATTAATAGCAAATGATAAAATAGGTAAGGAATCATAAAATGATGTTATAGTACTTATCATATGTATAAATAGCTATGTAGCAAACTGACAATAAAAAACACCAAAAAATATTGTAAAATACGTTCACAGTTCCTACAATGAAACTACAATGATAATGTTATTTTACACAAAAGACGAAATGCCACAGGAATTATTGGAACATGTTGCAAAGTGTCATATTTTTAAATACTTGGACGAAACGTTCAGAATGATAAAAAACTAAATATACAACAGAAATAACACAAATAACACATAGAAGGAAAAAAATGTATTTAAAAACATAAAGACGAAATGTCACAAAAATTATTGGAAAATGTTGCCAAGTGTCACATTTTAAAATACTTTTAAAAATCATACAGAACAATCATTCGGCATTAATTTACAACACAAATGAAATATTGAAGGAAAAAAAATGTATTTAAAAACACAAAAGACGAAATGCCACAGAAATTATTGGAAAAAAAATAAAACGTTAAAATTTTTACCAATTAATCAAAAAATGTCAAAGTAAGTTCATAAAATGTAAAATACGTTAGTTAGACCAATCATTTTAAAACTTTAGGCAAATACAATGTTTCAATTTTTCCAAAAATTTTTTGCCATTTCGTCTGATTTTTAAAAAATCAATAAAAATAGCCTCAAGCATAAAACTTCAAAAAACAATTAGAACCCTAAGTTATCAACTTCTTTTCAAAATAAAAGTCATTATTATTACTCGGTAACTCATTCCAGTTGATATTACTGTAGTCCACATAGGCATTATGTACAATATTGTGATTGAAGATGGCTTGTTTGTCCATATCTTGCTGGTAAAAGCCGTGTAGCATATGGTCTGGCATTGACTGACGTCTCTTAACAATTGCATCATCTTTTATCTCTCCAAATATCGTATTCTTTACCGTATTTTTACCGTATGCCTCTTCGAATACCGTATTCTTTACCGTATCCTTGAACAAGTCGTCACATGCCATGTCAAGTTGATGTTGATCATTGCTACAGTAATCTTTTCTATCTGCCATAGTATCTTGACCATAGTCATCAAAACCGGTCGATTCTCGTTTGATCTTACGGTAACTACCGTAATCCATCTCATAGTCATAGCATGATGAAGTTGATGCTGTAGAAGGCGTGATCTGACTGTGGTCTCGTTTTCGACTGGTCGATTCTTGTTCAACTTGTTTGAAGTATTCGTCCAGGTCATCCCCCAGCTCTGGCAGGGGTAATCCAAAAAGACTGGCGGGGCAGAGACTCAAGGGTTCACTGAAGGGACCGTCGTACGGTATTGAGCACGGTACAGGCATAGATGGTAAAGTAGCCAAACTGTTAAACCCATTTTGTAGCACACACTCTTCCACATCATTTAGTACCATGTTTGGTGCAGTTGGTACACTTTGGCCAGCTAAACCACTGCTTGAAAGTGACAGACCACCAGGATTTGCCCCAAGCATAAATGGTATCCCAACATTTCCAGATGCTATATTAGGCGAACCAATGGTACCGGGTGGTACTCCAAGTGCAGATAGGTCCACGTTGTGATGGTTTATGTTATTCATCAACAAATTTTGGCTAGCCAGTCCAGCTGGGCCAGATATGAGAGGCGGAAGTCGGGAGGTATTCAGTTCTGACGCCATTTTTTGGTTCTTCTTGGTGATATTGTTGTTGTTATTCACGTCTATTGCTCGCGTTTGATGCTTTATACCTTCTGGCACCTAAAAATATAAATTTAAATTGTATCTTAATGTCAAAAACATCAATAGTACATGTTACTAAACAGAAGATAACTTAAGATATTATTAACCGAATGCTGCCAAGCCTTGTACAATGTAAGACAAGACCTTATACTACAATATAATCACCAAACCAACAAAAAAATATTGACAGTAAATGAAAAAAACTGTAGTAAAAGCCTTACGTCGTCGCTTTTGTCATGACTTGAGACGGACTCAGGCGAGCTCACATCGTATTCAGCGTCCTTGTCACGCATACTCTGGTATGTAGACGGACAATACACCCAAGAAGCGTTTTGCAAGGCTTGGCCTTCTGCTTGCCTACAATAATATAGTGTTTTTTGCACAGAAATTACATTGATATAGCAAGAAGTACCCTACCCTACCCTACTCTACCATACCCTACCCTACCCTACCCTACCCTACCCTACCCTACCCTACCCTACCCTACCCTACTCTACCCTACCCTACCCTACCCTACCCTAGCTCTACCCAAGCCCTTCCTCCCCCCCCTCCAGTCCTACACTAACTTTAAACAAGCTCCATCCACAGTCTTACTCTAGCCACACACGAAATACACTAGAACTACCCCTACCCTTGTCCTACTCTTGCCTTACCCAAGCTTTAGACTATCCATAATCTACCCCAGCTCCAACCTAACTCTAGTCCTACAGTAGCTCAGCCCTACCTTTGCTCTAATAGTACCATGGCCCTACTTTAGCCCTCCCCAAGCCGTCGAGTAGCCCTAAATTAGCTCTGTGCCAGCCCTAATTCTAACTTTTACTACCCTACTCTACCCCGGTGTAAGCCCAGTGACTTACCCAACAGCCTGAAAAGTGGCTTGGATATAGGTCGATGTTTCGGTCGATTTCGACATGAATACAGTATGAAGCCATATGAACCTTTTGGAAGCATTTTCCAAACGAATCAGTGATACTACTACACCTTCTTTTTCTCGGATTACTGTAAGTATAACACAAATTTTTTTTCAAATGTAAAATACGATGTATCCTAATAAAAATAAAAAAATTTTACTTTGAAATTCAGGTATTAAATAAAAATATAGCTCCCCCACCCCCAAAAAACCCTTACATTTACAATGAGCCTCCTTAAGCGTGCCCAAATCCTCCGGATGTACAATATTGTACATGTTGATATAGTCATTACTCGTGTACCCCAACATTTCTTTGGCATTCAAATTCATTTCCGTAGCAATTAACTCCAGCGACAATACCATGGTGAATATGTTAGGGTTGCCCATAGCCAAATTTTCAGCATTTTCCGGATTAATCAGCGGCTGACAAAAAGCCGAGAACAATGGCTGGATCTTGGCTGAGCCCTGCATCACATGGTTCACGGCTTTGTAGTGTTCCATTGAATGAATGTAACGACCTTGCACCAAGACAAACTAAAATATTGAGGTTTTAAGGACTTTTTCACAAAAATTCTTCGAATTTTATTTTTGGCGCCAAAATTGGCATTCCGTGGCAAGTATCGGAATGGCTATAAAATGACATATTATAACTTTCCTAACACAGTTTTTGTTTTTTAAAAGCCTAAAAAAGTCATATTTTCAAAAAAAAAAATTAACTAAGTTTTAAATTTAAAATTTGGCGCCAAAATTGGCATTCTGTTTTAATATTCAAAATTGCTGGAAAATGACATTTTATAATGAACTGAGTCATTTTAAAAACTTTTTAAAATTAAAAACATGCATTTTAACTTTTAAAAAAATGAAAAAAATTCAAATTTCCATTTTCCCGCCAAAACCCTTACCTTGTAATACTGAACCTGTCGTTTAGCAGTCTTGCTCAAATTCATCCTACAAACAAACACACTTTCATGTGGGTAATATTCCGAATATCCACTGATTGGGCCAATTCCTAGCTCAGTTTGTACTGTAACATGATCTCTGACATCGACAAGATCGTATAAGCTGTCACCCTGGCACATTATCTCCTCTACCGAGTAACCGAGATATTCACTGGCATTGTCTGAGATGTACAGGAGCTTGCCTTCCTTTGTTATCATGAGTAGAAAGCCGCGTAAAGCACGACAACTGTCACAGCCACGAGGCGTGGCGGTGGAATACGGTAGCGGGTAGTCTTTGCCACAGGTTTGAAGTACTGTAATTTAGCATATTAATTAAAATGCTAAAAAAGTTTAAAAAGTAAAACTATTAATTTTTTATAATTATAATTTATTTAATAGTTTTTATGTGTGTGAACGAAATGTCAAAAAATAAAAAATTTCCAATGATTTTTGTGACATTTCGTCAAAATTGCCAAAATTTATCAAAAGACAAAATAAAATAGTTTTAAAGTAATTTGAACATTATTATCTATATAAATGCTCACTTTTTATAAAATTGAACGAAATGTCACAAAGTTACAATTTTTTCAATAAATTTTGTGACATTTCGTCAAAAGCGTCTAAAACTTACTTAAATTAAAAAGTGATTACTTTTACAAAACACAATTTTAGAACACGTATTTTAACAAAATTTAACAAAGATCCACAATTTTAAAAATCAATAATTTTTTGTGACACTTCGTCATAAGCCTCAAAAAACTTTTAAAGTACAAAAAATAAAAAAAAATGTATAAACCTTACTATACGGTAGATATTTGTGTTTTCTGATGTAAATACAAGCTAACGACATGACTTGTAGCTGAAATAGCCTGTCTTTAACACATGAATTCAATGGTAACAGGTCGCGGATCTTCTGAATCTCAATATTTATCAGTTCCCGACGTTGTTTTGAGGCTCCTCTGTAATTTATAGTGTCATTATTGACGTTGGAGTGAGTAGTATGATAGAAAAAATCTATTTTTGTGACCAAATTGTAACTTATCCTTACCTTGAACCTGGGTCGTTTGAGTTGTCCATGATTGATATAAGTAGAGTTTACCGTATTATAATGTAGTATAAGATAATATAATGGTGTTCAGAGCAATATATGACAAAATCAAATAGAAATAACTATGCTTTCAGTATTATATTAACCAGAGTAATCAATTTACAATGATATTGCCACAATAAATGAGCTGATATTACACTAGGTTCACTTCTGGTAGTACTACTTAAAACAATGATAGTACTAGTAATATTAAATCCAAAAAGATGCTAAACCAAAATTTTTAAAGCTCAGGTCAATGCCCTACTATAACATACAATAAAAAAGTCAAAAGTCAAGAATACAAAAAGATATGGCAGTTTAAAAAAGAAGATTGAAAGACAAATGGGTAGTATAACTTTGAGTAATATACTACCTAATTGTTGTTACAATAATGAAAATTGATTGATATAAGAATGTTTGAGTACTATATGAGTAGGTAGGAATAATAGAATTTATAGTAATTAATCAATTGTTATCGTAGTATCATTAAGGTTACAGTAATGTAAGCTGATTGAAAGTAAAGTGTTATTGCAACTGTAGTAACTGAAAAAGATTGTTACAGTAATTAGTACAAACACAAAAATTTATGATTTCCCAGACCATCTTACCTTGCCCTAACCTAATCTATTCTACCCCACCTTGTTCTGCCCACCCTACTCTACCCTATTATTCTCAACCCTACCCTATTATATCCTATCCTACACTAAACTTGCTTACCTTACCCTGCCTTGTCTTACCCTACCCATACCTCCACACACTCTACCCTGACCTACTCTTACAGTACCCTAGTCTACTACAATCTGCCCTACCCTACCCTACCTCACATTAACATAGCGTACCCTACGCTGCCCTATACTCCTAAAATTTTGAATTACAGAACCCAGACTGCAAAAAAAAATAGTCAAGTTACAGTATCTTACATCAATATTAAATTTGCAATACGTCATTTACACAGTAATATCAAATCTAGTCAAGGTTATACCAAAGTAATTTTATTTAATATACCTCAACCTATCCTTTTATAACTCTAAATTACAATACCCCTACCCCAAAAAATTTAAAAAATATTCAAACCAAATACCCACTTACCCACTAATATCAAAAATCAGCAAACGCTAACACGTTGAATTAGCCGAAATGTTGGCGGCGACGTAGTTCCGGACGTCGTAGCCGACCCGCTTGACCCAGCGACGAGAAAAAAATCGCTGGCCCTAAGGGGGTCAGGAGGTCAGCGCCCCCTCTTGACCCCCCGCCTCGTACCATCGGCGATGTTTGTCGTTCCGTACTGACTGTCACTTCGTTTCGCAACTTACTCTCCTCGTCTGCGCTCTATTGTTTGTTTTTGTGTACTGCCTGTGGCCGTTTTTTGCTCATTGTTTTTGGATTTTTGCAATTTTTTTGAAATCTAAAATATTGTGATAGCAGAAAAGGTATTGTAGGCAGAAACGCCGTTTGGGGGGGGAGGGGTGGTTCGGGGTGACTCCCCCCCCAAAGCCGATCCGAAAAAAACCCCACAGGTAGGTACCCCGTACCTGCTCTGTTCACCAAAAAAATAATTTTGGGTCTCCACTCCCCCCCCTCCCCAGAGAAAAATCGAAGGAACATCACTTATTGTAGGACAGGGTAAGGCTGGACAAAGTAGAGAAGTGATAAGTAAAGTAAGGTAAGTAGGCTAGACTAGATTAGGGTAGGGCAAAGTAGAACAAAGCAATAAAGAGTTAAGATAAAATTGAGTAAGTTGAGTAAAGCAAGGTAGGGTAGAGTAAAGTAGGACAGGGTACTGTAGGGTAGCGTAGGTTAAAGTCGAAAAAGATAAGTGATAATTATAATAAGATAAGGTAAGTTGGCTAAGCTAGAGTAGGGTACAGTAGAACAAAGTGATACAGAGTACAGACAGGGTGAAGTGGGTTAGAGATAGATAGATTAGGATAAGTTAAGGTATACGAAGGAAGGGTACAATAAGGTAAGACAAGTTAGTGTAGACTTAAACAAGGTGAGGCTAAGCAAGATATGGTATAGATAAGTAGGGTAAGATAAGACAGGCTAGAATAGGAAAAAGTAGAGTCAGACAACGCGGTGCGTAGTAAAACAGAGCAAGGTAAAGTAAAATAGGGTAGCGTAGAAAAGAGAAGACTAGAATCGCATAGAGCAGAGTAGGTTAGTTTAGGCTATAACAAGCTAAGGCTGGGCTAGGTATGGTAGAGATAAGCAGGATAAGATAAGCCAGACCACAATAGGATAAAGTAGAGCAGTACAAGGCGGCGAATAGTACAGCACGGTAGAGAAAAGAAAGGTAGAGTAACGTACAGTAAGGTATGACAAATAAGTTAGGTTGATAGAGCGAAGTAAAGTAGGGTAGAGTAAGGTAGGCTAAGGTAAAGTAAGGCAGAGTAAGATACAGTAAGCTAAAGTGAGATCCTTTCAGAATTCTCTTCGTTTTTCAAATCAATGTCACCTTCATGTTCATTGTCATCACTATTATTAACTTCTCCTATCATTATCTGTATTCACCATATTACCTATGATACATTTCATATTCACCATAATAATCACCCTGCATCCCTCGATCCCAAATCGGCTCGGGGTGAGTCGTGACGTCGCGCAAACAATAGACGGAAGTGTATTAGATGGTCACTTTGTCCCCGCAGGTGACGACCTCCACCACGAGCCACGCGCTGGCTCCAAAAAACAAACAGACCCGAGATGACCCTTCACGTCGTACGAAATCCGGCGGATGACGTCATGATGACCTGTGCAAACGTTGGCGCACCGCTTCCGGGTGGAGTAAATAATTTGTTGTTATTTACCTTTTTACCCCTAAACCTAATAATTTTAAGCCTAAACCTAAGCCTGCTAAGCCTAAGCCTACTCAACCTAAGCCTAAGCCTACTAAGCCTAAGCCTACTAAGCCTAAGCCTACTAAGCCTAAGCCTACTGAGCCTAAGCCTACTAAGCCTAAGCCTACTAAGCCTAAGCCTACTAAGCCTAAGCCTACTAAGCCTAAGCCTACTAAGCCTAAGCCTACTAAACCTAAGCCTACTAAGCCTAAGCCTACTAAGCCTAAGCCTACTAAGCCTAAGCCTACTAAGCCTAAGCCTACTAAGCCTAAGCCTACTAAGCCTAAGCCTACTAAGCCTAAGCCTACTAAGCCTAAGCCTACTAAGCCTAAGCCTACTAAGCCTAAGCCTACTAAGCCTAAGCCTACTAAGCCTAAGCCTACTAAGCCTAAGCCTACTAAGCCTAAGCCTACTAAGCCTAAGCCTACTACGCCTAAGAAGCAAATTAAAACCCAACAAACCAAAAACCCTTTATCAAGACGTTTTTTCGGTAGAACTATGCATCAGATCATTGATATGTTCAGGTAACCTTCGTCCTTTTGTCTCCGGTAATATTAAGGCCAGTAGTCCAGCTGCTATCGATATTACTGCCAATATCATGTACATTACATACGTCGTGCCAAATTGCTAAAAAAAACACTAATATTTATCATTTTTAAAGGTATTTCAGCTTTTTAGACCTATTTACAACTTTTTCAAAAATTTGACAAAATGTCACAAAAATTATTGGAAAAAGATTTCTGTGACATTTCGTCTCATCTAACTAAAATAGTGTATTAACACAGCCATCTTTTTATACAAATTTCACAACTTTTAATCATTTTTAAAAAACCTATAGTTCTTGTGACACTTCGTTACATTTTCCAATACTTTTCGTGACACTTCGTCAAACTTTCCAAAAATTAAAAACCCTACCAAATACTTTAGATACGGCGCTCCAATAATGCCAAATGACTGTGGTATGTTGACCAACGAGTACATAGCTGTTCTCATGCCTGTAGGTATCATCTCGGTCAATAGTAGCGGGTGGCTACTGTACACTATTCCATTAAAGATTTTTGATATCAAGTTAAAGGAAATCGCTAACCAAGCATCTGAAATGCGTTTTTAAAATTAATATTATTGTTTTAAGACTAACTTTGGAAATTTGACGAAATGTCACAAAAATTATTGGAAAATGCTACAGTGTCAAAAATGCAAAAAAAGCAAGAATTTCATAAAAATTGTAAAATACGCAATACCAGAAACAAATAACTTTAAAAAAACCTCAATAACTTTCTTTATAAAAGCCTTTAAAATTCCACTTACAGGGTGTAAATGGGTACAGTGCTATAAAAACGCCTTGTAGACATAACGATACCCATGTGCACGTCCGTCTACCAAAGTATTTTAGAGCCGGCAACGTTAGGATACCTCCTGGTAATTCAATTCCAGCTGACAGTGCGAATCCAATGAATCCGTCATCCGTCAGCTTGGTACTTTCTAGGGTTACGGTAAAGTAAAATAGGGCTAGTACAAACCTGGAATTTTAAAATTGAAAAATTTTAGTAAAATACGCTTCTTGATTCGGCTTTGTTTATAAAAATTTAAAATTTTTTAAAAAGTTCCACAAAAACATGTTTGATCGTATAAAATGGTTGCGCAGGCTGCACAAGGCCTTAAACTGTTGGCAAACGTGACAAATGACAATAAGTGACAAATAACAAAATAAAGATCAAAATATTCAAATAAAGATCAAAAATGCCAAAAATAACATCTAATTACCAATCTACAACTCTTCACTATTTTACCCATCACATACCTACACCTACTCTACTATAACATGTTATTACATCCATAAAAACGCCATTACTTACTGAATAAAGCCGTTGATCAACATCTGAGCTAAAAACAGCTTGCTGAACACAAAGGCCTCATAAATCTGCCGTATGGGACTTTTGGTACACTTTACAATGTTTTTTCGTTTTTCGCTCTTCATACAATCGGCCAGGTCTATGCACCGTGCATTAAAATTCTCACTGATTTTGACATAATCCCATAGTTGTCTAAACTTCTTATGTTCACATAGCCAATGTGGGGTTTCTGGTAGGCATCTGAAACGTATTTTATTAAAAATTTTTTAATTTCAAGCGATTTTCCATCATTTTTTTGTAAAATTTTTCAAATTTAAATTTTCCCGCCAAAAATTATTTTTTGAAACATAAAAATTTCCATATTACCAAAATAATCAAAAATGTATTTTAAACCGTACTCAAACAGTAATACATTATTTTATTACCTAAAAACGTAAAAATATGTCAGAAATATTCAAATTTACATTTTCCCGCCAACCTTGACATTCTGTTTCAAACGTAAAAAATAGTCAAAACTTGAATAAAACAACATTTTAAACCAATATCATTCACTTTTTAGGCCTAAAAGACATTTTATGCCCTTAAAACATACAAAAAAAAATCAAATTTCAATTTTCCCGCCAAAATCAAAAACTCGGGGAAAAATTTAAAACTCACAAAGCATAAACCGGAAAAAATATCAACGACGGTAAACAAGCCACCAAATAAAACATTTTCCAGTCTCGTATGAACAATGACAGTAGGCTAGTGTACAGTAATCCTCCAGACCAGAACACATTATACAGTAATCCATACCAATCCCGAACATCTTGGGCCACCAATTCCGTTGACAAAATATTGGCTATAGTTAGGTAGCCATCTGAAGTTGCACCGATTATAAATCGCAGTATCCAAAAGATGTAGGCGTTGTTTGTCACATATACCAGTAGATTTGCCATTGAACTGACACTAATGCAGATTAGGATGACACTTTTGCGGCCGAAGCGATCCGCCGCCATTGATATGAATGGTACTGTGATAAAGGCTCCTAAAATTGATATTATCATCCTTAAATTCATTTTAGAATGACATAAATAAGCATTTTTGGCTATATTATCCATCAAATGCCTAGTTTAATATCGCTAGAACCTGAAAGCTCAAAAACAAATTTTAAAAACTTACCAACAGTAAAAAAAGTCAGTCCAAATTCCTTGACCAAGCCACTACTGCACAGTAATCCCAGCTAAAACACTTTAACTTAAAAACAAGTTCTCCTGCAGCCTGCGGATGACAAGTTATACGAAAAAATAAAAAAGTTGATAAGATACGAAAAAATAAAAAAGTTGTAAAATACAAAATGGATTAAAAATGGCTTACTAATGGAAATAGACTCTCCACAGGCCCTTTGTCCAACACATATAAGGTAGCTTTCTTTGAATAATCACACCGTTCTTCTACTGTAATATAAGCCTATCATAATATCAAGTGTAACAACATAAAATCGTAAAAACTAATTTTGTTTATTATTTTATATAAACAAAAGCTTATCCTAGTACTATTACGTCCTAGTACGCCTATTTCTACTGATATCCTAACCCTACTACACCTAAAACAACATAAACCTACCGTAATCCCTCCCAACTACAGCACACTGATCCTTCACCTTCCAATCGGTCTGATTTGAAACACAAAGCAAGTGAGGATCATCCTCGATAAAACTCATCACAAACATGGCTGCCGCGTAGTAAAAGTTAACCGTAGTAACCAAAGTAAAGTTTATCATCTCGTACATACCATAACCACCGATATGTTCCAGCAATCGGTGTGCATCAACATGTCGAACATCATCTGTTGAATAGGATCTAGTCGACATACAACCGTCTAAAGTGTAAAAAGTAACAGAAATGAGGTTTTTTAATTTTTTTGGAATTCTTATTTTGGTTGTCAAAGCGTCATGAATAACATCAACCAAACGCCTCTAAAATAACCGTTATCGTTAAGTAATGTATTTCTGTAATTTAACCACCTTTTTACTCACAATATTAACCATAAAAGCAACTTGAACCAGACATTAACTCCAATTAACGATCATAATCCATTCAGCTATACCTACATTCCTTCAACGGTCAATTCTCAACCTCACAGTCCTCAACAAACCTTGATTTTTAACTTAAAACGTCGTCTATAATCCTGAACAACTTACCCCAAACAACCATGCAAATGCTTTCACTAAAAGTCACTAATGTTACCCAAAGTATATTATCCATAAATCAATCAAAAAGTTGGTAAATCACCTAAAAACAAAAAAAAACCCAAAGCTAATCATAAAACTTACATAAGACCACCTGTTCTGCTTCTGATTAATTAAATAATACCATATTTGTCATAGTATCTGGCTGGTCCTATCCGGTTTTTGACAGTTTTCCGAAAATGCGGCTTGATGAAGATGTTTTGGCCATAACTCCTAAATCGCCAGTGTTTTAAGCACTTTTTCTTTCTAAAACATGGCAAACATTCAATTCAATCACAATAAATATATTAAACATGTTAAAAACAACCATTTCAAGCAATATAACGATGTTCACATAGGTATATCGTCGAAAAACACAGAAAAACCAAAGAAAAATAAGAATTTTAACAAAAAATTAATTAGGAAAGGTTTATTAAACCATTCTCCATTTAATTGATCAAAATTCAATTCAAGTTTTAAAGAGAAACAATGGAAAAGATGGCCAAAAGCATTCGAATCCATCTCCGCTAAAACAAGATCGGATCGCAAACGGCCGCGAAAGCGCGAAACTGCGGACGCTGTTTATACGATGGAATGTGTTTGAGTGTAAAAAGTAGTTATTTTACCAATATTACCTATAAATCATTTCTTATTATTGATTTTCCCATTATTTTTAATCCATTATTCTTTGAAAATTTTTAAAATTTAAAAAAATTCAAAAACAATAAAATTTCATTGTTTATTACCAAAAACAACACAAAAATGGCATTTCACTAGACGAAACGTTTATTTATTGCTAACTCTATTTACACTCTAGAGACTCTATATCATTATTATTCATATTTACAGTAAATTGCGGCAGTCGAGCGAAGAGAAGGGTTGGGGGTGAAGAAAGAGTGTGGGGAAAGCGGAGAGTTCTAGTCGATTACTTTGTAATGTCGATATTTTCGTCGTCGCATTTTGTGCCATTCGCTGAAACCGACCTGGCCCGGGTAGTAGTAGACCTAAATTGGCATTTTAATTTTTTTAATTAAAAAAATCCAAAAAAAAATTCAAAAATTATGAAAATTCGAAATTTTAAAATTTGATACCTAAAAACTAAAGTTTGAGGTATTAAAACACCTTACCTCCATAATCCAATGAGGATACGAGTCTCTGGAGATGATCTTCTTCGGCGATCGTGCAAACTTGTTATTTGGAAATTCGACTATCAACGTCCACCAGCCTTTACGGTTTACCTGAAAATAAATTTTTTTATGTTTTAGGGTTAGAAATCTGGCTGGGCTTATGTAAAGGCTTAGGCCTAGGCCTAGGCTTAGGCTTAGGCTTAGGCCTAGGCTTAGGCTTAGGCTTAGGCTTAGGCTTAGCTTAGACTTAGGCTTAGGCTTAGGCTTAGGCTTAGGCTTAGGCTTAGGCTTAGGCTTAGGCTTAGGCTTAGGCTTAGGCTTAGGCTTAGGCTTAGGCTTAGACTTAGCTTAGGCTTAGACTTAGGTTTAGGCTTGGGCTCAAACTTTGGATTAGGATTCCACTTTCGTTTAGTCTTAGCCTTCGGATTAGGCTTAGCCTTCAGATTAGGCTTAAGTGTAGGCTTAAGCTTGGCCTTGGGCTTAAGTTTACCTAAAAACATCCTGCTCTACCAAAAAAATCCTCCCCTACATAAAGACAGTCTACCCTCTTAAATGCACCCTACCCTACCTAAAAACCTTAACTAAAAGACCTTTTCCATACCTACCTCCCCCTTATACTTAAAAATAAAATTTACTTCTCCTCAAACTCTTACTTCATAAGTTTTGGTGAAAGTTTTGCCAGGAGCGACGTAGAAGTCGGCGGTGTTGTCGACGCCCATTAATCGAAAGAATCTGGCATCGGTGACGTTGTGATTGCGTATGGTCAACGTAAGCGGGTAATTGTGCGGCCGATAGCGACGGTAATGGTGCCGCTTCAGGAGCGCCGACCACGGTAACTGGGCCAGAATACAGAGTAAAAGCGCCCATGAGGGGCTCATGCTGGTGATGATGCCAGTTCAACCTCTCCAGGGCATCGCCGCTTCTCGGTGAATGGGGTTATGGCAGTGGTCTGGAATGGGGTAGGGGTTATTGTAGGAATAATAAAAATTTAAAGTTTTTTTTGGAAAAATGTAAAGAAATGTCAAAAAAGTCGTTGGAAAAGTGACGAAATGTCAAAAAAGAACAATAATTGTTCAAAAATGTGACAAAATGTCAAAAAATATAAATTATTGGAAAACGTAACGGAAATGTCAAAAACATTACAGTATTGAAAAATGTGTCAAAAAACAAAAAATGTCCATTAACAAGATAAAAAGTCAAGATATACAAAGTATTGGAAAAAAAGTAACAAAGTGTCAAAAAAAATATGGGAAAACGTAACGAAATGTCACTAAATCTAAAATTGATCAAAAACGATCACAAAATGTCAAATGTCTAAAAATTATTTAAAAATTAACAAAATGTTAAAAAACAAAAAATCAATAAAAATGTGACGAAATGTCAAAAAATAAAATTTTTTAAAAACGTGATAAAATAGAAACTCATTAACTAAAAATAAGACTTAAAGGCTAATTTTAAATTAATTGAACGAGTATTTGTTATATATACGTTAGGAATACAATATAACGTATAGCCTTAGCCCTAGCTCTAGCACTAGCACTAGCGTTAAGGATAGGCTGAGGCAGAAACACTATATGAGTATTTCTAAAGCTAGAGCTGAAACTAGTTACAATATAAATATTTCTAAGACTGAGGCTAACTAAGTATAATATAAGTATTTCGAACATATAAAGTAAACAACAACAAGTTACAGAGTAAAAATGTCTCATAAATCGCGGTAAAACTGCAACAATTACATTACTTTAAGCGTGATTAACAAATCAAATGATTTCGAATAAATAAAAGTCTCCAGCCGCGACAACACGAAAAAAAAAACGAGGATTGATCCGAACAGAACGGGACGTCGCGCATCCCCCCAACCCTCAGGCTGTTTGTGGCCCACTTTCCGCGGAAACACTTATCATTTCTTTATAAACAGTCTATGTCTTTTAAAGATTAGTAGGTATTGAGAGAATATAAGTTGAAGCAACTAGCTAGGTCTAGGCTTGAAGAAAATGAATAAAATTAAGTCTACGGCTAGAGCTAGGTTTAGCGCAAGGGCTACAGCTAGACATGAGAAACGGGCTAGGCCGGTCTTGACAAATATTTGGGTTGAAAGTTAAGTCTTAGCATGGCCCAAACAACCCGGGCCGTCTGAACGTGAAAAAATACGGTCCGGGCCGGGCTAAAGCAAAATTTAGATAAAGTCGGGCTTGAAACATAGGCCCGGCCCCTCCTCATAGGGTATGAACAGGCCAAACACAAGACCAAAGCCACGATTAGCACCAGTCATAGCATGCGAACAAGGGCTCTAGGCCAGGGCTTTAAAATAAGGACAAGGCTCTGTGCTAGGACTCTGGGCTAGGGCTCTGGACTAGGGCTCTGTGCTAGGACTCTGGGCTAGGGCTCTGGACTAGTGCTCTGGGCTAGGGCGCTGGGCTAGGGCTCTGTGCTAAGGCTGTGGGCTAAGACTCTAGGCTAGGGCTCTAGGCTAGGGCTCTGGGCTAGGGCTCTGGGCTAGGGCTCTGGGCTAGGGCTCTGGGCTAGGGCTCTAGGCTAGGGCTCTGGGCTAGGGTTCTGGGCTAGGGCTCTGGGCTTGTGCTAGGGCTTTGGGCTAGGGTTCTGGGCTAAGGCTCTGGCCTAGGATTTTAAAACAAGTTTTTAAACGGATTAGTTCGGCTATAAATACACATGGTGAAGCAAAATGGCGCATGTGTTGCCAAAACCTATTATTAGAGCTTTTATTAGGTTATTTGAAAACGTAAAACATATTTGAAATCACACGTGCTCAACTGTCATTGTTTTTTAATGCCATTTTAAACCTGTAATTTACTAAACTTTTTAAAAATTAGTCAGTTTAAAACCTTTTTAAACCGTTTTATTGACAAGTTCAAGTACAATCGGATTTATACAGCATAAAAACGTCAAATAATGTTTGTTTAATGACTAATCAAACCGAAACAGACATAAAAAGAACGTTCTTTATGTTTATATAACCCAATAGTTCTTTTTCATGCTTTACCTATAATAAATACATGTAATAATAAATGACAATAAAATTAGAACAACAAGTTATAATGGCAATAAAAATAAAACAATAATAAAAAAGGTGTGAAAAGGCAATAAAACATTGGATAATAAGAAACAACAGATTCAGCAAGTAAGAGAGGGTGGGTAGAGTAAAAAAAGGAATTTAAGTAAAAAAAGGACGGTAGAAGCTCAGGTAGATATTAGAGTAGAGTAGGGCTAAGATAGAATAGAGTAGAGCAAGGGCTAGAGAAGAGCTAGGGTAGAGCTACGGTAAAGCCAGAATAGAGTTATCAAAAGACTAAGGTAGCGCTAAGGTGAAGGAAGCTAGAGTAGAATAAGAAATAAGCAAAGCTAGCATACAACTAGAAAAATGTCGACCAGGTGCAGGCATAGAAAAGAGCTAGGGTAAGGCTACTGTAAAGCTAGTGTAGAGCTAGATTGGGACTAGAGCAGAGCGACTAAAGTAAGGCTGGGACTGGGTTAAAGCAGAGCTAAAGTTAGATCAAAGCTTAAACAGAACTGATTACTATGATAAATCAAGAGTATGGCTCAACCCTACCCTACGCTACCCTAAAGCTATGGTAAGGCTAGCGCAAGGGTAAGACAAGGTTAAGGTAGTGATAGAGTAGGTAACGATAAGGCTAAAGTATGGCTAGAATAGAGCTAAAACAAAAGCAAGGCTACTTTACGTAGTTCCAAGGTAAAGTTTAAATGATGCAAGGCAAGTTAAAGATAACGCTAGTTTAAAACTAACATAACTATGGCTAGCGCTAGGGAGAGACAATAACAATACATGGGTAGGGTAAAACCAATTAAAACAACCATAATTTTAAATTTTTAGTATAAAATTATTTGACATCGCCCTTTTATGTTTATAAATACAAAATGGCAGACAATACCATACATATAAATTGACGTTTCTTCGAATGTTCGAACGCTTTTCAATTTGCATTTTTTGATTAGACATTATACAAGGAATGACTAAACCATTGTGAATTTGATGAAATTTTTAATATAAGTATTGAAAATGTCATTTTTATTACATTTTCAAAAAAAAAATATTTTTTTACTCTCCCCTCCGAAAATTTTTTACCCCCCCCCCTCCCTAAAATTTTTTTACCCTGCTTTTACTGTTTTACATACAATGGTGTTTTTCAGCTCTAATTTTTACCCCCCCCTCCCCCTCTGGATCCAATCCTCCCCCCCCTTTCCCTCCTATGCTTCTAATCGTCCCCCCCCTTTCACCGCCTTTTCTGTTGTAAAAACGAAAAAAAACCTCCAAAACAACACATAACATAACATGAAAGAAAATATGTCATGCATCAAACGTGATATGTTGTTGTAAGAAATAAACAAACAAGAAAACCCGCCCAACTCATTTCGAGAATTTTATTGTTGTGGATCAGATCGAAATCCCCCTTAAGAGCTGGTTAACAAAAGAAAAAAGTTACTTTTTAATTGCATTAAAATGTTTAAAAAAAAGAACTTAACAAACAGGCCCCTAAGGCTAGAATGCGCAAACTAAATCCTATAAGTCGGCGTTTGCGCTTCGGTCTCTACCTTTTGCGTTGTCTTTCTGGTAAAGTAAATTTAAGTTTTGAAAAAAATGTTACATAATGTACCCTACCCTACCCCACCTTACCCTGCTTTGTCCTGCCTTATCCTACCCTACCAATTTTATCTTACTTTACCCTTACCCACCAATCCTAACCTGCTCTAAGCTATACCATCAACTTTACCTTGTCCTATTCTACTCCATCAGTTTTACCCCCCCCCCTCCCCACCCACTAAGCTTAGCAAACCCAATCGCGCCAATCATAACTTTCTTTACCTCACCATTTCTACCCTATGTCAACGTTCCTACTCTACCCTTCTTTAAAACATCTACCCTACCCTGCTCCACTAGTCCTAATCTACTCTACCTGAAAACCTCTATCTTACCCCCCCCACCCCCCTACTCATTAATCAAACCCCTTCCCTCCCCCCCCTTACAGTCCCACCTCCCTTGCGGCCGGCCCTGCTTACACCAGCAATGCTCTCCTACCTTACCTTAAAAATCTTACCTTACTCTACCATACCCCACCAATCTCACCATAATCTGTCCTACCAATCCTACCCTACCTTACACTACTTATCCTACCTTACCCTGTTTACCCCTACCTGTAAAGCCACCCCCTATTTAAACAAAATTGCAATTAAACCCGACTTTCCAAAATCATAATTCAAAATTCATATTATCCAACCCCATCAATCTGTGCGGTTTCCCCTCCACCGAAACCTTTATCCGCCGCACCTTCCCCAATCCGCTTAATTATATTCGGCCGTGCATAAATTAAGGTGGGGCCGGAAAGTCGTGAATGGCGAAGAAGGCCGGGGCGTTCCTTGTTGTTTGCCCGCTGGGGGATGCGGCCCGCGCTTAGGGCCTCATTTGGGTAGCGAAAAGCGTGTTTGTTGTTGACAAATGATAAATAAAAGGGATTCGCGAAGAGTGCAAGGATATTGTGGACGATGGTGAGAAGTCAATTTGTTTCTCACTGGGAAAAGAAAATAGTGTAAAATTTTAAATTTTTTGAAATTTGAATTTGAGAAGTACCAAATTTTTAAAATTTTTACTTAAGAGATCATACTGTACTCAAAAACGGGCTAGAGATAGATAGAAAGTGGCAGCAACAAAGAATGAAGAATCTTCAAAAATCGAAATTACCTAAATTTTGACCTACTGTTCGAAAATTTATAAAATTGTAGATATAGTACCTCTATAGTATGTCAAATACAAGTCTAAAAAGAAAAGTCGTATTTTTTCGACCAGTTTTACTGTAGGGCGTGTTTTTTCAAAAGGACCCCAAATTTACCAAATTTTTTGCCCCTCAACTCTCAAAACTTAAAGCTCGGTATTTTTTGACCGGGATGTAAAAATTCTACAAAAAATGATTTCAACATAGCCGATAGTATACTTTATCATGTAGTAACACTAACTTTGCCTACTGTACTTTAATTTTTTCAAAATCATTATTTTTCAACTATCCCCTCATTTTCCTCAAAATATCATCTCACCCCCAAATCTCGCAAAAAATAACCAAAAATCTCGAAACGCCAGCCCAAAATAGAACGAATATAACGAATTTTTGACACAAAGTATATAACGACAATATACGTTCGTATCTTTTATTTATAAAGCCCCCTTAGGCGCTAAACAAAATTCAAAATGCGAAAAGCGAGAAGAACGGCAATGAAAGGCCAGGAAGAGATTTTGCAGCCCCAAAAAAAAACACTTTTTGGGCTAATTAAGAAACTTTGTTTTAGCTACAACATCGTGAACGAGTTGTTACATAGCAGGTTGGTAATTAAGGTTTCGAGGGGGAAAGTGAAAGTTTTATGACCTTTTTGGTTTTTACCGAGTTTTTTTGGAAAAGGGAAAGTAAACGTTAATGATTAGTAAACATAAAACGTACAGTTTTACAATAGTAAGTTGTAAGTTACTGTCGTTTTACCTAAACCTAGCCTCAGCCTTTGCCCAAAGCCCAGAGTCCTAGCCCAGAGCCCTAGCCCAGAGCCCAGAGCCCTAGCTCAGAGCACTAGCCCAGATCCCTAGCCCACAGCCTTAGCCCATAGCCCTAGCCCAGAGCCCACAGGCCTAGCTCAGCGGCCTAACCCGAAGCCCTAACTCTAGCTTTAATTCTGGCCTTACCCGTAGCCCAATCATAAGCCCAAGCATGACCCTAGCCTTAAACCTATTTCTAGCTCTAGCTCTATCTTGGTTCTAGCTCTAGCCCTACAAACACTAAAAGCCAAGAAATGTAAAAAATTGTGGGAAATGACCTAATATGAATATAACTAGATAGCTTTAGAGAAATTGTAAGAAATGATATTACGCAACTTTTTCTTATGTAATATTGTAGTTTTATATAATATTTGCCTCGGTGTAAAACGACCCAACAAAATGACTGCGAGTGCTGGGATTTAGCTCTATTTTTTCTCCGGGAGTCCCTACCCTACCCTCCCCTACCCTACCCTACCCTCCCCTACCCTACCCTACCCTACCCTACCCTACCCTACCCTACCCTACCCTACCCTACCCTACCCTACCCTACCCTACCCTACCCTACCCTACCCTACCCTACCCTACCCTACTCTACCCTACCCTACCCTAACCTACCCTATCCTATCTTGCCTTGCCTTGCTTTCTTTTGCTCTTTCCTACGCAACCTTACATTTAAAAAAAAACCCCGCTTTAACCTACCCCAAATCTGCTATATTTCTTAGGTAATTTTAGAAAATCACATTTAACATGTCATCTCCATCTAATTTCAAAAAAATTTCAAAAAAACCCTTTTTCTCAAAAAAAGCCCTGTAATGGGTAAACGTGAGTCACGTTGAACATGAAATGACAAAAGCCAAATAAACGCAATTAAAACCCGAAATCAACAATTTATTTGGAGGTTTTAAAGTCAAAGTAAACAAAGTAAAGTGGTGCGACAACAATTTATAACCGTCCAGAAAAGCGGAAAAGGTAGTCGAAATTGTAAAAATTGACGGCCGTTTGACATGTTACGGTGTCTGTAAGCTTTTTTTTTGAAATTTTGAAGATTACCTTATTAAAAATTTTTTAAATTTGAAAAAAAAATTAAAATCGAAGTTGAAAAGAATGAAAATAGTTTTTAAATAAAATTATAAGTATCGAAAAACCTTTTTTTAAGTTTTTTAAGATTTGACGAAATGTCACAAAAATTATTGGAAAATGTGGCGAAGTGTCACAAATGTTATTGGAAAAGATCACATTTATCAAATAGCATAAAATGCTAAATTTAAATACTTTTTGATGTTTTTCAACTTCAACGATAAAAAAGTTAAGATTGAAACGAAATGTCACAAAAATTATAAAAAGCTATTATAAGATAAAAAATGTCAACAATATTAAAAAAATAATTTTTTGACAAATTTTTGTTAAATTTAAATTAATTTTCGTATTTTACGAAAGTCGGGTAGATAACAATGCTATAAGCCAAAGCGACGAAATGTCACAAAACTCATTGGAAGCTTATAAAACCTAAAAATAAATATAAGAAAACTGTAAATTTTTTTGTAAAGTTTTGAATAACATAGAATCAATTCCCGTATTTTACAACCAAAAATTGTACAAATAACAATAGTTTAAGCTAAAAGGACGAACTGTCACACAAATTATCGGAAATTTAGTAAATTACAAAAAACCAAAATTTAAAAAAAAATTTTAACGTAATCACAATCAAGCTGTACAGTAAACTAGCTAAAATCATATTTTATTTTTAAAATCATTTATATATAAAAACATATCATCCATATATCATATTACGTCTACTATAACATAAATTAGTCATTATATATTAACGTCGCCGAGATCAAAGCAAACAAAATTTAAAATTCGTTTAATTATTCGAAATAGTATTCGAATTCAAACGCATTCCCTAAATTAAAAAGCCAGAGGGAAGATATATGAGAACAATACGTTGCGTTGTCCACAAACGTATACATATTAACATAGCAAACATCATATCAAAAAAAGTAAACAAAAAAACGAAAAAAAAAATTTTTTTGATTAATATTTTCCAACAAAAAATTTTAAATTTTAAAAAAAATTTTAAAATTTCCGCCTCAAGGCAACAAGTAATACGATCATTTGTTGTTCGAACCAATTGCTAATCCCCTGAGCGTTAAATTTGACACAAAAGACAAATAAGGGGAGGGTTGCGAATTATTCAAATTTGCATAAACGATACGCTTCCGCTTCTTTAAACTTGCCGCTGGTTGGAAATTTAAAATTTGTTGGGTCAAGGAGTTGAATTCGTATTATACAAAAATTTTTAAAAATTCTAAAATTAAAAAATGAAATACTAGCACGATCTTTATTCGCAGAGCTTTATTCCCCAGTGGTACCTTGTTATAAAAAGTTGCTTGCAGCTTTATAGGTGTTGGCTTAAGTTTAGTAAGCGTAGGCTTAGTAGGCTCAGGCTTAGTAGGCTTAGGTTGAGGCCTAGGCTTAGGCTTAGGCTTAGACTTAGACTTAGACTTAGACTTAGACTTAGACTTAGACTTAGACTTAGACTTAGACTTAGACTTAGACTTAGACTTAGACTTAGGCTTAGGCTTCGGCTTAGGCTTAGGCTTAGTAGGATTAAGCATAGTAAGGTTGGGCTTAAGCTTAAGTATGGTGGTCTTAGCGTATTAAACATAGGGTTCATAGAAAGCAGCTTAGACTAATAGTTAGATTTACTTATGTTAGAGTTAGTGTTTCCATGCACAGTATTAGTATACTTAGGCTTAGATAACCTAAATTTAAAAAAAAAGTTTAATTACTATTATAGTTTTCACTTTTCAAACACTATTTGTCATCAAAGGTTATGACTCACGATGTAAGCAATTTTAAAACTTTAGTTTTACCTATTTACCTATTACTCATTGCCAATTTACTGACATTTTTAATCAAACACCATACTCAATTTTTTATAAAAAACACAAAAAATACAAAATTAGGTAACAAACCCTTTCCAAAATCTCAATTCAAGTTTCAATTAAATTAAAAAATAAGCGTTTCTCTTCTCGAGACTCTCGAATTAACACCCAGAAATTAAAATTCCGACGTCAAAACGAATTGTTGGTAAATAAGAAGGCGCAGTAATATTATTTACAGTCGTTGATTTACACTGCGAAGCCAGGCTTTTTTCGAATCGAAAATTATTTGCGCGAACGGTGTAAAGCGTTCGGAACGGCGGAATATATTGAAGGTTAACCATTATTTTTTGAAAAATGAAAGGCTTAAGTTAATGATGAGAGATAGCTGATTGCTACATCAAGGTGATTAGACTGGTTTAAAAAGTTTTGTAATTTCGGCCTAGAATTTAAAATTTAGAAAAGCGTTTTTAAAAGTGACAAACTAAAAAAAGACTTTAGAAATTGTGTCAATGTTAAAAATCAGTTAAGGCTAAAGCAACGACAAAACGTAAAGTTGTGGGTAAGGTAAACCTGCTGGAACAAAACTAAGACTAACTCATGGTCAATAGTAAGAGCTAAAGCTAGGGGTATAATTAGGGCTGGGCTGTCTCTACAACTAACGTTTATGCTGAAGCAAAGACTAAAGCTCAGACTACGCTGAAGCTAAAACTAAAAATAAGAACCAAGCCAAGCTTAAGCCTAAGCCTAAGCCTAAGCCTAATGCCGGCTATTATAGCCACAAACTATAAACTTCAAAAAGTAATTAAAGAACAAAAAGAAGTGACAAAAGATGAGTAAGAACAACAAAAGGTGATTGTTTTTCCTTCGGGATTACAAAGAAGTCGACCGTGACCTTCACCTCTCACCCCCTTTCTTCTATCATTGATAAAACGTTTCGCGCTCTCGATTACTTAAAAGTTCGAATGCCATTTTAGTTGTTAATTGGGATTGGGTAACAAATGGCAGGAATTAAAAGTGCTACTGATCAAACGAATAGTGGTTGTGTTAGAGATTCTGATTGTGGAGAATTTGATGATAATTGCGGCTATATGGGTACGTTTTTATTACTGTATAATATTAGACAAGGGTTAAGATAAAGTAGAGTTTGTTAAAGTATAAGCTAAAATAAGACACTTACTAAAAATAATACTGAATCGTAGGGTTTGGCTTGGGGTAATGGCTAGAGTAAGGCTAGAGTAACGACTAAAATTAGACATAGGTGAGACTAGGGTAGAACTATTAGAGTAGGGCTAAGATAAAATTGCGATAAAACTAAAGTAGATTTGGATAAGACTAAGTTACGGCAAGAATAAATATAGGGAAAGGCTAATTTAAAGCCAAGGTAAAGCAACGATAGGACTAGGGCAGAGCTATAGTAGAACGCGAGGAGAGTAGGGAAAAGCTAAGGCAGAGCTAAGATACGATTAAGGTAAAACAAAGGTAGGGGTAGGACAAGGGTAAGGTTAGGTAAATTTAGGTAGGGTGAACAAAAGAATTGGATAAGGGTACTGTAAGGCCAGGATAGGGATTGGTTAAAGCTGGGCTAGAATATGGCTAGAGCGGGGTTAGGTAAAGCTAGCGTACAGCTAGATGTTCTACAGCTTTTTAATTTTCTAGATACTTCAAGGCCTTCCACCCCATCTACCAGGCCAATATCGTCAAACTCAAGCAAAATAGAACATGTTTATGAAGAAATTGAAGAAGATAAACCAACATCTTCATGTTGTTTAGTAACAGAAAGTGATAGAAATGGAACTTATAAGTCGAGTGGTAGCATAAATTCAAAGTCGAGGACAGACGAAGGTACTCCCACAACATCAAGACTAGAAAATGCAGAAGCATCATATCTAGGTACTAGTCCTAAGTTACTATCTTCTTCTGATTCTGACCTTCCAAGTCAATCAAACGATCGATCGATTTCACCAGCTTCAACACGATCATCAGCTCTTTTACTATCTTCGACTAAACCTATAGAACTATTCAAAGTTACATACAAAAAGCTTGTACTATTATCATTGGGTCCAGTACTACTATCGCTATTTTTGGTATTTGCTATTGGATTTGGATACGATTACAAAAAGTTGTTGAACTACAAGTGGACTTGTGGAGTAAGTTTTTAGTTGCAAATAAAAAACAAATTTAGTGCTTATAATTTTAAGTTTTTTACGCTTAAAATTAAGCTTAAATTAGGTTTTATTATATTAGTTTATCTAAGCTTAGGTTTAACGGATTTAAGCTAAAATTATTAGACTTGTTTAGTAAACGGACTGAGTAAGAATAGGCTTAGTAAGCATAGAAAGCGTAGACTTATTGTTAGTTATTAGTAATAAGCTGATGCTTTACAAGATTAGACTTGGTGGGCTTAAGCTTAGTTAGCGTAGAATTAGTTTAATAGACGTAGGCTTATTAACCGTAGGTTTAGTAGGCGCAGGCTTTCTAACTGTGGGGGTAATAAGCCTAGGATTAGTAGGCGTACAATTAGTAAGCTTAGGTTTATTAGACTTAGTATTAGTAGGTTTAGGCTTATTAAGCTTAGTATTAGTAGGTTTAAGCTTATTAGGTTAGGCTTAATAGGCTTAGGCTTATTAGGTTTAGTATTAGTAGGCTTAATAGGCTTAAGGTTAGTAGGCTTAGGCTTAGTAGGCTCAGGCTTAGTAGGCTTAGTAGGCTTAGACTTACTAGGCTTAGGCTTAGTAGGCTGAGGATTAGTAAACTTAAAACGGGTAGGTGATATGAAACTTAAAGAACCTTAAACTAGAAAAAAAATTGTTTCCCCTTTAATCGTTCCTTGACCAATACAAACCCAAGTTTCCATTAAAATCCGGAAAAAAAACAAACTGACGTCCTAAGGCTTCATCCCTCAAAATAACCTAGAATCGTCCTAAGACGTATCCCTTCAAAATAACCTAAAACGAAGCCCCGTAACTACTTAAGCGTTTAAGAATGTTCTCCTGCCATCTCTCTCGAGAATAATCAACTTGCCCATCGAACGAGTCCTCTGGCATTTTGGAGTGGTTCTACATGCCGGATTACGGCCCGTCTACTTGATTCAGGCGTGTAAGTGACATTCATCTCGGCCTGAGATACGAATCTTTGACCTACGACTTTATTTATTACCCAACGAATTTGCATATGAGTTGGTGGGAAAATGGGCAATTTGAAAATGGAAATGTAAAACTCGTAAAAGTGCTACGAAAAGAATTACGTTTAGGCTCATGATCAGGCTAAAATTTAGGCGCAGACTCAGGTTCATCTTCAAGCTAAAGCTCAGGCTTAGCCTTATGCTCAGGGTTAGGCTCAGGCTCAGACTCAAGCTCAAGCTCAGGCTTAGACTCAGGCTCAGACTTAAGCTCAGGGGTTAGCTTAAGTTTTAAATTTATGTCCGGACCGGGATTCACACTAAAGCATAATCTCAGGCTCAAAATCTAGGTCAAGCTTGGTCTTATGCTTAAAATAAGCTTGATTACAAATCTAAAATCTCTAGACAAATTAAACTTATAGTTACAATCAACCTAAAGTAAAATTTTTTTAAATTAAAATTTAAGTTTTTTCATTTTCAGACCTAGTTAATCGTCGAGTACACAGCGCTTTTTCATATAAAGGTATTATTCGATTTTTGGCATTAGCCGGGTTGGTAACCGGCTTTCTAGAGCTTTTATTTACTGTAGCGTTGACAATAATTGGAGAAAGAGAAAACGGAAATGTACACCTTATATTGTTTGTTGGGTTCATTATAAACTGCCTGATCAACTTCATAACCAGCGCTTTTTGCTTCAGATGCTCTAAGGAGTTTTATGAGAATAAAACAGTAAGTTTTGTTATTGAAATGTAAACTTAAGCTTGGTATTCTTAGGCCTTGGGCTTAGGCTTAGGCTTAGGCTTAAACTTAGGCTTAGGCTTTGGCTTTGGCTTTGGCTTTGGCTTAGGCTTAGGCTTTGGCTTAGGCTTAGGCTTAGTAAACTTAGACTTAATAGGTTTAAAAAAATAAACGAATTTATGTTACAGTACCACTCTCACTTCAAAACAAGAATAGTGTTGATCTTGTTAATGCTACTCTTTGTTCCTATGATCTTAGTATTTTTCGTACTGTACTGGCAGTACTGTGTTACTATTGGTAAGTTTGTCACAAAAAATTGTTTTGTAAAGGCAGTTCTTGCCGTTTTTTGTTTTGTAAAAAAAGTTCTTGCAATTTTTTGCTTTGTAAAGAAAGTTATTGCCATTGTCGTTTCAGCTTACGAATTCTTCGCTATATTTGAGTACATGACAGTGCTGATTGTCTACAGCAATCACATTATGATTCTTCGTGGGCTGCGCAACTACGAATTTAAAATCGTCAAGCCTTGACTTGTCTACTACAATATATACGGCATAAATAAAAAATATATGTAGGAAAAATAGTATTTTACAAACAAAAACTTGGGAGTAGGGTAGGGTAGGGTAGGGTAGGGAAAGGAGTAAAAAACGGCCAAAAATATTAAAAATGATCATTTACTTCCAGTCCGATACAACAAAATGGCAACGGCGTTCACGTAAAAGTAAATAAAGTCGTTTTTGTAATGTGATACGTAGCAACCAAACTGTTTTCCCACGATGCAATGCCATTGTGGACCGAATCGATCGTCGAAGTCCTATAAAATGTTTGTTATTGTCGTTTAAATGTCATTTTAAATAGGCTTAGGCTTAGTAGGCTTAAGCTTAGTAGGCTTAGGCTTAGTAGGCTTAGGCTTAGTAGGCTTAGACTTAGTAGGCTTAGGCTTAGTAGGCTTAGGCTTAGTAGGCTTAGGCTTAGTAGGCTTAGGCTTAGTAGGCTTAGGCTTAGTAGGCTTAGGCTTAGTAGGCTTAGGCTTAGTAGGCTTAGGCTTAGTAGGCTTAGGCTTAGTAAACTTAGGCTTAGTAGGCTTAGGCTTAGTAGGCTTAGGCTTAGTAGGCTTAGGCTTAGTAGGCTTAGGCTTAGTAGGCTTAGGCTTAGTAGGCTTAGGCTTAGTAGGCTTAGGCTTAGTAGGCTTAGGCTTAGGCTTAGGCTTAGGCTTAGTAGGCTTAAGCTTAGTAGACTTAGGCTTAGAAGGGTTAAGCTTAAGGTATTGCAAACTTACTTCTTTAATGAACTTGGCAGCATTTCGTTCGACCGAAAATTTTGATAAAGCGTCGACTGAAGTTAAAACAGCTTGTTTCTCCATGTAAATATCCATTGTACTGTGTTTGACTACACATACTATTTTATCCTGGGACATTTTGTACTATTTAGACAAGATAATAGATTATGTACAATGGTGTTGTAGCGCTATGAACAAAGATATAGCTAATATAACAGCACTGTCAAAAACGTAGACGGATGTTTACTTTTTTGTCTATTTTGAATGAATCAAGAAAATGATCTGGCTTATTCAATTTTTGTTGCTTTTCTATCGTATATACAACCTGTAAGACTCAAAACCGGTTTTTTATAACAAAGTATGTTCAGTACGGTACTAAATTAAGCAAAAGTACTTACAATAGCCTGATGTACAACGTTATATACTAAAAATCAAATTTAATCGCTTCAGATCGTCTGATGACCTTTTATGTTTCATGAACTCCTATGACAAGATATAGTACAATATACTTCGTTTGATCAACATAAAATATAAACTACAGTACTAATATACTAGCTAGTACAAAAAATAGTACCAAACAACCCTTGTCGACAAGTTATAAATAAAAAAAATCAAAAATATTAGCAAATTTTGGCCGCCAATAGTAGTACGACAAGTTGTTTGAAGATATTATAGTATATTAGCCTAGTATTTTTGGCTAAAATTTTCAGTGATCAAAATATACACTTTGTAGTATCTATTAAAGCCAAAGGAACCTTAGAATGTACTATGAATTAGTAAAAAATGACAATTAAATTAGTATGTTGTAGTAGCCAAAAAAATTAATTTTTGGTGTTTTCAACACAATTTTTGATGTCACTAGCAGTGAAAGTTATAAATATTTAAGATTTTTAGCTTTTCTCAAAGAAAAACACTGTTCCAACTTATGATAAGCTCTGTAGACCAAGAAAGTAAACAAAAAACAGGAAATACGATGCTTTTTGATATGCAACTTGGGCGATAAAAGCCCCGTTAACGTCGTTTTATTATCACTCCAGGAATATTTTATAAATTTTTGTGATTCACACAAACAATACACTCCCATTCCCAGGCCTCCGAAGCTTCATGAAGCCCTGTTTACACGATGGCTATAGTTGTTGATGTGGTTTTGATGTTACAGTATGTTTTGCGTTCAATATTGACAAATAGCACTCAAAAAACACACTTTTTTACCCTACCCTATCCTTCCCCTGCCCTACCCTACCCTACCATACCCTACCCTACTTTACCCTGCCCTACCCTACCTTACCATGTTTGGTCCTGCTTTGCCCTGTTCTGCTCTGCTTAGCCTTACCATATCCTACCTTATCCCTGCCATGTCCTGCCCTGCTTTGCCCTGCCGCCCTTCCCTGCCCTGTCCAACGTTACCATGCCCTAATTTACCCCTGCCCTGCTCGCGTTATCCTGTTCTGCTTTGTCTAACCTTACCTCTGCCCTGCCTTGTTTTGCCCTGTCCCCTTCCTTTCTCTGTTCAGCCTTACCATGCCCTACTTTAACCTGCCCTGCTTTGCCCTGTTTTGCCATGCCCTGCCGCCCTTCTCTGCTCTGCTCAGCCCTGCCTAGCAATACCGTGCCCTACCCTACTGTATTTTACAAAAACATTTACATTTTGCAAGTAAATGTTAAATTTTAAACGACTTTTGAATCTCCGGCCAACACTACACATAGCATTTGAAACCCCTCTATACCTAAACTCCTTTACAACGAACAAATTTAAAATCTTCGAGCGATTCGTTATTCAAGAATTCCACAAAAGCAAAAATATTTTTTAGTATTATGTGCTCCACATTCTGGCAGAGCATTCCAAAATTTCTCCTTATCAGCCACTGAGAGTTCAGAGCCGAAACATGAGCTAACCTCAAACTTGGGTTAATAAACCGAAGCTCTCATCTTCCATTTCGCTCAAAAGAAATACCTACTTCCCTTTTAGCCTAGGTTTCGCTCAATATTAGGAGTTATTTGAGCGATCTTCCACTCTCTGACATTACACTTGAGCTTCGCTTATGTCTCCCTCTCTATTTCTCTCACTTTCTCCACCACGCCTATTTTTTCTTCTGCGCCCACAACACTGCAGGCCGCGCAACAAAATAAATATTTTTCGTCGGAATTTTTGGCTTTGAAGCGCGTTCCAAGGTATTTAACGTTATAATAACTTACCAAAGCCTATAAATTAATAAATATATTGTTAACTACAAGCATAATCTACTAAATTTGTTAGTAAAATGTCGCAAGATTTTGCGTCTTTGGCTCCAATGCGAGTTCGAAACGATTCCGTCGAGTCTTCAATGGCTACTTGTAAGTTTTTGGTCAATATTAACTACCTTTTCTGATATATTTTTATTGTAAATTTATTTAGAATACTTTAAGCAAGGTTTTAAAAGGTTTTAAGTTAGCTTTTCAATTGGTTTGATTTAGATATCGCAAAGCAAATGGGAGAAACAGACAGCCAGGCATTGGCGGCCGAAGATGAACAATTTAACAAGTTTATGAACAACGAAATCTCTTACGATGAATATTTAAAGTTGAATGGAGGTGCTTCTAGTTCAGGCGAGCTTACTTCTTCTCAAAGCCAAGACGATCGCGAACTTATGCCACCTCCAACTTCACCAACCAAAAAAGTATGTTATCCTTAATATTTTCATTGTTGTTTAAGGTTTAGGCACTTTATTCTTCTAATATTGTAACTATCAGCTAGAAAAATGTATAATCTAACTACATTTTACAGAAAAGCCGAAGAGCCAAGCCAAAACCACCGCCGATCGAAGCTTTGTTCGCTAACAATGACCTACCAGCGGAGATTCGAAACAACGTTAGAATCGATTCAGAATCTGGGGAATTTGTGTTTTCTGGCACGGTAAGTTGATTTTTATATTATTATTTTCTTTTTAGATGAATGTCGGGACAAAAGAGCCAGTGGTGGCTGACGGAGAAGTCGCGGGGCCTTCAAAGCCACCTAAAATAAGGAGGTCGAACAAGTAAGATTATTTTGATGTAATTCTTGTTGTTTTGGGTTTCAAAAGGTTTTTATTGTGATGCGCTAGGTTTTGAACTAAAGCTTTTTTGCAAAATATAGGTTTTTTATGCTTTGTGATATTATCCATGGTACTTTAGATGAATAATATTCATTTTTTTGTGTTGTAAAAAAATATTCAACTAAAAAAGCCAATTTTAGAGCAATTGATGGTCTGATGGGTCAAGCTAACGTAGCCTGTGCCAATCAGCGGTTTGATGAAGCGTTGGAACTTCTGAAGGAGGCGATTCGTCAAGAACCTCGAGAATCAGATCCATATCAACAAATTGCGGACATTTATCTTGATTTGGGCGATGAAGTAAAGAGTCTGGAGTTCCGATTGTTAGCTTATCATCTTAGTCATCGTGCTTCAGCTGTAGAGTGGGCCGAAGTTGGGGAAACGGCCGTGAAGTTGGAACGATTGGAAGTGGCAGCTGCTTGTTATGGCAATGGTAAGATGTGAAGGTTTTTGATATGAAAAAAGATACGAAAATTTATACTATATTTTTAAAAAGATATAAAAGTGTTTTGAGACGAAATATGTTGTTGTAGCGATCCGTTGCGAGCCAGGGAACTGGTTGTATTATGAGAAGCGCATTGAACTCTTGGAGACCTTAGGGCTAATCAAGTTTGCCATGAAGATCCGGCTTCAAGCAGCTCAAGCCATTGATTGTAAGGCTTCGAATGTGGATTTCGAATGGATGCAGAGGCTGATTCAGACGGTAAGCTATCCGAAACTTGTTATTTATTACCTAATTTTAGGCTGCTGAGCACTATATCGACTGTTTGGACGAAGAAAAAGCTACAGAAGCTTTGAAAATTTTTTTGTTACGATGTCATGAGTTCAGAAGAATGGCTGATGTTCAACATTTGGCTTTGTTGGGTGAGTAACTTTAAGGAACGAGGGTTTGGTCGATTTTCAAAGCTAAAGATATAATTTTAGGTATGTGGATGGGTAGAAAGAAGTATGATGAATGTTTGAAATCAATCTTGGCTTTATGTGAAGATGTCAAGGCTTATAATGATGAAAACAAGGCTTTTATACAGGTAAATTTGATTTAAAAAAAATATTTTTAAAAAATTTTAAATTTTAAAAAATTAAAAAAAAATTTTTGAAATTTTCTAATTGAAAACTTCATTTCAGATCACAGTAAGCCACCACGGCTACACCTTCAACCCTCCGGACAGTTTGAGCAAGATCGCCAAGATCGAGGTACCAGGCACATTCAGCACCTTAATGATAGCCAAATCAGTCATCTGCCTACAACACCTCGGCTACCTAAAACCAATAAAAAACCTACTAGATGTGCTATTAACCAGAGCTCTTCACAACGAAGACGAGATCAACGCCTGTATCGAGATTGGCAAGACCTTCCATCAACTCGAGTACTTCAATAATGGAGTCCAGTTCATGGAGAAGCTAGTACAGACTGATGTCTTTTCTCAACATCCAGAGGTATTACATCTTTGTGGACTGTTTGAACAGGCTAGGAATAACCTGGACAAGGCTTTGGAGTATTTTAAGAATGTGCTGGAGATTCAGCCAAGCTTTGTCAATGCCAGGATCAGTTTATCAACGGTGTTGCAGAAGCTAGGCAGGTCAGAAGATGCGCTACAGGTCTTAATGGACTATGATTTGGATCTGTGTACTCAGCTACCGGTAAGGCTTTTTGTTTTGGGCTGGTTAGGAGGGGGCGGGGAAGGTATGAGAGGGTAAGTGACTGTAATAGGTGGGGGCTGGTATTGGTTTGTATTTTTAACCTTGGGGAGGGGGGCTGAAAATATGTTTAGCACAGTTTAAAAGTCATGATAATACTTTATTGAACTCGACTTTAGGACGAACGACTACTAATCCGACAAGCTGAAGCCCTGAAGAACCATCAGCAAGTAGAACAATATATCAGATGCCTTCGAATGCTTCTCATCCCTTACTTTTACCCAATCTACAAGTTTCAAAACTTTGCCAAACGATCGCGGACCAAATTGGGTAGGTAAAATACGAGGTTTTTTCTACATCATTAAAAATTTTATTATTTAGGTAGTAAACTTTGGATTTTAAGGAAAAAATGGCTAAAAATTTAAATTTTAGATCACAAAATAGTCAGAACACACGTTTTTAGGTAACAAACTGATTAAAAATCTGTATTTTAGGTAACAAAATTAACAAAAGTTCGATTATTAGCTAAAAAATGGCCAAAAATTCGATTTTTAGGTAATAAAACAGCAAAAAAATTAGAATTGTAGGCAATAGAGCAGCCAAATAGTAGGTTTTTAGGTAACAAAATTAACAAAAGTTTGATTTTTAGGTAACAGAACAGCAAAAAATTAGATTTTTAGGTAACAAAATCACAAACAGTTAGAAATGTAGGTATCAAAATAGGAAAAAATTAGAATTTTAGGTAACAAAATAGCCATAAATTAGGTTTTTGGGTAACAAAGCAGCAAAAAAATAAGTTTTTAGGTAACAAAATGGTCAAAATTGCGATCTTAAAATAACAAAACAGCATAAAATTAGATTTTTAGGTAACAAAATCACAAACAGTTAGGTTTTTAGGTAACAATATTGCAAAAAATTTGCGTTTTCTGCGTTAAAATACCAAGAATTTGAAAAAAAACTTAAGCTTACTAGACCTAACTTAACTAAAAACAGTACTTAGTTTACCTAAAGTAACAATACTTTAGTCCACCTAAAATACTATATTTTAGTCCAATGCTCCATCCTCTACCGCACAATGATCGAAGTAATGCGAGGCTCTCAAATAGAACGCTTAATCAAACGCCTGGGGGCAATAGCCTATTCGGAGGAACGGCCGACGGGATCGTTAAGCACAAACGATCTACACGACTACTGCCTGAGGCTGGTCGAAGCTCTACACGAAACTGAGAGATACGTGGAAATGGCAGAGATTGTCTACTTGGCCAATATGCAACCAGAACTTCAGAAGACTACGATAACAACGTTCTTGAATCTGATACTGTATGTCTCGATCAAGGCTAGGCATTACAGTGTGACTTTTGAATATTTGAGGAACTTGTATTCGAATATGCCGGTAGGTTTTTTAAAATATTAAGGTCATTCAAATAATATTGTGTCCTCTCTGAAAAAAAGTTTTTATGTCTAGTGGGCGCAGAATTATTTGAACAATCAAATGGCTAGTTTTGGGTGGAAAAAGAGGATTGTTTTTGCTAGTTTGTTACCTAAAAACTAGTTTTTTGGCTAATTTTTGCTATTTTGTTACCTAAAAATCTAAATTTAGGCTATTTTGATACCTAAAAACCTATTTTTTACTATTTTGTTACCTAAAAATTTAATTTTTGACCGTTTTATCACCTAAAATTCTAACTTTTTGCTATTTCACTACTTAAAAATTGATTTTGCGCTATCTTGTTACCTAAAAATTTTATTTTTTGCCATTTTGTTACATAAACTTTTACATATTTTTTATTTGTGCCATGATTTCAGGGCCGATTACTAGCCATGGAATCGGAAGAGAAGCTAAACTATCAAGAACGCATCTACAACGCCATGAACTACGTCTTCTGCAAGAATCAGAACATTGCCTACCACAGATTCATAATGAGAGCCGAAGCTAAATCACCGTTAGAGCCACAGCTTCAAATGATTTCAGGCAATAATTCGTTGGTAACAGGATCATATCGCCACGCCCTAAGTGAATATCTAAAGCTGTGGATTGAAAATCCAGAAGACCCAGAGGTGTGTCTTCTGATTGGCCTGACATTCATTCATATGTCATGCAAGAGGGACATTAGCAGTCGGCAAATGTTGGCTATTAGGGTAGGTTTTTTTGTTTTCTGAATGAGGGGGTGAGTGAGGGCTAAGAGGTAGGTTTTTTTAGGGAGGAAAGGTGGAGGCGAAATTCTAAAAAAAATTTTTGGGCGGGGTAATTTTTTAGGGATGGGGGTGGATTTCAAACAAACGTTTTTTCAAAAAAAAGGTTTAATTGTTATGGGCATGGCATTGCCACTAATTTTTTGTGGGGCGTGGTATTTTTTAAGGGTGGGGGTGGATTTCGAAAAAAAATTTTTTTTTGAAAATTTGGATATAGGGCTTTGGACTTTAATTTAATTGTATATATTATGTCGATGGAGGACTGATTATGGTCGGGGTGGATTTTTGTTTCAATTTTGGGTTTAAAAAATCAACAGGGGGACCAAGTTCAATTTTTTGATAAAATTTTTTTTAAATTCAAATTTAAAACTGAAAAACGTTGAATTTTCTTACAAAACCTTTATTCCTTTCCAGGGCATGGCATTCTTCACGAAATACAAAAAGTTCCGCGACGGTCCACCTCAAGAAGTCATGTACAATATGGCTCGAATGCTCCACCAAATCGGCATCATGCCTGGCGCAATCCACTTTTACGAAAAGGTCCTCTACGAAACCGAACCCCCAATGGTACTGAACGAGAATGGCGAAATCGAGGTGGGTACGAGGTACGACCTAAAACGGCTAGCCGCCCATAATTTGGCTTTGATTTATCAATCAAGTGGTAACACGGCCATGGCACGGAATATCTTGGACAGTTATTGTGTTATTGACTGAAAATGTGGATCTATAAGGAAATGATCTTGCTTACATGATTGTAATTTACCTCAGCGCAAAGTTTTGCTTTTGTTGTGGTATTTTTTGGCAAAAAAATTTTTTTGAAAAAATTGTACTTGGTCCCCCCTATGGACTAACTATAATGTTTTGGAAGAAAATGATATAGTTAGATTGATGTTCGTTGAATTTTGAAAAAAAATGCGAGCCTATAAGCTGACGGTACCATAGGTAGCCGAGGGCAGGGTAATTTTGGTTTTATTTTTTTTGGGGGGGGGGGAGGGGGTAAAAAATTTTTTTTTGAAAAACGAACAGGGGGGACCATATTACATAATTGATCCACACATTCCTCATTTTTTCCCTTCCGGGGTCAAAATTTACCCCACTCTAGTTGTAACCACCAGACCTGAAAGGAGGCCCACTAAAGCCAGCATCCGGCCAAAATTAGGCTCGGCCCCCTTACAGGAAGTCACCACAACTGCCATAACCATCAATACTATCATCGAAACATACCACAGTTACCATAATCAAAAGCAAAACCTTTGCAATAATTATTGTTAACGAAAATTGTACTTTATATTGTTCATAACATAAACTATTCGAATATGACACGGGTTAATGTTGGTTTAGACGGCGCCAATTTGTTCGGCGTACTTCTTGAGTTGGTCCAGTTCGGTTTGAGCGATTTTTAGGTATACATCCATGATTTCCGTGAGTTTTTCGTATTTCTTGGCTCGAGCTTCTTGAATCTTTTTGGCGGTGTCGTCGGGGTGGTCAATAATTTGGAAGCCGCTCTGAAGGGGGGTTTTTTGTTTAAAATTTCATTTTTACTTATTTTTTCACTTTTAATCTTTTGTTATTTTGTTACCTAAATACCTGATTTTTAGCTGTTTTGTTACCTAAAAGTCTTATTTTCAGCAATTTTGTTAACCAAAAATTTTTATTTTTAGTTATTTTGTTACCTAAAACACCAATTTTTAGCCATTTTTTGCCTAAAAATGTAATGTTTAGCTATTTTATTAACTAAACTACAAATTTTTAGCCGATTTGTTACCTAAAAATCTCATTTTTATTTTGTGACCTAAACCCCCAATTTTTTGACATTATGTTACCTAAAATACCATATTTCTCAATCTTCGTTATCCAAAATCTTTAAAAAATTTACCTGTTCCAAAGTGTCATTTGAGCCATTTTCACTGCTGCCATTGCTATAAGCGGTCATGAACGAGTCATCACAAGTGTCAAAACTCAATATCGACGAGTTGGCCTGGCTTGTGTTAGGGCTAGTGGAGACTAATTTCTTCTGAAATTGTTTATAATATTAATTTTGTTACCTAAAATCATGCTTTTAGTATCAAACCTAGATGAAAGTCTAACGACCACTTTGTTTTTGAAAAATTGTTACCTAAAAATAATGTTTTCAACGATCTATACCAATAAAATGCCAAAAAGTCCATTAAAACATCAAAAACTACACCCACCTCTCTCATCTTCTCCTCAATCTGAGCCACCACATCCAGATTCTGTGGGTTTTCGGCCAATTCCTTGATCAACCCCTCTGCCTTCTCCTTATTTCCCTTTTCAATCCAAACTTGAGCCATTTTGATCTTCAGTTGTTGTTCTAGATAACTGTCTTCTGGCTTTGGTACATTCGACTTGACTGTGGGGGAAGAAGCAAGAGGCATTGTCCGAATACTTGTGGCCTTTCACGGCCTGTGTCATGATTTGAGTATATCTATCGAACAATGTGATGTAGAGCTTCTTCTCCTTGTCTTTTGAGATTTTGATCTTCTCGGTTAGGTAGCCGACAGTGTTGAGCAGGCCAATCTTGTCACATTCGTAGACCACATCCATTCGGATCTCTTCTAGTGCCGATGTGAAATGGATTTCTTCGCTTGTTCCGACACTGAAACATGGATAACAAGGTCTTACTTTAAATCAAATCAACATATATTAGTTTATAAAGATACTATAACATAAGCAACATCAATTCCTTTAAATTTTACGTACTTCTTGACCCAAACAGCATTTTTAACAGCAAAAAATATCTATTTTAAACACAAATTTCCATTTTTAAAGCTTAAAACTCCAAAAACAAGCTACAACTCACCTTTTCTGATCCACAACATCGTTTAATATCTTCCACAGCCTTATAACATGTTTGTGCAGTAGTGGGTAAAAGTGAGATGGCAACATGACACATTTGCCCAACAGCAAAGCATTGTTCAAAGTTCTGTTAAAGTGCTCGGACAATCGGAACAGCAGGACCTAAAACTCGTATTTTATCTATAAAAATGAGCTAAAACAATATTTTTACCAAAAAGAATCTAAAAAAGTTAAGCTCTTACCTTCAAGTCAAACGCCGTAAACTCCTTGATACTCAACCCCAAGTTCATGCTCTTCGGTAACCTTTCAAGCTTCGTAACATCGTCCAAAAAGCCATCTAAAACAAGCTTAATTACACATTTTGTTATCTTAAAACATCAATTCCTTCAAAAAATCCAAAAACAAAACCTTTTTCACCAACAGACCTCATGCACAATATAAAACCCCCGTACCTTTCTTCAAATCCTTGATATTAAAGTAGATCCATAAAAATCGATTAAGAAATATTGTTTTCCTTCTTGATGACCAAATTTCTGACAAAACTTTTAGACAATCAACGTTTGGCAAGACAAAATTCGTGGCAACCTCAGGTACATCCGACATTATGAAAGACTTGTCGTTTGAGCTGGGAAAGGCTTGTGATTTCTCGTAAAAAGCATTCCTCAACATTCTTTGTAGTAGCTGAAATACTTATTGTATTAACACAAGTCCATAATGTCTTCGGACTTCTTGTTATATATAAAAATAGCCTTCACAGGCAATAGATGCATGGAACAATATAGGGCCTCAAGACAGCCCAAATGAAACATTCAAATCAACATAACTTACATCTTTAGATGCCATAAAGTCCTTCAAAGCCTTAGCACCACCAATATACTTCAAATTTCCACTTATAAGTAGAGAAAGTTCCAACATATTAAACTGATCACTGCTCGTCTTCAGATCTGTTACTGCGCGACCTTTCAGAAGGTGATAGAGCGCAAATGAGTAGCAACATACAACAACAGATAAATGAGATTGATCTACAGATTCTACATTCTAAAAAACATTCATCAGTTTGACTTTGCAGTCGAAAAATTTCGTTATTTCAACAAAAGTGATGTTGCTCTAGACATCAAAGACAATTTAATTTCGTGGGAAGCCAATACTCAATGAATATAGCTAATATTTGTTAACAAAGCTGCTCTAAACATCAAAGAAGATTTAAAAATAAATACTTACCGTTTTAATCAACGTAGCAAGATGATAATCGCCCAATCGGTAATAAAAACTAGATTTCGCATAGTAATGTAGTTGATCTGAAGTTTCTGACTTTTTTAAGGCCGCTAGTTGTCCCAGAACATAATCAAATCGTGATAAACACTGTTTGGCACGTTCGGAATCAAAATACATAAATGTTCCTTGAAACTGATGGCGTAAGGCCGCGTTAAGAAGCGCTACCTGTGCCAGAATTGAAGATTCCGTGAGATCATCATTTGATTCCTAAAAAAATGAAAGTTTAATATATAAAACAAGTTGTTCGATTAAGTTAAGATCATAAAGAAGCTTTGGGGCTCATCCAGAACAGCCCCCCATTCCGTTTCACACCCCCAACCGCCAGTTCGCACCCCCAGTGAAACCCCCAATCTCCAACTCCAGGTCAACCCGACTTGGCCGAACCATATCGGCAATGTCCGGAGTTGAAGGTTGAGGGTCGCGCGAGAGAGTGCTGGTCTACTGACTGGCCAGGGCGGTGAACGGAGGAGCAAAATGAAGAATTTGCAAAATCTGCTGCCTTTTATACGCATTTTCATTGATTTCGTAAAGGTCAATGTAAAAAATGAATAATTTTTTCTTTTTACGTGCCGGTTGTAAATTTCGTTTTCTGGGGGTGTGAACTACAATGGTGGGGGTGCGATCTACAGTGGGTGGGGGTGCTATCTACAGTGGGTGGGGATGCGATCTACAGTGGGTGGGGGTGCGAAGTAAAATGGAACCATTAGTTCAAAATTGAAATTTATGTGAAAAATCGCAAGAGAAAAAAAAAAGAAATTTTCAATTTGCTTTTTGAAAATGAATTTTGGGGGGTATGTTCTGGTTGACATCGGTGGGGGGCTGAAATGGTATGGGTAGGGGGGGGCTATTCTGGATGAGCGCCTAACAGGATGAGCGGAAAAGAAAAAGCTTCTTTTTCTTTATCTTTTAACAAAGAATGTAGTTAGCAAAACATTGTTTAGCTCTTTTATCCACGAACCTCTTCATAATGAGTAACATCTAAAATCCGAAAAACCACAAAAAACTTACAATAAACTTCTGTAAACCTTTATTAACACCAAGGAAGTCACTGTAGTCTTCGTGTAACAAGTCTTTCTCTGCCGTCGCCTTCCATTTGCGCATCAGATCCTGAAAATCGATGTCATAAGCCATCCTTAACGTCAAAACATGAACCATTTAAATTTTAGAAGTTAAAATACAACTTACTTCAGCCATTATTGTTGAAGAAGCACAAGAGCTTCAATGGATTGAATTCAAGAGAAATTCGAAGAATTCTAACAATTTTATGAAATAGGCGCGAGAAAAAGACAAGTTATACGCTGAAAGCTGCCCACAAAGTTTAGTTTTTCGCGTTTCAAGCGCTATATTTATAGTCCGCTAGCTTTTTTTAACGTGTTTTATGTTCTAACATTTTTATAAACATGATTTTATTAAATATAACAAGAATTTAATTCAAATCAAGATCAGGATCACCAAATTCGTTATCAAAGATCCCTTCGATTTCATCGTAATATCGCTCCAGAAGCTCGTTCGACTCCACGGTTGGACAAAGTGGATCTAGTTTTGATGTTTTTTCATTTGTGTATTCATTTGCATCTTCTAGTTTGTTTAAGGCGCGGTTTCTGAGGATTATATATTTCTGTTTGGCACGTAGAAGATCAAGGATAATATAACGATAATCTGGAGCGTCTACTCGATCTAGTGTATGAAGATAGGCCTGAAATTGATGGAAATCATGTTTAGATACTTTTAAATGTAATGATTAGTTTTACAACGACCGAAGTTTTGAGATCTAAGCTATTATATTGACATAGGTCATGTTGATGTAGTGCTTTGATAAAACTTGAAATTACGTTGATTCTATAGAACTCATTGGGCATATTGCGGTAGATGAGGTTAGCAGGGAGCAGTGTGGTCTTCATCATCTGTCTTAACCGGAAATGGGCTTCGTATTCCGCCCATGGCAATGGATTTTTGTCGTCGTTGTGGTAGAACAGCTCGGCCATTGTGTATAGCCAACCAAATAGGTCGTCCACGTAACCCTGGAAGGTTTTATTATTCAAAATAGTCATCTACTATTAGTATGGCATCTGTAATGTCATATTACAAAAGATTTTCATTATTACCGGCTGGAAAATACGATAAAGTTAAAATTATATTAACCATGCCTGCTCAAAGCCCATTTCGGACTTCCAACTGGCCCACTCGGACGTTCCACGTGGTGCCACTTTAGATCTGGCATTTCGAAGGTTTCCCTGACGATCCGAGACAATTCTGGCTAGTCCAAAGTCCAGGATCACTGGCGTTCGATCATTTCTCATACCAACGTTCTCGGCTTTGAAGTCACGATGAATAATGCCCAAGGAATGTAGGTTGTAGAGTCCCTAGAAATATGAAAATTGGAGGAAATAAAGGTTAATATCTCCTCTATAATATCTGAAAATTATTTTTGATTAAGGCTAGCCAAAAATTGTTTACAGCCATAGATTCTCTTATTATTTTGATGAATAGCAAAGTATATGTAAATGTAAAGGTAAATAAAATAAATATAATCAGCACTTACATTCAAAGTCTTCAATGCCAAGTCACAACCAGTAATCAAGAAGTCATAGCCATAAAACTGAGCGATATGCCCGACCATATTACCTGGAGCAAACTCCATGGTAATGTAGGCATTTTTCAATGTAACCTTGTCCGTGACCAAATTTAGCTCACCATTTTCATAAATACGACACAAATGACGTGTACGGTGCTTTCGTTGATAATCGACCAGTCGTTGCATCGTTGCGGCTTCGAACCGGAGGTTTCTGTTACTTCCTAATGCTACCTGGAATGGTGGGTTGTAGGTGTTAAGTGGGATGGTTTGTATTGTAATTTATATTACAGGACTGTACTGTTCCCTATACCACCTTGATCTGCCTTACTATACCTTACTCTACTCTACCATACTCTACGTTACCCTACCCTACAATACTCTACCCTACCTTATCCTACTCTACCCTACCTTACCCTACTTTTCCTTACACTGACCTACCAAAATATACATTATCTTTTCCTACCCTACTACCGTACTACCAGACGGTACCCTACTACAACATCCCTTACCTTGATACAAGCCTTTGTTTTGTTTTTGATATGTTCGGCTTCAAAAGCGGCCCCAAATGCTCCTAAAGTAAAAATCAAAAATTTTCAAAACTCCATCTTACCAGCTCCAAGTGCTTTGACAATCTTGTAATCATCAACAACAAAGTCAATCAAAGCTTCCTTTACTTGAGTTGGATCCAATTCTTGATCATCCATGTTAATATCAGCAAATTTTAAAGTTAAAAATGAATTTTTGATACTTTGTAACAACCAATCTTATATTTTTTCAACCAATTTATTTTTTTTAATCAGAAAAAAAATTATTCAAAAAACATGTTTGAGCGTATAAAATAACAAGCGCCGCTTGCAGCGGCCAATAAATCAATTTTGGGCGCAGTACGTGGAAGTTAATAATAAAAAATTTATTGTTGAGTTGTAAAGGAAGGTTTTCTAGGTAGGGCGGGGTAAAATACGTCAAAGTGTCTTTTCGGTTTATATTATAATAGTAATATAGACATTATCCTTAATAACATAGTCTTTATTTATCTTGACCTTTCCACAACACATTTTCCAGTTTATAAGTAACGTTGAGAAGGATTGGAATGTAAACGAGGGCGTGGGTTATACCTAAATTTATATTGTTTACTTACTAACTTCCAAAATTATGATTTAAAGTTATCACTATACTTACCAAAAGTGATGACCAAAAAGATGGTCTTAAAGCAAGTCTGTACGATGTAGCTGTTGATGGTGGCTAGAACAATAACTCCAAGGAATACAGAAGCTGTTCCTTGTGAAATTGGCCAGCCAACAGCGCCCAAGGCGTGTTTTAGTCGAGTATTTGGGTCACTAAAACATTAATGTCTAGTGTAATATAGAAGTTTATGTGTAACTCAATGTTTAGTTGTTGGTATCACTTGAAATTTACTTTTTTAAGTAAAACATGGTCTGGTTTGTCAGATGTTAAAATAGATTTAGTTTTTAAAAACAAAATTTTGATTTATAGCATTTTTTATATTATCCATGCAAAAGATGTGGTGGATAATATAAAATTAAGTGTAACCAGGGACGTCGTTTGGGGGAGGGGGGGTAGGGGGTACCCCCTCCCCCCAGAGCCAATCCGAAAAAAAAATTATTAAAAATTTTGAAAAATCGGTCCACAGGTACCTGTGGACGAAAAAATTTTTTTCGGTCTCCCCCTCCCCCCAGAGAAAATCCGTAGCGACGTCCCTGAGTGTAACTCAATTTTATTACTACGGATTCGTCTTAAATTGCCATTTTTAGTTAAAATACGATATCTGTAAAAACTTTGTTAACATAATACTAAATATAACCATGAAATTTCAAAAATACAGCTAATTTTCGGCGCCCACCTCTACCTCAAGGTAGGATAATATAAAAATCCCCATAAATCTCTTCCATGTCTTCAATTCAGCCTAAAACTTGAAAAACCAAGGTAAAATACTTACACATTTCTACCCTGTTCAGTAAAAGCATATACCACATGGGCAGCAAAGTCCACGCTGAACCCAACACTCATTGCGATAGTGATCATGGAGGTGGCGTCAAGTTTAACGTCCCAATAGTCCATGAATCCGAGAACGCCAAAGCCCACCGATAATATGCTTGATCCGATGACTAATCCGCATTTGAAATCTGGCATGAAAAGTAGAGATATCGCCATCATTACACCTAAAATGGAGTTTTTTCATCAAAATTTGGGTTTTTTTCTGCAAAATTTTCCCAAATTTCATTTTTTAAATTTTAAGTTAACTATAACGCCATTTCATGACATACCAACAGAGATATAAAGGTCCTGCATAGTTTGTACCCACATAGTGTCCAATTGATCGGCCAGGTTCCATAAAGCCGTGAAAGTCGTCATATTATATTGAGGATGGCTGTAACAGATGTCACGGATGATTCTGGCACATGTTGTAATTTCATTTTCGGTAGTAAATGGCTGTAACGCTACTGTAAGGCGAAATGAACCATTTGTATTGTAGTCGTAGGCATATTTGTCCGAGGAGAGAAGGAAAGGAGCTATGTCTTGGTCGAATGTCTGAAAGAGGGATGGGTAACATAAAATTGGTTGTATCTTTAAAAATACGTTGAGATGACTTGATTTTCGTATCTTTTGTGATGTATAATTTAATTTTATACCTAAAAACACTATTTTTAAAAATTTTGATCAACGAAACCCAAAGTTACGACCAATTTCCTATATTAACCTACCCATCTGATCCTCAACAAAAAAATGTTTTTACCTTTTTATCAACGTCGACCTCATCCAATGACTCAAATCCCAAATTCAGCAGATACTTCTCGTACTCAAAAAACCAAAAATTTGTAAAAGTTCGGTTTTTCGTGCACTTGGTACTCTCAAATTCATACAACACTTTTAAAAATTTGGTCCGTTCAATGAGGCTGCCCATGTTTGGAGGTGAAAATACTAGTAGATCAAACTGTGATGCATCTGTTGTAAAGTATTTTTCACGTAATTCCACGAATTTTGCCGCACTTTCGTTCTCTGATATTATGTTAGTCACCTGGAATAAGATTTTTGTGAATCGGTCGGTCCTATATATAAAATGTGAAAAAAAGTAAAAAAAGGGTAAGGTGAATTAAATAGGATATGAGGGAGTACAGTAGGGTACATAAAGTTACATAAATGGCACGTTAATACAAGATAAGGTATGGTAAAGAAAGGTAAAATACGGTATAATCAGTTTTTTTTCATCTAAAACACTAATTTAAGCTCAAAAAACCCAACTTACATTAAAACCAATTTTAAGATGATTAAGTCCAGTTACTGTAGTATAAACATAAACCACATATGACAGTAAAACAAAGATTTGAAAGGCAGGTTTCACCAAGACATTACCAAATTTCTCTCCATATACCACTTGATACCACACTTTTTTATGTTTCTGGTCGATTTTATGGCTTCCACAGTTAAATATTTTGGTTGATAATGGTACTAAAATGCTATTTTTAACCCTTTTCGTATTTTACTGTACAGTAATTTGATTATTTTATGCGTATACATTTAAAAATGGCAATTTTCTTTAGAATTTCAGCGACTTTTCGTAAAAATTTGAGAAAAAATGCATTTTTTGAATCGTAAATCATGGGATATAAAAACAAAATTTATAGTAAAAGATAGTACGTGGACTATACTATAATTTATAGTACAAAATCCTAACGACGTCTTATTAAAAATGACAATTTCATTTACTTTTCCTCAAAAAGTCCGCCCAAAAACCCATTTTTTCACGAAAAAGCCACTTTACCACTGCCATTCTATATCATACCCCTTCAAAAACAACTTACAACCCTTGATATACTCTTTAGTACTCCAATAAAACACAGAATTCCGCTTTTCCTCCTCCCACCTGCCCAGAATCGCCAGCGACGCCGAGAAGATAGTCATGGTGTACAAGTAGATGAACACGATGGCTACACACGAATAGTAGCAAAAATATTTGACAGCTGGTAGTGGAGCTATTGATCCGATAAGAAAGGCTAGAGTATCGGTTATAGATGTGATTGTAATTGAGCTGGCAGCATGAGATAGGCATTGTGATAGGCGGAGCTTGACATTGTCATTGGGATTGGTACTGTGCCAAGATGATAGGAGGAGGAAGGAGTCGTCGATTCCAATTGCTGAAGTGATAAGGAATAAAAAATTCGATAAATGTTAGATATAGCTATGTTACTGTACTCAAACGTACCGTACTCTACCCTAGCTTACCCTACCGTATTGTACCATACTCTACTGTACCCTACCTTACCCTACCCCAACCCACCCTACCATATCCTAAACTCCCCTACCTGCCCTATCAGGCTCTATGCCAACCTACGCAATCCTACCCTACTTTTACCCAGCCCTACCTTACCCTACCGTACCTATACTAGCCCCTACCTCCACCTATTACAATATCACCTTACTCAAGCTCAAAAACGGCATAACGGAGCACATTTCCACAAAGGTCACATCAAGCCATAACAAAAGTCCAATAGCTGATATGATAGCCATTAATGTTGATATAACTCCAATCAGACCCATCAAGGGCTTTGATCTTATCCAGTCCAAATACAGCCCTTCAGGCGTTTCAAACAAAGTAAAAGTGCATATCACTGAGAATACAATGAGGATGGTAAAGGTAATTGAGAATCTAAAAATTGCTTTGTATTCAACTGTCAGGTTGGCTACTGTAATATACCTTTTGTGTAAAAAATGGGTAATAAGAGTATTGTAGAAGGTAATGTGATGCAGACTTACTTTGGCAACATTCTCATTGCGTTGTTGGCCAATTCATCGTCAAAGGTTTCCGAATGAAAGTGGTATACATTCAAATAGGTTAGGTTCAGATCATCAATCTTGTGAGGTAGTTGGTGAATGAAACTACTGTAACATTTTGAAACTTTAGACAACTTTGCCTTACTTTATAATTTCATACCCTAACTTACCTTACTTTACTCTACCCTGTCCTATCCTTACTGATACCACTAGACTCTGCCATATCCTACCTTACCGTACTTTAGACTACCTTACCCTGCTCTACATTACCATACCCTACCTTACTCTACCATACCATACTTTACTCTATCCTACATTAACCTACCCTACTTTACATTATGCTTGTCTACCCTACCCTACCATACCCTATCTTACAGTAACTTACCCTACTCTACTTTACCATACATCACACTAATATTATTTACCTATTATATGATAAATGATATCAAGTCTAACTTACGATGAAAACCTCCTTAACTGTTCAGTTTTTTGCTTCAACTGATAAGCCAAAATCCAAGCTTTAGCTTCGACTAAATGCCCATCCTTTGAAATGGCACCTCCCAAAACCGACGTCAAATCAATAGGTTCTGTGACAAACTTTGAGGTGAAGAAGGGATAAGTTACGTTCATATGGGCCTGAAATTCATTTGATTATGAGGATAAGGTAAAAATAGATAGGGCTAGGTAAAGGTTAAGTAAGTCAAGGGAAGTAAAAGAAGAGCTTAGCAGGATAAAGAACTGTAGGATGAGATAAAGTAGGTTAGAGTAAAACAAAGCAAGATGTATTTCTGTAGGGTAGAATATTGTAGAGTAAGGTTAGTTTAAAGCTATGAAAAAGGATGGGACACGTAGAATATTGGTATGACCTACCTGTTTATTGTCAGCAAAGATTTGAGCCAATATTCTTATATGATTATTAGAAAAACATTGGTTTTGAAAGTGTAAACAAACGTCCGTGTATCTAAAATAATATTTTTTAGAAAAAACTTTCTTTACAAAACAAAAAATGGCAAGAACTTTCTTTACAAAGCAAACAATTTAAATACCCATCGTATAACTTGTCACCCGCAGGATGCAGATCGCAAAAATTATCCAAATCAATGAAAAATTGCAAAAACTTTCCTTCCAAACCAAAAAATAAAAACCTACTTGTAACTCTCTCCACTTTCATCCAAAAATGTAAAATTCTTGACAGAATCGACCAGTCGTATAATTTCCTCGCAGTTCTCCTTTTCCAGCACGTTACCATCGTTTTTGGCCGTAACAATGAGAAAAATGCCATTTCTCATTAATATATCTTTACTCGGGTAGAATTTGTCATCATTTTGGGCCCATTCCTTTATCGCCAACTCTTCACTGATCCAAGGCGCGTCTGATGGTGAATATAGAAAATGCACCCCTCGAATAATATGAAATTTTGCCATACCGGTCGATAATAACATGGTCAAGAGGATTGGGGCAATTACAAAAGCCTTTGGATATCTAAAAAGTAAATTAAAACCAAATTTCACCTACCTCATGAGGATGTCCACATAGTTTTGGCCAATCAAGCCTAAAACACCTTTTAATGGAGCCCTCATGCCAAACTCGGTAATGCAATAATTCAAATTCAATTTAATCTTGCATCCCACGGACAAATCCGTTGATGACCCACATTTACCGGTAATTAGCAACAAGGAACGTTCGCCCAACCCGATTACTCAAATTTACTCGTATTCAACAAACATCAACAATTCAAATTGATGCCATGCCTTTTCTAATATAAAAATGACTGGAAAAGACTTGACAATAGCTAGAGAAGATAATGATAGGTATTTGGCATCATTTAGAGGCAAAATGAACTAGTTATTGACGAAAAATATACAAATTTCTTGATGATTAACACCGGAGGTATGAGCTGAGGCTTTGACCCGTTCCAACCGCCATTTTTCGACTCGTATCGTATTCCATCACCTTGTCACGAGTGAACACGGACATTCGGCCACCAGATGAGGGCAGTCCACCACGGATTCCTTTGGGCAGTCCGGAGAAGTAGCGAGAAACCTTGTCCTCCTTCAATACCTCGTTCCAGTATTCATCGTAGGTCGCAAAGTCGTCGGAACGCTGAAAATGGATAGATTAATGTTTGGAAAGTAATTTCAAAGGGTTTTTACATCTAATGACGTTGTTTTACGTCGATTTTAATTGATATTCCATCATCAAAAATCTGTTTCACCAAAGTGGAACTCTTGACCCAAAAATAAGTTTCGTGTCAAGATTTGCTTTTTATAAAGTTTATCAAATTTCGAAGTTTCCGCCGGCCGTTTTGCTTCAAAACATCATTTTGTACATAAAGTAAGGCGTAACTAACCTTCTTTTACATACATAATTACATATTTTCAGCCAAAACCTACCGAAAAGATGAATTGATGCCCGTCGGACCAAGTGATAGCTCCAGTTGGGTTGAAAGTCAACGTTCTTGGCAGCGATTTCGGATAGCTCAAGTCAAGAGAGAATCTGCCAGCAAAGTATGTGAACACATACACCTTGTAGCTTTGGAACAACACCATGGTACGATCATTTTTGTTCAAATACGCCGCTTCAACGTAGATTGGGCCATTGGGGAACAGTGTCCGAAGCGAATGTTCTTTGATGATGGTTTTGTCGCGGATTTCAAAGACTTTACTGCCAGAGAATAGATAAACAGTTCCTCCGGGATCTAAAGAAAATGTTTTAGTAGGTTTTGGATTTTAATTTTGAAAAAATTTGGGTGAATTGACCTGTTTTTGATGTTATACTACCTGATAGTCTATAATAATATAAAAAGTCTGTTTAAATTTGAATAAATGAAAATGCCTGCTTGGGTATGATAATATTAAGTGTTGTGAACCTTTTTTGTTCAATATTTTGTGTTCTTACTTGGTGAAACAGCATCGACCATTCCTGGACATCCAAAACTTCCACTGCCACCTGAACCTCCGAATGAAGATCCAGAATCTCCGAAGGAGCTTCCGCCAAACGAAGATCCACTAGATCCTCCAAAGCTTGAGCCGCCTCTGGAGCGGCCAGAACTAGATCCAAATCCATCGTCAGTTCGCCCTAATGTTGTTGTAGCTCCATCATCGCCTTTAGATCCTCCTAAGAATGATCCAAAGCCGCCGAAAGAAGATCCTGAACCGCCGTTTGATGATCCTGAGTTGCTTGACGATCCTGATGATCTGCCACTGTCCCAGTCAGTCCATTCCTTTGGTGTACGATTGCGATCACGATCCGAATTTCCACCTCGACCAGTCCATTTGGCCCATAAACTGCCGAAAAGGCCATCTCCAGAGGATTCAGTGGTCGTTCGTGGTCTTGGAGTTGTGTTTAATCGACTGCCACCCCAGCTGCCTCCACTAGATGTGTCTGTGGAACGGAAACGGCCGGTACGGGGTCCTGAAGGGTAATGATTTGATTTATTTTAGGTAAAAATCAATGATAATATTGAGAAGGACAATACCTTCTGACTTTAATCTTCATGGATCTAGGCTAATATCGTCCGTTTTCCAAGATAATATAATGTGTTTATGACCTCGAACTCACCATAAAGATCCTGAATGGACTGAATATCATACGACGACAACTTTGGCATGACATAATTGCCATTATCATCGACTGTCTCCTGATAAAATGGTGCCATAATACTGTTCTTCGTCCTCGAATGTTCCAAGCCCAAAACATGACCAATCTCATGAATGGCTACTGGATAGACATCAGTGTAACCGTAGTTGGCAATCTTCTCCGCATCCATGAATACCCAGTTCTCGTCTTCGTCAAAGTGCAACATTCCACTTGTTGGCATGGTGGCATGGGCTAGAACGCCGCCTTTGCCGTCGAACGGCCATGGATCACCGTGATTTCGTGAGGCAAACTTGATTTTGATATCAGCGTTCTCATTGTGATTTGAGGTTTCGGTAAAGTCGAGTGGAGACACTTCCGACCAGTTGTCAAAGGCTTTCCGGATCGCTCGGCTGGAAGGAGATTTTTGAAACAATGACTATTAAATTCTTGACCGCTATGCTTATCACAAAATTTATGTACTTTCATGTTGTCTATAATCTTCTTCTACTGTTGCAATTTAAAAATAACGTCAGTATGACGTGTTTTCTGGTGAAAACTTGAACTTACGTTACTTGATCATGTGGAATATCGGTGGAATAGGTGAAAATTGAATAAGTTAGGGGGTTTTTCTTCCATTTATAGGCGTCTTCTGAAAGTACACGGATTTGTGAGACCTATATTATCTTATCACTTATCAGTTGCTACCAGAAAATATATTTTTCAATCTTTTTTTTGGCAAAAAAGCATGAAAAAGTCAGCGTTTTGGCTGATTTCATTAGTTTTTGATGTGTTTTCTATAGTTTCTTTTTTATTTTGAGTATTTTTTCTTGATTTTCAAGGCTTTTTGAGTTATATTTTTTAGTTTTTTAATATTGTTTCACTAAATCTTTGTCTAAAAATTTGTCCTACCTCTCGTAACTTGTAGTGGCTGAACATCAAGCATACCACATCGTGGTTCTGCCATCTTTTTTCGAGTTTTGATGTCGAGTTCTCCAGTTTGAGTGATTCCAGCAAATTCTTGGAACTTTCTGAAAGATTCTTGGTCTTATTTTTAATCTAGAAATTTTAAAATTTGGCTGAACTGAATTTTGCTGACAATTGTAAGTTAGATTCTTTGCTAGCAAGGGATTTGCACCAAACAGCCCTAGGGTTTAGAACAAGATCTATATAGGATGAAAGAGCATAAAAAGCTAAGAAGAAAACCGTTTTCAAAAACTGCTAATTGGTCTTGGCTAGCGAGATATTAGCGACCAAAGGATTGACATAGAGTGTTGTGCTTGATCCTTCTTATTCGCCTTGAGCAAAATGAATGTATGAAACCATCAGTTTTGGAATTTTGCTACTATGACAGTTCAAGGCATATAAGAAGTATCAAGTAAGACACCCTGTGTAAATCCTTTTGCCGCTAATATCTCGCTAGCCAAGGTTAATTAGCAGTCTTTGAAAACGTCTTTCTTAGTAAATTTTATGCTCTTTCATCCTATATAGGTCTTTTTCTCAAACTCGACGGATTTTGATGCAAATCTTTAGTAAACATAAGCTTAACACTATGCCGAAGCCTATTCCTAAGGTTAGCCTTACGTCTACGCCTAAACATGATTCTAGAAACTTATCGTTTGGCATAAAGGGTAACTAAATACTATTGTTTATATTGATGACTTACTTGATAGCCGACTTGAAAGTATTCCCAACACTAGCCACTTTTTGGCCGAAGCTAGATTCTTGAATTTGGGATGGTCCAGCATACCCAAACTTGTATAAGTACTCCTGAAATTATTAGTTTTAGCGTAGGGTTGACTATATTTTGTTGTTCAAATAATTATGTGCTTTTTAATTCCAAAAATTTTCTTTGTGAGGGGGCACATAATTATTTGAACAAATAGGATAATTTTTCGTATTTTACATTTGCCAGTCTATCCTCCAACTTACCTGCGCATTCTTATCATCGACCGGCTCTTCATTCTTCACCTTGGCCTTCTTCTTACTCCCTCCATTGTCTCCAAATAGGCCAAAAAAGTCAAATGCCGCCACCTCCAGGCATATCAATGATAATATTAGCAGTAGCGTCCAGACACGCATTGATACGATGGAGTAAGTGAGTGTTGTTGTAATCGACGTCTTCTTATTTTTGTTTTAATGCATTTTAAAAAAAGACGTTCTATAAATTCGTTGGGCGAATCATTTTTTGGGGAACCAATTTTCCGCGGGTTTATAAACATCAAACACAGGTTGAATAATAGCGCGGGAACGGCGAGACGGAACGCTGTAACATCACGGCCGGATTAAGAATCACGTCAGGGATGCAGAGAGAAAAATTGAAGGCTGGGTCAGGGTTAGGTGCTTTTAGGTTAGGGGTGGGTTTAGGGTCCTGTGCAGGGCTGAGTGAGTTCGGCGTCGTGTAGCGTCGGGTAAGGTATTAGGGTAGAACAGGATAGAGTAAGACAAGATAATGTTGGGGGTAGAGATTTAAAGAGTATGGTAAGCCTAGGTAGAGAGTGAGGCTTTAAGTATATAGAGGTACTAAGAAGGGCAGGGTTAGTAGGGGTGAAAAAAGTGCTAGTTGTGATATTAGGTAAGGGATTGGGGGTTTTTTTTTTATAAAATTGTGAAATTGAAGGTGAGGTAGGAGCGTGGAAAAATGAGAAAATTGAAAAACAATGGGCGATAGTAGGGGTTACAATAGGTTTGTCTAAGTTAGGGTCGGTAGTGGGCTTGCGTAGGAAAACGCAGGTCAAGGTAGGCCAGGTGAGGCAAGGATAAAATAAAACAAGGCTAGGTAGGACAGGATAGGGTAGCAAAAAATAGAGCAGTGTAGGGCAAAGAAGAGTGATATGATACGTGAAAGCACGACACATTATGTTAAAGTAGATCCTTGTATTTTAATTATATTTTAATTTTTATGGTAAAATACGTGTCTTACATTTTCCATTTTAATATTTATACTATAATATTATGGATTAGCCAAATTTTTTGTAACAAAATCTATGATACTATACATATAACAGTTGTAATACCTTAAAAACATCATAAAATTACTACATCCAAAAGTCTCAAAAGTTTAAAAACAAAAAATATTACTTTTCCAAGAATTGCACGCGAGAAATCATAGATCACGGTGATCAATGAGAACGTTCACTGGTACAAATTTGATAGTAAAAAGATTGTCTTCCGGTCATCAATTGATTAAACGCATAATGAGTCAGCTATGAGTAATATTTATATCGTATCAAGGTTTATTGATATTCCAAAGAAAGGCTGTGATGAGACATTGGTTATTTGTCTTGCGATGACAATGACAATTTATATTAACATAGGCTTGTGATAACAAGGGATAGGGTTTTATAAGATTGGGCTAGAAACTAGGTAAAGGCAAGGAATTGGTTGGTGTACTGTAGTCGAGGGTAGGTTACTATAGGGTAAAGCAGGGATACGGTAGTATTAGGCAGGGTAAGGCAAGACAGGGCGAGCAAGACAAGCGCAGGGTAGGACAAAGTACGGTACGACAAATTAGGTAAGAGTAGGGGAAAGTAGGGTAGGTAAGGTAGGGTAAAATAAAGTAGGTTAGAGTATGGTCTGATAATAAAAGGGTATGGTTGTGAAAAATATAACTAAAGGGTATGATGACTAATCGTATTTGTCTCCCCTTTTCAACTATAATGTTTACTTTGAAAGTGTAGTAAAAGTAATTTCATCCATGAACAATAACAACATAAACTTTATGTTGTTTGCTTTGGCTGTTTATTACCTTTAATGTCTTACAATTACGTCGAGTTTAAAGTGACGCGCCTCAATTGATATTGGTTTATTTCTTCCTGGAATCGTGTCTTGTTTTTGGCTGATAATCATAATACAATTGGTAATTTTATGGTTACTTTAGCCTACTTTACCTTACCCTACCCTGCCTTAAATTACCCTACCCTACTCTTCCATACAATGCCGTAGTAACTCATTCGTGCCATAAACCCCCCGCCTTGATATTGTCCTGACTAGCCTTATCTTAGCTCTTTCAACCGTTTCCAACCCTACAGTACCCTCTACTTTACCGCAATTATAAAAAAAAACAATCCAAAACATTAAATCCTAGTTTAATGGTCATGTTTCAACGCGTATGGACACAATTTTCCGGCGATGAGGAATACCAAGTACAGTAGACCAGCTCCAGTCAGGTCGGCGAATGATGTTATCACGGGAATCGAGCAGTTATCCGGGTCCATGTTGAAGCGCGCGACTAGTGCTACCAGGCAGTGCGATAGGAATATGAGAAATGTTACCTAAAAGTTGGGAAAGTAAATACCGTACGGCTACAGTATGCTAAAAAAGTTTTGGTTGGGTGGAGATAGGGGGTAGGAAAAGGGATGGGTAGAGCAGGGCAGGTCAAGGAATAAAAGCGCACAGCCGGGCATAATAGAGCAAGACAAATCAGGACAAGGCAAGGAAAAGCAGGGCAGGGCAGGGCATTGCAGGGCAGGGCAAGGCAAGGCAAGGCTAGGCAAGACAAGGCAAGACACGGGCAGGGCAGGGTAAGAAAGGGGGGGGGGAGGGGCTAAAAATATAAAACCTACCTGAGCCAAAGAACTCACTACCAGTACACTAATAAGACTAAAATTTGTACTACCATCCTGGTAGATCAAGCATAGTACAACGGCGAATACCACTTGTAATGGTACCGAACATACGATCAGTAGTACACCACATTTTGAGTCCGCATCTAAAATCGAGGGCGTAATCAAAGTTTTATCACATACTATTTGTTATTTTAAGTATCAAAGTATCAAATTTCAAAGAAATTTGCAAATTTTTAAAAACCGCAATAACTTTCTTTCCAGCCCTAAAACACCTCAAAAATTGGTCCCAACTGTACCATATGGTAAAAATTAAACTTATAATGACAAAAAACATACCTTGACATCCATACACAGTAACTGGACTGCATAGTCTGCCAAAGCTTTCTGAGTCAGCTTCCGTTGCTCTCCATCTGTCATATTGTACTTGGTGCTGAGTCGACTGCACATTATTGAAGCTCTGTTTCCACACAGCCCTTAAAATAAAGTTTTTAGTAAGTATAAGAAAATTCATAATATTATTTGTAAAAATTTTTTCGGAAATTTGGAAAGTGACATGTTATACGATGAAACATGTTTCGGACATATTTTATCGTATAACATGGAACTAAAGGTAAAATTGATAAATTTGGTTACTAATAGCTAATTACTAACCAATCCTAAAACATTTTTTGCAAAAATTGAAAAAAATTTTAAAAAGTGACATATTACACGATGAAACATGTTTTTGGACATATTTCATCGTATAACATGACACTAAAGGTGAAAATGCTAAATTGTACCTTCAATACCTTGTACTAGTAAATCTCAAACCAATTTTATCAAAATTGCAAAAAAGAGACATGTTATACGATGTAATATGTATAATACTAGACACGTTTCATCGTATAACATGTCACCAGACGAACACTATAACTCAAAAATTAAATGTAACATTAAAAAATGAAAAATTCTTACCAGAAAGTAATGGATGAAAGGTTGAAGAGTTTGGGAACGCCGTCTCACACTGTTCTAGAATATAGCCACCTAACCTAAAACAATATAATGTTATTCGTAATAAGAAGCATAAATTATTATCTGTACTATGTAATGACAAATAAAGTACTTCAATAGAAATCTAAAAGAAGACATACCCACTTAACATAACAGCCAGTATCAGTATTCCCCATCCTGAGATCAGTGTTGGTCGAGTGTCTTCATGAACGTACGATACATAAGCGAAGAAGGGTACTATTAAAATGTTTATTACTATAGGCATCAAGTTGACTAGATAAACTGGTGTTTCCGTAATTTTTAATTGACTTTCGCCAATGTATATCTGAAAATTTTAAAATTAAAATTTGATATCGTACCGTACCGTACCCTACCCTACCCTACTCTACTCTACCCCTACGCTACCCTACCCTACCCTACTTGACTTGTCCTATAGACACTTTTCCTCTGTTACAGTAAGCCCTACCTTAACCTTTTTACTGTTGCCTAATCCTAGGCTTACTGTAGCCCATCCCTGTCTAATTCTTACTGTAACTATAATCTTCTTAGCCAATTTTACTCTATCGTACCCTACCTACCATAAACTACCGTAATCTATTGTACCCTACCCTACGTTACCCTGACTAGTTTCTACTATAAAATCTTTTAAAAATGAAAAACTTACAAACAACGCCAATGTGACCACATCACTAGTAGAAGCGGACAACGGTGTAGCCACATTATCCGGATCCACATTGATCTGCACTGACAACCATACCAAAAAGCACATCAACGTCCCCAACAGTGCCGAAGCCAACGTTGTCGCCGTGATAGCCGTACTCAACAGCATGATACAGTACGAATAAATGTCCACGTCTTTGTGCGCTCTATACACCAACATGATCAATGTTATCACACTAGCGAACAATGTCAGTACGAAGCTTTGGGTCCAGATCAAGGTCAGGTTAATGGCTAGCGACTTGAGCCATTCCCACCAGCTCTTGTTGAAGCCAGTATGATGCGAGAAGGTTGATAGGCGTGACACCAACGTCATCTCGATGTTGCCTTTCAAGCCGAGGATGGGTGGAGTGAGAATGAAGGCTTCATGGATTCGATCGTAGAAGGGACTGGCTTCGGCGCGGTCATAGAGCCAACCGGAGAATAAAGTGTTACAGCCGGCTAGGAGCAAAGCGGGGGTGGTCTGAAAGAAAAAAATGAAATTACAGTAATCCTGAGATTTAAAGATGTTATATTTTCAATTTTTGAGAAGATGGTATCATTAAAAATGACATAAAAAGCCAAAAATAAGCTGGAAAGTCAAAGCGGATTCGAACTTTTTTGGTTTTTTGACTTTTTCAAATCAATGTAACTTGGTCAAAACAACTGATATAAACCTGAAATTTGACCAATAAGCACAACTTTGGCTTCTTTTTAAAAACTATCTTTTAGAATTTTAAATTTTTCTCAATAATGTCCGAGATTTTTAAAAAATTTTGAAAATTAATTAGGTTATGGTAAAATCACTGTAACCTCTAAAATACCATAAATTTAAAAAATACCTTTGTTTTGAATGATAAAGAATTGAATTAACTTGTATTACCTGAAATTGCAGGGTTCTAGCTCTATTTTGAAACAAGTTATGTTACAAAATGTCAATAAGGTGCCTACTTTTTGGCCAAAAATTGATCAAAATTTGAAGAAAAATTAAGTTTTTGTAAATTTGTTGTCATTTTGTAGCCTTTAGGATATTGTAATTGTTGTAAAATATATTAAGACATATTTTAAAATTAAAAAAATTAAAAAAAAGGCATTAGAAAGCCCAAAAAACCTCCAAAAAACACCCCAAACCCAACCCCTACCTGTATAAAGAATAAGAGCAAACTATCATTGGGCTCAACGGCCGTGTTCACGGCCGTTGTCACAGAGCTTTTGGTGCTTTCATCGTCGCTGCCATGGCCGTCACTCATCACCCATCAGCCGACTTCTACTTGGTATAAAAATGAAAATGACATTTTTGGGTTCGAGTTTCGAATTCGTTCTGTTTACTGTACTTTTGGGCTTTAAATTTCAATTTTTTTCTGTTTTTGTACCTTTTGGATGTACATAAATTTGGATTTTCATATATTTTTTTAATTTAAAAAAAATTTTGCACTGTGCAGTATTGTCTATTTTTCAAAAAATTCTGAGCCACTAAACCCTGAAAAATTGTATTGAAACGTGGCTCAGAATTATTTGAAAAATCTTATAATTTAAACTACAGAAGCTTTTTTATCATTTTCTATCTCTATATTAGTCTTTTGTTATCTATATCAGCCCTTAAAAAAGTCTTGTCGTAAATTTCCACTGACTCCAATCTTAAAAAACGACAAAACTTTTCCAACCCCCTATAACTATATAAATCCAACAATCAATGCCAACCAACTTTGTTAATATTATTTATTTCAACTAATTTGAATATTTTTAGGCTTTTTTGGAGTATTTTATGGTCCCTATGATGTGAGGACGTACGCTCCGCCTATATACAACAATGTAAAGCGTACGTGCTGGAAGACGGGTGTTCCTAAACCTAAAAGAAGTCGGAGAAGAAGACGACCGAGACGGGCCGGTCGTATTCGGATTTGGAAAAGAAAAAAAAACAAACAACAATATATACGAGTCGTATATACATCTTTTCGTATGTTGTTGTAGGGACATGGGTTTTTTTGGGGAGGGGGTGGAGTGGTCAGTAAGGGGTAAATTCAAAAAAACTAAAAAAAACTTCCTTTTCAAACATAATTTCTTTTTCAATTTTTAAACAAAATAAAATTTTAACAAAATCCCCCCAAAAAATTTACCCGCCCAAAAAATTTTTTTCAAACTTTCAAATTCCTTACATCAACAAAAATCCTTTTTCACAAAATTTCCAAAAATCACCCCCCCCCAAAAATTACCCCACCCCTACAACAACATACAAACATATAAATAATGGAAGGCAATTAGGGTTCCTATGAAAGGCGGGGCGCGTCTCTAAGCAATATACAGACAAAAAAACGAAACAACATCTTCTGCTATGTACAACTTCGTATTTTACATCATCTCGAACAGATTACAATAGAGTAGATGTGTGTGAACAAAAGGTTTCCGAGAAGGGCGATAGGTTAACGTATATCAGAAGGTTTGATAGTGTTAGGTGTTTGTCGTATTTGGGGGTGTGTTGGGATTGAAAATGGCATTTTTCGACCAAAATCAAGCCTAACATTCGGCCCCCAAGATACGACGAACAAAAGCCAACGAGAGAGATAACATATATCGTGGGTGTGATATGTAAGACACACGTAACAGGAAGAGCTATGAAAAGCGAAAGGAAAACAGACCAAATTCGACAAAAGGTTAAACCTAAAAATCCGTGACAAACAGCAAAAATCGAAAAAAAAATTGAAAAAAGGGCTGAAATGTGACATTGCAAAGATTTCAAAAAATTTTTTTTCTCAAATTTCAAAATTTTTTAAAATTTGAAAATTTTTCTATATAGTGCCATGCCTCTTATGCAGAAGTGGCCCAAATACAAAAAGAATAACCAAATAAGCCTAAGATTAGCCCAAGAAGGTTAAAATCAAGCTCATAAAGACTATAATCAAGCCAATAAAGGCTATAATGAAGCCCATAAAGAACAAAATTAAGCCTATAAAGAACAAAATAAAGTCAATAAAGACTATAACCAAGCCGACAAAGGCCAAAATCAAGCCAATAAAGACCAAGATCAAGCCGATAAAGACCAACATCAAGCCAATAAAGACCCAAATCAAATCAAAAAAAGAAAAAAAATCAAATGAAAAAGAATAGAAAGCATAACATTATCAAAAAAATGAATGTATTCCTATGAAACGAATGAATATCATGAATAATATATCAAACACTGTACATGTTCGGCCGGCGAGACATGGTTGGGAGGCTCAGTTCCAAATCTTCTCCAGATCGTGTAGGTTCCGTTCCATTTCCAGGTCGTGCCGTGACCAGATCGAGGACGGCGGGTTCACGACCGGTGTCATGAAGGGGGATTCCTTAAAGTGGCCAAAGCCCAACGACGAGTCCATTGCCAGCGGTGTTGGGAGGGCGTTCAGGTTGTTGATGAAACTGTCATGGTCGACCATTGGCAGGTCCGCGATGAACTTGTCGACGTTGAAGCGCGGGAGGCGCTTGTCGTTGTTGGCCTGGTTTGTGATCCTGAAAAGCGATGAAATTAAATAATAATAACATTATTTGAAAGCGAAAAAGCTGTAGTACATTCAAAAGAACCTTAAAATTCATATACTATATAATGATTCCCAGTAAACTCCTAAAAAACCTAAAAAATTGAAAAAAAAAATTCCATCACCTCTATACCTACAATAATATAATATCATAGCAAATCCAATAGAACTTTTTCTATCAAATGCTTAATCAAAAAACATGCCAAAGACGTTAAAGAATCTTTTAACAACAACAATCAACAAGTTAAGATCCAAAAACCTATCAAAAATTCCAAAAAAGTCCACCACCTCTATACCTACAACAATATCAAGCCAAAATCACCCCTTCACCCCCAATATTTCATCAATTTCAGCAAAAACCTACTTCAACGAATCCGGCCTGAGTCTGTTCTGCTCCTCCAAGCACATTCCACCAAAGAACGCGTTCAGTGGGTTGTTGACAAACTCATCCACACTCGATGTTGAGGATGCCTGCTCCAAGCCCTTGTCGTTCTTCTCGTTGTCGCTCCAGTAAAACTCGTACGGTTCCTCGAAGCTACCGACCTGTAACTCTTTCTGTGTTGTTGTGCCAAAGGCTTGGGTAGTTTGTGGTGGTGGAGTGACATCGTCCGAGTGTGTTGAGGATACAGTAGATGAGGAAGATGGATAGTCATCAGCCAGCTGATTCTGCTGATTTTTGCTGATTTGGCGAGCCAGCAGCTGGGCCATGGCGATGTTGAGTTTGGGTGCGCCTTGATCATCGACCTTGCTGAGGACTAGTTCCTCCACCTCGTGGTTGGTGAGGTCTCTTGTGGTCATGTCGGAGCGTTGGCCTAGCTGAGAGCTGGATGGACGACGACGAGTCCAGCCATTGACCGATGCCATTTCGTAGAAGAAGCCATCAGTTGATGGATCATAGTACCTGAAAATGAGGTTTTATATCTAAAATACTACCGTTTTATACCTAAAAATATAAATTTGATACCTAAATTTAAGTCTAAACTCAAAAAATGTGTTATCCAAAGTTCAAGTGATACCTATAATTAAAAACAAATCTTTTCTAAACAATATATTATCAAGAATAACACCAAAAATGTCATCTAAAACCCTCCTAAACCAATAAACTCATCTATAAAAAGCTCATATTGGCCACTTACTTGATGTTCGGCGAATTGGCTGGCTGATTGGCTTGGCCATAAAGCTTGTTGGAAGCTTGTGTTGGGAACACTGGTACTGGAACGGGTACGTAGACCTTCTAAATTTTTCAAAAATTAGCATAAATCATCAAAAATGGCACAAAAATCATCAAAAATGCCCAAAATCTACTATAATATCGCCCAATTCCTACTATAACTGCCTTTCCACACCCTGCCACCCAAAAATTTTTGCAAATCCTCTATTTTTAAACCCTTCTTCATATTAAACAATCAATTTCAATACCAATCTCAACCAAATTTCCCTAAAATCCATAAAAACAAGCTCATTAGTCCAACTTCTATATATAAACTTTGACGTGAAATCGCGTGACAACCAACTTCAAAGACGTCGAATTTGACGTGTTTCTATGATGTTGGAGCTTCGTATGCTATAGGCCTTACATTAACATGTCACTAATCCCTTTGAGTCAAAAGTTTTTGCAAAAAAATTGAATTTTCGTATATTAACCATGACAACTTTTAGTGTTTTTCAATGTTTTAACTAATAAAAAGCTAAAAATTAAGTTAATGAAGCTTCTAGAAACCGTATTACTTCTACTGCGCATTTTACCAAGCCAAAAAAGCTTTTCAAAAATTCGAAAACTCAATTTTTAAGCCAAATTTCCCACATTTTAGAGCCAAAAATTAATGGTTGGTCTTATATTTTGATGTGTATCTCTACCAAAACTTCTTCAATCCTCCCCAAACTCAACATAAACCTTCTTCACATCCCACCTATCATATAACCCATCAAATCGCCCTACCTTTTCGATTGTCTGCGGAGCTGGAGCGTCATTTGGCTCGGCTTCGAAGGCCTTCTTCTGCAGATTTGTGGGCGGATTACCGTGTAGCTTCGGGTTCCGCTTCCGCCATCCACGTGAGCCGTTGTGCTCGTAGTAGAAGCCATCCGAGGTTTGATCGTAGTACCAGTAGCTCTCCTTCACCGGCTCCGGCGTGGACTGGGGTTCGGGTGTTTCGAAGGCTTCGTCAATCTTCTCCGACTGTTCCGAAATGTTCCGTCGGCGATTGGCACGCTGCTTCTTGTCCTTGCGGGGCCGTGAGTCGGCGTCGTGCTGATGCATAGAATTCATCGAGGATTCTGAATCCACAGAATTTTTTCGTTTAGTGTCTAGGTCGACATCTGAAATTAGCAAATTAAAAATTTCAAAAAATTTCCGAAAAAAAAACTTTTTTTCAAAAATCCCCCCCCCCCCAAAAAAATTACCCCGCCCGCCAAAACTACAAATCCAAGAACAATGCCACATGGCATTTACCGGCTGAACTAAAACCGATGGTCTTAGGTCTTGTGCCATTTTATAATGTACCTATGGCCACTCCCCATTCGCACTAAGCTGCATGAATGCACTACAAGTACAAGATGTGGATGCTTAATGAATGTACTAAAGTGCAATCATCAAAGAATTGGCCTTACATTTGTCCCCGAGGTTTAACAATAGGCCTGGGACTGCACTTTGTTTTAGGAAAAAGAAAAAAGAAAGGCTGGATAAAGTTGGGCGGGGTAAAAAATGAAAAAAGGTAGAGAGTGGGGGGGTGGTCTAATTTTTTTTTCAAAATTTCAAAAAACCTTCACAAACATCCAAATGCACCTTCTAAGCCACAAACACTGCCTTAAGTATGTTTTTGTGCGATAGTACAAGCCTCGGTATCACATGCTTTCGAATAGTGCAGCAAACATAAAACCCAACTATAATGTATGTTTTGATATAGTACAAAGATGGTTGTTTAAAAAACAACATCAACTTTCGGAAGTAAACAAAATACAAAGAGCTCTCGAGGACATTCTGAATTTTGTTTGAAATTTTGCAAAATTTTGAAAAATTTCGAAAAAATCAAAAAAAATTTTTTTTTGAAATTTTAAAATTTTTTTGAGAACAAGAAGTCATTTTGTGCCCTCAAATGAATTTCAAAAGCATTTTTTCAAAAAAGTTCTAAAATTTTAAAAAACTTCAAAAATATCAACAGGGTCCCCCTGTTAACCCTCAAAGCCACAAATTTTTCAAAAAAATTTTTTTCTGCACCAACTACCTCCTACAGCTTCAAAAACCAATTTAAATTCCAAAAAGGGCTGCACTTTGCATTCCCCGGAATGGTACTGAGGAATTGCTCGTACTCTCCGAAATAGCTCTCAAAGTTCAGGCAAAGTGCAACGGATAAACGAATTCTGCCACAAAACATATGACCAAAGTGCAACTTTCAACCGTAATTCTATTTTAGTACTTGGAAAAAGGATTTTGGAAGTAATTACAGTAAGTTTTAATCTATTATCATACGATAGCAACGTATTTTACTGACTTTTCGCTTGATTTTTGCAAGTTTTTCCTGATTTTTAGCAATAAATTTCAAATTTCGCGCAAAATTTAGTGTTACCTAAACTCAAAAAGCTTCTATTATAACACTACATTATCTTCTAGACCTCTTACAATCCATTTCACAACCATTCACAATCTTTCCCCCAAAATTGGCATATTCCCCCATCACATCCACCTTATTCACCCCAAAATCAAACCCTTACCATGTCCTTCGTTCTTGTCCATCAGTTTATCGGCCAAATACCAGGCCAACGTTTTGTTGCCGCGTTTGTAGGCGTTCTTTCCACGACTCATCTTCAAATTGAAATGATTCTCCTGGTCGCCGCGTGTGGCAAAGTTAACAAAAACGATTTTTAGTGTGGTGGGGGTCGACGAATTTGTCGATTTTCTTAGCGAAAACTGTTCAAGAAAGTCTGAAATATAGTTAAATTAGTCGAGGTAGATGATAGGGATTGTAAATATCACGAATAGTTCGAATCACGAGCAGTAGATTATAAATAATATCCAAAAGATGTAAAAATTATCATGGTGAATATCGAGAAAAGCTTCATAACAAAAAAATTATAAGACATGACATGCCAAATCATACCTCATTTAAAAGAAAATTAAATTTACTATCTAATAACACCTATCACAATATAAAAATGATAAAAAAACAAAAGCATACAGACAAGTTTGAACCATGGTTAATATCAGAAAATAATCAGAAAAAACTTTAATTTAGGCGTAATGCTTTTAGATATAAAGAATATAATAAATGACTTTATGCTACATCTAAAAGCTCAAAAAACATCTAAAAATTCACGAGAATTCAATAAAAAACGCAAAAAAAACAAAAATAGCTGCAATCCTAAAGGTTAACATCAGAAAAACAACCAAAACAAAAACAAAAAACATTGTTTGACATTTCCCAATGCACTTTTCGAAAAGTAAACAAAATGCTGTACCTAAAAGCTCCAAGATCAATCAAATTAATACCTAAAATAGCCCAAAAAACCCCAAAAACAAGCAGAATTCCGCCTTGAACAAGATTGATTCTCGACAGAATTCAGCAGCAAGTTTGGTTCCAAAAACCTCCCAACAAAAACATTGAATTCTCACTTGACAATAACGCGTCAATCGACGGAACGTCGACGATGGTTGGCCTCTCGTGGAGACAAAAAAGGTCGTGCGACAAGAGTTCGAATCCCGAAAAAGGTCGGTCTCCGGTTTTTTCTGGGGACTGCGCAACCAAAAACGCTTCCGAATCCGTCGCAAACAAACAAGAATCTCGTGGAAGCCACCGTCAACTAGTCGAATACACTTTCAGCTAACTGATAATTTACTTTTTGCGAATTTACTTTGTGAAATCAAGGGAATTTGGGTAATATTTCGATGAAATTGGCAAATTTTCAAAATTTCATGGGAAAATCGACGAAAAATTTATAGTTTTTGGGAATAAATTATTCAAAAAGGTATCAGAAAGATGTCGCTAACTCTTCTTAACCTATAGAAACATAGAACCTTCAAATCTATTTCGAAACGCGGCCAGAAACCAGATCCATTTTTACCTAAAAACCAAAGACAAGATAAAACAAAAAAGACTTACAATACCTCAACAACACATTAAGACTAGTTAAAAAACTCAGAATATACATTAATATAACACAGAATATTATGATAGGTTTCGAAATCACAATTAATCAAACAAAATTTTGTTTTCCGGCAAAATAAACCCGCGCAAGCTGCGTCCATCCAGAAAACTTCGCAAAATCAATTTTATACGGAAACTGCCACATCTTTATACACTGTGGAATGATAATTTGTTTACAAACTTTACAACATGGATGATGAAATAGTAAACAGATTAAATTTTTGAAATTTTTTGCATTATAATGATATATTATACATGTTAATGTAGGTGACGCGTTCCTAAGCTCATAACATGGAGGATTTTGGAAGTTTTGGAATGAAAATTGAAGAGTATGTTTAAAATAGAATGATATAACTTTGCCTTAAAACAGTTTTCGAATTTTTATCCTGTTTTTTGAATTATGGTTATTTTTCAAAGGTATACCTATATCTAATGGATCTATATTAATATAGCTTTTTCTTGACCTTTAAATGCCAAAACTAATTAATGATTGGTTATAAAAAGATAGACAAGTTCATAGTCTTGCTTTTAAAAAGCATTTCAGGATGTAAAACACGGCGATTCCACTACATCTATCCAATATAATTCACCCCACCTCCACCAGCCCACCTAAGTTAATATAACCTCAAATATCTCTTGCCAAAACCTGTCGAACGTCGGAAAATCCGATTTGCGTATGATGTGAGCACGAGATGTGTACGTGCTCAACGAAAATGAATGACTTTAATGGCCACGCGGAAGGTCAAATGACAGAAAGAAGTGGAGAACAAAGCAGATAAAAAGGGGATGCCTCCTGGAGAATATTGTTGTTCCAGGAAAGGGCTGGACAAACAATTTCAATATGAATTTGGAGAATGAGGAAGACTTTGTTCTGTGATACAAGCATGTATAATTTTGATTTTTTGGGCGGGGTGGGGTAGATAATGGGAGTTTTTAGGTGAGAGGTTTTGGGTAAAAATGGAGAATTTTAGGTGACAAAAAAATTTTTTTTTTAATTTGAAAAAAAAAATGCTTGAAAAATCAAAGGAAGGGTAGAAAATGGCAGTTTTTGGGTAAAAATGCAAATTTTAGGTAACAATCAAAAAAAATTTTTTAAATCGAAAAAATGCAAAAAATCAAGGAAGAAAACGTAGTGTAATATCATGAATAACAAGTAAATATTCATTACTTTCAGAAGTAATAAATAAATCAAAAAAGAAGTGAATTTTTGATGGAAACCCTAGTCACAGGCCTGCTAGGTCAAAATAATATGAGACTAATAAAGAAAAATGTGTGACAAGGTCCATAGCGTCTATACCTAGTGTAAAATATCTCGAGGTAAGGAGTCCACTTAAGAATAGGCTTGTAAATCAAGCATATCTTGGAGAAAGGGCTAGATTTTGAAGATTTGAATGGAGTAGATGAACAAAAGGTTTAAAGCTCAAGTAAAATCACGATAACTACGTGGTAGAACGTCACAGTAAAGTATAGGCAAATGTACAAAACAACAAAGAAATGAAGTACAATATGAGTTAGTTATTCAGCGAAAAGAAAGTTCAATATGAGTACGATAACAATACAAAGTTACTACAATGTCGAATTGAAAGTATCGAGAATCGTAGTACAATGTTATAGTAAAAATTGAAATTACCCTGCCCTACCCTACGTGTATTTTCTCCGCTGTACCTTTATCATGTCTTGGTCTACCATGGCCTATCATACCCTACCCTTTTCGCCATTAAAAAAAAATTTTTTTTTACCCTGCCTTATAAAAACAGTTACCTGCTCTCAAAACAATTTTTTACCGTGCCCAACACAAAAAAATCTTAACCTATCCTAAAAAATTTTTTTACCCTATCCTCAACAAAAAAAATTTTTTTAACCCACTCTACTCACTACAACTCAAGCTCAAACCCCCTTCCTTTTCTCCCAACCTCAGCGTACCGTAAGCCTTAACCAAGTTATTTACGCCAAGAAGCCGAGTACAAGCCCCTACCTCCTCGCCAACCCAACTACAACCCCAAATGTAACCAAGACCTTGTGAGTACAAAAACAAGCACATTGACTAAACACCGACTTTCCACATACTACGAAAGCACTCCGGCGATAAACACCCTCTCGGAACGGTGGGGGGGGGAGAAAACACACGGGCCGGTTTCGCAATACCGAGAACGTTCGCATTCTGGGGAAGGGAACGTTCGCATTCTGGGTTTCGAAATTAAAAAAAAATCGCGCCAAACATTTCTTCCGTTTGCTCTTTTGGAGAAAAATAAAAGTATACGTTAAAGGGGGGAGGGGGGTGTAAGTGAAAGAGGGGGGAGTGAGTAAAAAGAAGGGGGAAGGGAGCGACAACCACACGTATAAGGTTAAATGGCGACAAAAGTTTTTTTTTCGAGGTTAAGTGGCGACAAAAAAAGGCTCGAGGTTAAAGGACGGTAGACAGAGGAAGAGGAGGGTAGACTTGGGTAATTAAGGCGATAGACAGAAGCAGGGGTGAACTTTAGATAATTGAGAGGGGAGACAAGGGTGGGGGTATAGCTTGAGTTAGACTGTAAGGAGATGATAGGGTAGGGTAGAGTAGGAAAAAGTGAGGTACGGTAAGGTAAGATAGCATGAGGTACGATATTTTAACGTAAGGTAGCATAAGATAAGGTAGAGTAAGCAAGATAGGATTAAATAAGGCAGAGTAGGATAGGGAGGTAAATGTACAAAAAAAAATAAAAAAGTAGTACGTATGTTATGCTATGTTGTAGTAAGTAACTACAGGCTTGTATGGGTCCGTGTAGTACAAAATATAGGAGTCGCAACTCAAGCAACTTTCAAATTATAGCAACTTGAGCAAATTCTAAAATTTTCCCATGTTTATAGCATTTAAACCCTACTCTTCCCATAGCTCTTCTACCTCGACCATGCTCATACCCTTCAAACTCTAATATTAATATTTCCATAGCCTTCCAAGGTTGCCCATGCCTACTCAAATCTTACTCATACTTAAACCCCACCATCTATCTAACCAACAACAATATATTCAAAAAACTTACAAAATAAAACTTACAGACATATACACCACCCTATATATAAGATTCTACGCCCATATAGACCCCTAAAACCCAAAAATTACCATAAAATTTAAAAATATATTAACATACCTCCAAAATATGCAAAGTAAAATGCAAAAAAATTCGAAACGCCCCAAATATAACTTATAATATGCGTCTACAGACGGCTGTTAATACCACGTATACAAACATGAAAAGTTACGTGGATGCGATAATCCGAAATGACCTCAGAATGGGGCGGATTCTGAAGTCATTGTGAGCTTCTGAGCTATTGTTGTAATCTAAAAAGTGGTGAAACAAAGGAATAGTACTTGTAGTACTACAATAGTATCAGAGTATAAGTTGAAAGATGCCGATGACACATATACCTATCGCCACTCTCTTATATACTACATCATTTGGTGATGTAGTATACAAGAAGCCATAAGAAATAGCATCAAAGACCGACAGGCTAAGGTAGGGTAGGGTAAGGTAGGATAGGGTACGGTACAAAATTTAGTACTAGTACTATATGAATATGACCATATTAGATCAAAAATGTCATGATATATGTCCAAAAATGCCATATAAACAAAAATTTTTAACTCCTACAGTATCACAAGATATATAAAGTCTACTATCAC